CAGATACATGGAACTCTCCACCTCTTCCATAGTTTCACCATCAAGTGTGATTGGGTTAGTGTATTCGAGGATTATAGTTTTTTTTCCTTGTGTATGTTTAGGTTTACTGATACAGAGATTACTACTATACTAGTTATCTTCATCTATTAAACACATAAACTAGTCATTAATTAGAGTTTGTTGTCCACCTATTAAAACTATTAAACGTGATTATATAGAAAGTCATGCTGATCATTATGATAGAAGATAAGTTTCTTTTCATCAAAATCCTACCCCCCACCCAAAAAAATCTTTCCCAACATTTAAATAAACAAAATGTTTAATGAATTGAGACAAATGAATCCCTTGTGTAATAGTTAGGTCATAGTAGTACAAACAAGACCAGTAGTATTTGAATTGAATGAAACTATAATCTTACTAAAACTGTATAGATAGATATAGATTAACTACTTCAGCACAACTTCTATCGACTTTTAACTCATTTCATTTCGAATTCTTAATCATCACTGATTATAATTATTGTCTTGCCTTAGAAATATTGCTGGCATCTGTTGGGATAACCGGGTAAGTAATAGTGAGGTTAGACACAAGGTATTAGGAAATGATGGTAAATTAGTTGATGAGGTCATCAATCTTCATCAACGGAGATGGTTAGGCCACGTGTTATGTATGCCTGAACACCGATTACCACGACGCTCTATGCTAACTAGTGTAGGAGATGGTTGGAAAAGAGTTAGGGTCGGCCAAATCAAAACGTGGCATCAGTGCTTGAAGTCACTAACTTCTGGTCTGAATTATGTTATTAGACGCAGACTAATTGGTTGAGGTCTGCGTGACTATCGTAACCAATGGTTGTAGACTCTGTGTGACATGGCTTAGAATCGATCACAATGGTTTAGGTGTATACACTCATATCTTCCCTTAAACTATGAGATTAAAATTGCTTCATAACTTTCTTCCTTCCTATACTATATCCTTATATACAACCTATCTTTTATATACTACCACCAACCACTAAATTTACTACTTCTATGAATTCGATGTTCATCTTGTTGTGCTAACGACGTATGGCAACTTGAACCGATGCATAAATGTGCCTGATCCTACGTTGTAGTTGACTGACTGACTGACTGTTAATTATTGTCTGGATCTCAATCATTGGATCTCTTCTACTTCTCCATAACACTGATTCGATCAATCATCGGTTTCCATCAATGATGATCTTTTTTTTATTCTTTTCATTAAAACACCAAAAAAGAAAGTTTTCCCAACTTTTAAATAATTAAAATTCTTTGATTAATTGAGGTAGATGAATCCCTTGTGTAGTAAATATAATCAATAGTAGTTAACAAGAAATAAATAATCCCTATAGTATAAAGCTTGTATTTCTATATATACTAATTTTCTCTATGATCATATTGTGATATATACTACTGATGTCGACAGTTATAAGTAGTATGTGTCATTAATCGAAAGTGAAATACCTGGAGGTAGAAGGTTAAATGGATTGAAGAAAAGAGAACGAGAACAGAGAATGATTCATGTGGAAATAAAGGAACAATAAATTCTGAGAAGATTGATTGATTGGCACTTTTTGATGTAGGTTTTTTCTCTGAGCTGGATGGTTTGATCATGGAACTTTCATAGTCCTTCTGAACGACGTCATCAGTACAAACTTCTGGTAGATGTGAAGTGTTGGCACTTTACAAATGATATGTTTACTGTATGATTCTCAGATTTTACTGAGATTCTGTAATTTTGCATACGGATACATTCGATTGTCCCCACTTGTGTTCTTGTTCACTACAATATGACTAACCTTTTGTGTGTGTGAATATGTGAAGATGTAGAAGTGTCACATTTAAACTTTCAGACTCTACAATTACTTCATTTTGTTGGATTTATTTAGAAAACTAGAGAATTTATAGAGAAGATATTTTTATTGATGATAGGTAGTCTACGAAGAGTTTTGACTGATATGAGTTACATGTAAATTGGTAATCATCTACACAATATGCCTGTAAACTTTAGTCAACTGATACTGTCTATTTCATTAGGATTTTCATTCACATCTGTTTTACAGTCATTGATGTTAATATGGAATACTTCTCATGGAAACGAACCCCTTGTAGGCCTGAATATCTACACATTAGCTAATCACTTACTACTTTGTATCCTGAGTTCTGATCGAATCTAATCAATAAGGTTAGGATTTAATCCCTTTATGTAACTGATTTCAAGCATTTCTTTTTATTATTCAACATTAAGATGCTATTGCCAAGAAACCCTGTTTGACCTAAATTTTTTATATCCTAGCACTTATTTACAATCTTTATTGAACTAATCCTTTCTATTAGGTTAACAATGAAAAGAAAACGAACACACAACAGTTATTCAATAAAACAGGTGATAATTTGACAAAACAAAATCCATTAGTCCATAAAAGAGATTGAAGATATTTCGGAAAGAAGAGAAGAGGCAAAGTCTGACGTGCCTCCTGGATTATGGGACTGTTTCCATGATCTAGCGTGAGCGGTGACCCGGGTGGTGGAGATCGGCCTAATCAACCACTCTACCAATACACGGGCACGATAACGAATGCTACAAAGAGTCATTGCATAACTATTAAAGGTTCAAAAGAGTGGTAAAAAACATGAGTTTGCCCAAACAAAAACAAAAATGACAAAAAATGGGTTGTGAGTGTTATGTAATGGTTCTGCGTAAGCAATGCAGAAACAGCTATCCCTCCCCGGTAGTTGTGCCATGCTTCGATGTAGCACTCTTCTTCAGAAAGGCCTACTAGGCTTCACCATTCTATATGACTGGAAGGGGTACTAGAGGACACAAGCTATACGTTGTATATGTGATTACCATCCGAGATTATTTTAATTGACTATCTTATTATGTTGTTTACAGATTTTCTCTATTTTTTTTTGTTTTTCAAAAGAACGTTTCAATGAAAGTGAACTTCAATCAATACAATGAATCCGTATCCATCCATAAGGAAAAAAAAGGGGGAGGGTGGAAGACTAAAATTCATTGTTTTAATGATTTCACCAGATTAGAAATGTATGGAAAAGTAATTAGAGTGAACAGCAACAACAACAAAATAATTGAAATCAAATTAGTAGTAGTTGCTAAGTATATATCATTATGTATAATAATTAGAATTACTTATGTTGGAAATATATATGTACTATATATACTACTTGTGAGTAGTAATTCATCTGGAAACAACGTAGTAAGATAGTAGCTACAAAGAGATACAATGAATTGAAGTATAGAATGCAAACAGTTACTAGTACTGTAATGTGGTCTACTTATATCTTCATAAGTAGTATATAGTGATGGTTAGACATAGAATGTATTTGGGCAGAAGACCGATAAGAAAAGAATTTAAATGAAGCACAATTAATAGGAAAATGCATGAACAATGAAATTAGAGAAGATGGACTGATATTTGAAGAAGGAACAGTGAAGATTGAGATCATTGATTGTTATTTTGCAAATTAACTGTTCACTGTATGGTTATCAGAATTTAGTGAGATTGTCTGTAATTTTAAGCTTAAATACATTCGATTTCCCCCTTATGATTTGGCTTTGCGGGGTTAAGTTTACTTTGAAGGGGAGATTTGTTATAGACTGTTGTCAACTAAGGTACAAGAAGATCACATAAGGGTTGTTTAGTATAAGTAATGGGTTCCAAAAAAGTGTACAACTATATCCCCATAAGGGAATGAACTCAGGACGTTCAGGTTTCAGAAGCGAAACTGTAGTCCTTATCAGTATTTGGTTGTTTCATTATAACATGAATTAATTAAAGTTAGAAACTTAAACCACTAGATATCGATTCAGTGATTGGAAGCCAGTCATAAAACTAGAAGGTTCAGGAATAGGTCTTTAGTAGGATTGAGAATATACGTCATTGAGAAACTGCATATTTAGGGCGAAACAGTTGAACAGTGATACTAGGTTTCCAATCAAACCCCAAATAAAGTTAATCCTGAGCAAATACTGCACTGAAATCGTAGCTATCAGTAAGACGTTTACAAAAACTAGAAGTGAATATGAAGGGATGTAAGATTCATAGTTATACTATAGCCACCATTGAAAACCTGGAAGCACTGGACGGTTGTTTCATCTCAGTATGGGACTCCTCAGCATATCTATATCTACAAACTTGTTTTCTGTTGTAATATCTCGCAATAAAAAAGTTTATTCAAATGGAAGGCTATGATGTGACGAATCGAAAAACCAATAATATGCGGAAAGAATTAGTTACGGTTGTTCATTTTTAAATAAGGATATACATATAAATACTAGTAAGGTACAATTGTGGTATGTGCTACTGATGTCGATAGATATAAGTAGTTTGAATCGCCAATCGAAAGTGAACTGCTTGATGACAGAAGTTTAAGAAGATCCTAAGAGAAGAGAACGAGTACAGAGAATGATTGATGTGGAAGCGAGGGAACAATGAAGTCTGAGACAATGGATTGATATTTTGTAAATGAAATATTTACTATATGGTTCTCAGATTTTACTAAGAGATTCAATCATTTGATTCGATTGTCACAATTGATTGATCACTGGGTGATGATCAATGTCATGCGTATCAAGTTTTTCTTAGTGCCGATCGAATGCTAACGATCAAGTTGCAATGGGGACACTAGTCTAGGTGGCTCAAAACTGCGTGCATTATGTTGAGATAAGATGGTGGTTGGAGGTGGTCAACAGGAAACCCTGTTTGTACAGGAAAACCTGGTTGCTGTCCGAATAGCTCAGTGGTAACGTCTCTGACTGTGAAGCTGAGTGATACGGGATCAAATTCGTCAGGGAGCACCAGCTCCCTCAAGATTACAGGTACGCCTTGCTGACGTGTGCCAAGTAGCACGGAACCCGGTTCCAGGGTTTCCTGTTGACCACCTCCAACCATCATCTTATCTCAACATTTGATTGTTCCCACTTAAATGATCAAAATGAAATGTGATTGGACTTACAGTATGTGCAATATAAGTATCCAAATATTGTTCATTATATGAATAAGAACATTTATATATTGGTCCATTTTCAGTGCCAACAACGTAACTTTAATATCAAAAGAAGAAAAAAATCAAATTAAATAAAGCTTGATAAGTTCTCTTAGTATATAGGCCATTTATACAATACATTTATACAATCCACTGCTAGCCACTATCCATCTTCGCTTACAATGCTTGTAAATTAAGTCTACATCGAGGCAATACACACAGTATGCACATATGCCAATTAGAGACTGACCAGTTGCAGTCCTAACACATCGATGGGAAGATTCAAACAAACAGTACTGAATGAATCTAAACTTCACCCCACTGCACAAGCAAGTGGCTATCAGAACTCAGTGGCTGAGTGGATAGCGCGATGGCGTTTGTGGTGAAAGGTACTGGATCCGAGTCTCAGAGTGAACATCAACTCTGAGATGCAGGTACATCCAGCTGATGAGTCCCAAATAGGACGAAACGCACGTCCAACTGGATTCCACTGCTAGCCACTATCCATTGTTGCTGGCAAAACTGAACAGTTTGTTTATTTATTGAACTGATATAATGATTAAGTGTTACAGTAGTTGAAATGAAAGTGTATAATAAATCAATCACATAAGAATCTTGTTGATATAAGCATGGATGATGGATGGTGAACTACTAGTAGAATGAAAGATGAGTGTTTCATCCTATTTGGGACTTGTCAACTGGATGTTTTTTACATCCTTGAGATGACGTTCACTCCAAAACTCTAACGCTTTTGTTTCAAACGCTATCACGTTATCCGCATAGCTAATGAGTCCAGATGATCACCAACTTGTGCAATGTCATGAAGTCTCCATTTCATTTTTGTATTAGTTGTTTGAATCCTTGGTTAGCATCCTACTGTACGAAGCTGAAAAGTGAGGAATTACTGCATCCATCGTCAAGAAAGTACAAATATTTAAAAACAGTTGTCTACGCAAAATACTCAACATTCACTGGTCAGATACTATCAGCAACATCCTTCTGTAGGACAGGAAAAACCAGCTTCCAGCTGAAGAGCAAATCAGGAAAAGACGTTGGAAGTGGATAGGATATACAATAAGGAAATCACTAAATTGCATCACGAGGCAAGCGCTAACTTGGAATCCTGAAAGGAAGCGGAAAACAGGACGACCAAAGAACACATTACACCGGGAAATAGAAGCAAATATGAAAAGGATGAATGTTAACTGGAAAGAACTGTAAAGGGTTGCTCATGACAGGGTTCGATGGAGAATGCCGGTGGTTGGCCTATGCTTTTCCACGAGGGGGAACAGGCGTAAGTAGTATTAGTAGTAGTGTGGTGTTGTCTACTTATATCTATATAAGTAGTATATGGTGTGGGTCAGACATAGGATGTATTTTTGCAGAAGATCGATGAGCAAAGAACTGAAATGAAGCGCAATCGTTTGGAAAATGCATGAGCAATGGAATAAGAGAAGAAACAGTGAAGATTGAAACAATTGGTTGTTAATTTACAAATTGACTGTTCATTGTTTGGTAATCAGAATTTATTGAGATAGTCTGTAATGTTTGCTTAAATACATTCGATTGTCCCCAACTAGTGTTCTGTTCACTACAGTAGTGTTTGAATCCCCCAATCAATGTTTGAAACTGTATTTGATCAGTATGTTATTTTTATATGTACATGTTGTTCGAATGACCTCAATCTTACATTAAATCACAACCATTCTAAGTAGAGATAGATGATGGTTAACAATGGAATCGAAGATGCTTATTTCATCCTATTTGGAGCTGATCAGCTGGATGTACATACATTCCATAGTTGATGTTCACTAAAGGATTTGAACCCATTACCGTTCGCTTGCAAACTCCATCATGTTATCCACTTAGCTACTGAGTTCTAATATTTACCTGCTTGGTTGTTTGATATATATTGCTTACATATATTGTTTGTTGATATATTTCAATTAAGATGAAACTTAGGTCAGTAACATGATACTTTCTATATATTGGAAGTTGAATAAAAAATCACATAAGTCCTGATCTCTCTCTCTCTCTCTCTCTTTCATAAGTAACTCAATATGCACATACACTATTAAACTTACATACTTAAATCACGTTTATTAAAAGCCATACTCGTTGCAAAAGCTGTTCGTGATATTAAAGCTTCATTTCTTTGAGATGTATTCATCGGTGTTAGAACACTGGAATATGTTTGTTTAAGTACCATCAGATCTAATAAAGAAAGAAAAAGATCGATACAAATATCGTAGAAGAAAACTGTTTCGTTTTCTAAGATGGGATCTAGTAACAATGATCTGATTGGTTGGAATGGTAAATATTCTATTCGCATATTGTATTGGTTGATACAAAGATTTTTTGTATTGTTATTACCTCACGGGAGATTTATATTTTTAACTGTCATTTACACTACTTGTATTTTATTAGTAGTTAAATTTGTAAATAAAAAATCACCGTTAATAAATAGATTGAAATCAGTAAATCTATTGGGCAACTCCTTAACTGGCAAGTTGTGTACTTACTAGTCAATAGCTTTAATATCAGTTTCCGAAGTCAAGATTTAAAGTCATGACTTATGGTATTCAAACATGTGTGAAGTTATATGTCCTGATAGTGATATTGGTTAGTCGTTGTTTCACATAGCGAATTAAATGAAGTTGAAAATAAGACGCATTTGATCCAGGAGTATTGGCCTAAGACTATAAAACTCCCCGCATGATCTTGAGGCGTTGGTTTTGACCACAGATTTGATCGTGTGTTTTTAGAAGAGGATGAGAAAACCGTTCAGAGCCTTTTTGTTTCTGTGTGGTCCCTTCAGCTGAAGTCATATAACGGTGAAAATTACCTCAAATATATGTCTAAAAGTTATACATGTGCATGATTGACTGAACAATGTGTAGGTATCTATTTCATTCTATATCGACATTATGCACGCGCAACTATGCAGATGATTACGAATAAGGACTTAATATATCGTAGGAAGCTTAGTTAATTTAAACTACTGTGTTTGTATCCATCACTTTACACTCTTCACATTAGTTTATTTACGATTACAATCCAACCACAATGTAAGGTCATGGAGGAGTACTGTTACAGAGACTTTAACCTGGGATCAAATGGTAGTATATCTGTATTATAAATAAATCAAAAAAAGAATACAATATACCTGCACTTTCAAAACCTTTACGAATAAACCATTGAGTTACTCGACCATCATTAGATACGGATACTAAAACTTCCTGTAAATTTTCCGCTAAACTTGATTCTTTAAAAATCCATTGTAATTTACGTACAGGTCCTAAATGTCTTCCTGTAGCATGCCTATACGAAAAAAGATAAAACACTTTGGAATAAAACTATGATTTATGATATAATGCATAACTACTTCATACTAATGAATGAAGCTAAGTACAATGGAAGATGGTCGCTCAATTTCCAGAATTGGTTGAAGTTAGACAATAACACCATTAGATTACGGATTAGTGGTTTAGAGGTCAAGCTTTCTCACATGAGACTGAATGTCCTGCGTTTGAGTCCCACGTGCACGATCGTGGATGCACACTCCTGAGGAGTCACATTCTTGGACGAAGCGGCTGTTCAGTGATTCCAGGTTTTCAATGGTGGTCTAACATTGATCAATTAATGATATCAATAAATTTATGTATGTTTGTACGACTTTAAAAACACCTCTAACTTAATAACCTATAAATAACAAAAAAAGTTGACTTATACTTATAGATTTTATCATTTCAGTTTGAATCTTAGATGACTGTAGATTTCTTGAATCACTGAAATTGGTGCTAAAATTAGCAACACATAGAGTATCAGTAATATCAGATTGAATCAGTACGTAAGGGTCTTAAACTTATAACAACATATGTACTCTGCATTAATTAAACTAATTCCTGCTTGAAATATCATATTACATTGTGAACTGCAGAAAAAATTGGCAGTCACTTGCATTACTTATAGTACAAATGGTTTTGAATTATTGGCTTTAATAATGCTAACACTCAGCAGTAGGTCTCAATATATACAAAGGGAAAAGTAAGAATATCAGATACAATACAGCGTGCACCAATTCAAGTACACTTGACGTAGAAGCATTGGAGGATGTGGAAACCTTTACATATCTGGGCAGTATCATCGATAAACACGGTAGATTTGATGTAGATGTGAGGGTGCGGATCGGCACAGCAAGAACAGCATATTTACAACTGAAGAACATCTGGAACTCAAAACAATTGTCAACCAACACCAAGAACAAAATTTTCAACACAAATGTCGGCGGTCTATGCTCCATTGGGAGTAACAGGTATAACTAAGTAAATATGTAATGCTAACACAGTGAAATTTATCTCATTGTTCTATTGGTTTTTAAAATGTTCGTTCTCCAAAGAAAATGTCTTACGAATGTTCTACAAGTTTCGAGAATCTTCGTTGACTAGACACGTTCTCACAAACAAATGCAATCAAGAAGATTGTTCAAGAAGCGGGAGGCGATAAGTATGTATAATCCACACAGATTATACTGTGTTTCAAAGCCAGTGAGATTAACAGCTGTAGGAAAACCGAATGACAAATAAGGGATACAAATGTAAGCACTCTATTATTAGTAGTAAGTGAACTACTCATTTGATCAAGATCTCTACCTGTATGTTTTTGTCTTAGTTAGTCCGGACACATATGACTCTAAAAGAGATTCTGTAGTGAACGAGAACACAAACGGGGACAACCAAATGCAGTTTAACACTAAATTACAGAATCTTTTAGTAAAATCTGAAAACCCTACAATATATAATTCATTTACAAAATGTCGATCAATTGTCTAAAACTTGACTATTCCTTCATTTCCAAACCAATCATTCTTTGTTCTCGTCCTCTTCTCTTCAATCTTCTTAACCTCCTACCTCCAGACATTTCGATTGATGATACATACTACTTATATCTATCAACATCAGTAGCACACACCATAATCCCATCCTTATTTATAACTTTTATAATATTAATGATTCATTTAGTCATAGTCTTTTTTTTACTTTTTACTGTAGCGTGCTCAAATATAAAGAACTTTACATTGATAAAAAGCATTTGACCATAGAATATAACTTTGATAAGAACAAACAAATACTCACGTCGTATCAATTATTGGGAGAGGATCATTTCTCCTTACATCATAAACAAAAACCACACCATTAAACATTCCAACCTATATAGTTTAAAAAAGAATGAATACGCTTAAAATCAGATGGAAATGTGAATACTAGACAGATTAAAAAGTATCTTTTCACAATATGATTCATTACGTCCAAAATGCCCTAGTAAAACCGAGGGTAAGTAGAGTCAGCTCTACCTCTCGAAATGCTTTCACAAGGCCATGTGTATATAGCCACTGTCAGGAAAGTCCTACTCACTATCTTCTCATGGAAAACCACTTGCTTCGGTTTGGGCACCCGGGTAGTATCACAACCCACATACAAATCAGTATGGAGGATTTGTAGAGATTATAGTAATTTCAATATTCAATTCATTAGTCAGTCTAATCTAGACCACCATTGAAAGCTTGGAAGCATTGAACAGTTGTTTGATCCTAGTATGGAACTCCTCAACAAGGCGCATTCACGATTCCGCCTATGGGATTCGAACCCAGAACTTTCGGTATCGCCTGAGAACGCCATTACTAATGAAGTCTAATTCATGTCGGGTAGAGGCAGGTATCTACCTCAGACAATGGATGAATGGTTGCGCAACCATTCATGGATTGATGGAATTTAGGCAGCAACATGATTGGATGTCGGCTCAATGGTCTAGAAGTTAAGCGACACCGAAGGTTCTGGGCTTGAATCCCGCGTGTGGGATTCGTTTATGCTCACTGCTGAGTCCTATACTAGAACGAAATGATTGTTCAGTGCTTCTAGGTTTTCAATGGTGATCTAACCCCAATCAATTCATGACCTTAATCAAAGAAAACATAGTCTAAACTTCACTATTTTAAAACCTTACACTAATTATTATGCAAGTCAAGTAGATGAAAAGGAATAGATGTTAAGCTGATGAAATTTCAATGCTTCGAAAGCTTTATTACCGTTTTAGTACTCGCTTTTATCATAATATACACCTTTTTGAATGAAGATTCTTTCGTTTGGACTAGCGTAAACAACTGCTACCCAATAAAAGATACATCTGTATAGAAAACTAAATATTCTGTAAATGAGAGTCAACTTGAATATTACTATTATGGTGTGTGCTACTGATATCGATATTTATAAGTAGTGTGTAACACCAGTCGAAAGTGAAATACCTGGAGATAGAAGGTTAAGAAGATAGCAAGAGAAGAGAACGAAAACAGACAATGATTGATGTGGAAATGAAAGAAGAATGAAGTTTGAGACGATTGATGGATATTTTGCAAATGAACTATTTACTGTCTTGTATTCACATACATTCGCTTGCTCCCATTTGAGTTTTTATTCATCATCATCATCATCATCATCATCATCATCATCATCATCATCATCATCATCATCATCATCATCATCATCATCATCATCATCATCATCATCATCATCATCATCATCATCATCATCATCATCATCATCATCATCATCATCATCATCATCATCATCATCATCATCATCATCATCATCATCATCATCATCATCATCATCATCATCATCATCATCATCATCATCATCATCATCATCATCATCATCATCATCATCATCATCATCATCATCATCATCATCATCATCATCATCATCATCATCATCATCATCATCATCATCATCATCATCATCATCATCATCATCATCATCATCATCATCATCATCATCATCATCATCATCATCATCATCATCATCATCATCATCATCATCATCATCATCATCATCATCATCATCATCATCATCATCATCATCATCATCATCATCATCATCATCATCTTTGATATGTAACTTACCGCTAATAAATTAGCATGAATATTTGACCAACCAATTGCAGTTACACTACTTGGTGTTGTATAATAACGTTCAGGATATTCAATAAGTTTCAATGACCAACAACATACTAAACCTTTTTGTTGATTATCATATTCAAATTGTCCATAACCAATAGCTAAAATATTCGGATTTTGTTTATTCCATGCCATATCTGATATATTATGACCCTGTTTTTGAAAGAAAAAAATATAGTAAGTTGTCATTCATCTATCAATTACTTTGAGTTAAAGAAAATATCAAAGTTCTTACTTATTCACTTACGTCTGTTACCCTTCATGGAGGAGCTAAAGGCCGCTCATCAGCATTCTACATCCAACTCTATCCTGGACAATCCTTTCCAGTTCTTTCCAGTTGTTATTCATCCTTTTCATGTATGCCTCCGATTCTCAATGCAGTATGTTCTTCAGCCTTCTTCTTTTCCTTTCGCATTCATGATTCGAGGCCGGGGCTTGCCTCGTGGTGTAGTTTGATGATTTCCTCATTGTGTGTCCTAACCACTTACAACGCCTTTTCCTGATTTCCTGTTCAGTTGGAAGTTAGTTTGTTCTCTCTCATAGTAGGTTGTTGCTGATGGTATCCGGTCAAAGGACATCAATTATTGTACTGTTTTGATGATAGTTGTGGTAGTTCTCGAAGTTTCAGCTCCGTACAGTAGAACTGATTTTACGTAATTCATCGTATCAATATCAATTAGAGTTTCGGAGAGACTATAATTTATGGACGAACCAATCAGTTACAAGATAATAGGTCTCGGATTTTGACGCGAAATTCACTCATTCATTTGGTTAAATAGAGTTTTGGCATTATAGCTGATGTCTATTGGTGATGAAAACTTTAAATCTAATTCCTAACCTTAACCATCAACTGTAAAACATAATTCTGATTCCTCATACTGGTTGATAACCCTCATTTGGTCCTAGTTATTAGGTGGACACTCCCATGGCCACTCTAGCGTCGCTCAAAGGTCGTCCATAAATTAGTCTCACTAGTATTGTCAACTTAGGTTCTCTTATGATAACCATTTATCAGTGACCATGATGTTTAACAGTGTGAGATTTCTTAAAATTGTCTCCAACCTTAAAGAAACCTGTAGTAGCTGGCACTATATAAAGCCCACATAAGTTATTCTAGCTTCTGGACAGACCAATTTATTCATTCTACATAAACTACATTTTCACCTTGTCACTTGTTCACTTACTAACCCTGACTGTTTTGATGTGATCGTGTGTGTGTGTGTGTATTGCTTACCACATTCATCACATGTCGAGTTGGCTCATATGCCTTTTTCAATCCGTTTCACGTAGCTCTCCTCTTTTCGCTTCCTTCGCATCATTCCACTGATTGCCTGTTCCGATCAGCGATTGTATGAATTATACGTATTCAAAATTCATTCTCGTATTTGACTTATTTAATTTCTCTATTCACAAACTCGAGTTATGCCGATGAATATGTACGAGGATGGCTGAGATATATAATTCAATGACGATCATCATACGATCCTATTGCAATCAGGTTTAGGGTCAATAAAGGTGGTGAGCCCGTCGATAACATCATCATCCGATCTACTTGGCATTAAAAATGAAGGACCATACAAAAAACCTAATCTTAGTTCGGAACTCAATATAACGCTGTAGACATACAGCTGGAATTAAACTAACACAAATTCTGAAGGGGTTCAACAAACAATAAGCTTCTTTCTGAAAACTCAATTCATAATAGGTTGATATACTGTGTAATATAAGATAGTTCATATGATGTCTCAATCTCTTATGATAAAAGAGACTTCAGTGGAATTCAAGTTATTATGAACAATAAGGTGTAGTTACTCATATATCATCAGCAATGTTTCTGACACTTTGACAAGGAACTTTCATATATAGTTCCAAGTTTTTACTGTCCCCAAATGCCCTGGTATGGTCGAGAGTGAGGAGAGTACGCTCTCCCTCTCGAAATGCTCTCACATGGCCTCGCATATAGAGCCCCTGCCAGGGAAGTCCTACTCACTACAGTCTCGTGGCAGAGGTGTTGTTCACGAAAGTGAGAGGACAAAAAGCGAATGTCTGGCGCTTTAACCGGGTTGGTAGATGTGGAGTGACCACCTAGGGGAGTTGGAAAACCCTGATTCCAAACCAATGGTGCACATGGGCTCCAGAATCCTGATGGAACAAATGACATATGAACTAATTGTTGGTCACCGGCTACCATGGGACTGCATCTCCTTACGATGCTCCACTGCCTTGTGGATCAAATCTTTAGGTCAAAGGCTCCGGGTGTGGTCCCCTAAGAAAACCATCTGTTTCGGTTCGGGCACCCGGGGCAGTATCACAGCCGTCACACAAATCGAATGAGATTTGTATGGCGCATATGTATCCGGTTCCCTTTGTACCAATGTCTACGTAAATAGTTTGGGAGTTGCGAAATCCTATGAATCTGACTAAAAAGCATAACACATTTAGATTTACAATAAATTATCATACTTACCTTAGTCATTGAACATTGAAAACGCCATAATGAAATAACATGAGGAATTTGTGGACTAATATTTTGTTTTTTAGATAATTCACTAGATGTTATTGTGGTATTAGAATCATTTAGTGTAGAATGAGTTGAATTGACACTACCCAAGTTTCTTAATGTTGTTACTATTGTTGGCACTAATGGTGATGTAGTCAATGACGCCTTCGACATAGACGATTCATGTCGAGTTAAATGATCATTTGATGTACTATTTGTGAATGTTTGACTCATTTCAGGGCTGGGTTTCATTGAAATACCCGAATCCATATTAAATTGATCTAAAATGTATCAGAAGTTTGTAAAAACTACCTTTTAATTTGTAAAACTATTGACATTTACATGTATCTATTCAACACATTACTTATTTATATTCTGATGTATTAGATTCTGAAACCTATCTACTGTCTAGGTGTGTTGCGTGCTACTGATATCAACAGATATAAGTAGTATGTATTATCAATCGAAAGTGGAATACCCAGTGGCAGAAGGTTGAGAAAATTGAAGATAAGAGAAGGAGAACAAAGATTGATCGATTGATTGGTATGGAAACGAAAGAAACAACAAAAAACGAAGATATGTGATGAATATTTTGTGAATGAAGGATTTACTGGATGGTTGTCCCAGCCTGTGTTCTCGTTTATGTTGGGATGATCCTGCAAATTACTCGCAATAGACATGATAAGCTGAGGAAAACATTAAGAAGCATTCTATCTAATCAGAGTTTGACTAGAATTTTTGCTAGAAAAAATTACGAAAATGAAAAGTCACATGTAGAGTTTCTGATTGGCTGATTACTACACTTCTACTATGTTTAGTAGCATTCCAGAATTTTCAGGAAAACTCAAGGACTTCTAAAATACTATAAAAACCCTATATTTTCTATACATAAATAAACCTTTGGAGTAAAGTGTTTCCCGCATATTTTATCTCTTTTCTCTCGTATTCAAGTCGCTGTGTAGTTCTAGCTTGGGGGTTACGAGACTAGCTTAGGATCCGAGTATAGAGTTCAATCAACAAGAGTTATCAGTTCACTACATGGGGATTAAAGAAATAACTTTAGTTTTAGGGAAATTCTTGGGAGTAGAATATTTAAACTACCAACTCTTAGCTAGAAATCAAGTAATAACATATTCCGGTGTAACCAAAAACTCTAAGGAAACAAATGACATCTGAATTTATTCTAGTTATCTTCTGACATAACTGCGCCTGTAGCTACTTTGGGGGTTACTGCCGGTCCCAAGCCCGGGTAAAGGAGGAGGGTTGGGCATGGGGTTAGCGACCCCATCTCGTAGAAAATCAACTCGCTAAAAAAACGCTAACCAGAAAAAATCATTCAAACCTTTCAAACTCTGCCCTGGGAGTAGAAGGAATAATTATGACGTCTCTGAGGGCGCGGATCGGCAAAGCAAGAGCAGCATACCTACAACTGAAAAGCATCTGGAGTTCAAAACAATTGTCAAACAACACCAAGAACAGAATTTTCAATACAAATGTCAAGACAGTCCTACTGTATGGGGCGGAGACGTGGAGAAATACGAAAGCCATTATCCAGAAGATACAAGTGTTCATCAACAGCTGTCTACGCAAAATACTTCGGATCCGATGGCCAGACACTATCAGCAATAAGTTACTGTGGGAGACAACAAACCAGATTTTAGCGGAGGAAGAAATCAGGAAGAAGCGCTGGAAGTGGATTGGGCACACCTTGAGGAAATCAGCTAATTGAGTCACAAGACAAGCCCTCAAATGGAATCCTGAAGGTCAAAGGAGAAGAGGGAGACCAAAGAACACATTACGCCGAGAAATAGAGACAGACATGAGAAGAATGAACAAGAACTGGATAGAACTAGAAAAGGAAGCCCAGGACAGAGTGGGTTGGAGAAAGCTGGTCGGTGGCCTATGCTCCATTGGGAGTAACAGGCGTAAGTAAGTAAGTAAGTATCTTCTGACATAGGACTCTAGTCTTCAAAGTTATCTCACTACTGTAGGTAAAATTCTAAGAGACTAGTTTGTTAAGAAGCATTGTTCAGTATAGACATACTTGAGAAATCCTTTCATATTGAGTTCCATAGATAGATAGCCCCTCCGGGGGCTACTGCCAGTCTCAAGCCTGGGTAAAGTAGGAGGGTTGGGCATGGGGTTAGCGACCCCATCCTGTAGAAAAGCTAACTCGCTAAAAAAAACGCTAACCAGAAATATTCTTGTACATTCCGCTTATACTTTAACGTAGACAGAGATTGACTGAGGCTCGTAAAGTGGTTTACATTCAGCTACATTATATTCTGTGTAGAATGAGAGTTTGTAGAAATTGTAGTAATTTAATAGTTGAACTCACGAGTCAATTTAAGCAATACTACCATTGGAAACGTGGAAGTAATAGATGGCTATTTCGTCCTAGTATCGATTGACTCATCAGTGCGCGCCCACGATCCCGCAGGCGAGATTCGAACACAGGATCTCCGGTCTCGCGCGCGGATGTTTAACCTCTAGACCACTTAGCTGGCGCGACCGTACACCATTGTCTTTAGTGAGTAACTGCCATACAACAAACACGGTTTGATCCCAATTGTCACGTCCACTGCTTCCAGGTTTTCCAGGATGGTCTAGCTTAAATCGAATTCAACCATATATTCTGTTTAGTCAGAAATCCGTGTTCCAAATGCCTATGGTCATATATATTTGAATAATAGAATTTGACTAGTCTCGTAAAATAGACCTTACTTTAGAAATATTACACTTGATTATATCTTATTGTAACTGTCTACTTAATAACTTAGTCAGCTAAAATAAATATGAGTCATTTGGACAATGTATTCATACGTAGACAACAATAAACAAAGTTGACTGCCCTCATTGACAAACGATAAGGATTTATATGCAAAGTATTTGTTTTATTTTTGAGTTAGCCTACATTTGTGGGCTGTAGTAAGTCAAGACTTAGATCTTAACAAACAGATGCAAATGTAGGGTCAGAATTAGACATTACGACAAGGAAAATGATTGTTGATTACTATGAATTAGATTGATATCATGAATGAATCAATGTTAGACCACCACTGAAAACCTGGAAACATTGGACAGCCATTTCGTCTCAGTATAGAAATCCTCAGCAGTTCGTACCCATTATCCCGCATGCGGGATTTGAACAGGGGACCTTCGATCTCACTAGTGAAGGATTAACCCCCAGATCACTGAGCCGGCATCCAACCGTGTTAATGTATAAATATAGATTTATCAACGTTATACACAGTTGGATTCATTTCATAGTAGAATAACATTGTTTTACGCTGGTGACTGTGTTTGTAGATGATAATTTCATTTAATAAATGATTTATGTCAGTGTATTCATAAAAGCATATTAATATTTTGTTTATTAGGCCAGATATACTGTGTTTATGCAACTTTTTTTAATGAAAACATTATGAGCAAAAATGGATGGCGGCTAGCAGTGAAATAAAGGACGCGCGTTTCGTACAATCTGGGACTCGTCAGCTGGATATACCTGCATCCCAAAGTCTATGTTCACTCAGGGACTCGAACTCAATACTGTTCGCTTCAAACACCATAGCATTATCTACTTAGCTACTGAGTCCTAATAACCACTTGCTTGTGTAAAGGTACATCCAACTGACCAGTCTCGAATAGGATAAAACGCTCGTCCTTGATTCCACTACTAGCCACTATCCACCTTTGCTTATAATGCATGTGAATTAAGGTAATACCGAGGCAATCTTCACAGGATACATATATGCCAATAAGTGACTGATCAACTACAGTCCTAAACATCAATGAGAAGATTAAAGTAAAACAATATCAAGTTAATTGAGTAATAATACTATCCTTATTAACTCCATCTGGAATCTCTTTGAGGTTACTGTCGGTCCCAAGCCCAGATAAGAGAGGAGGGTTGAGCATGGGGTTAGCAACTCGAAAACGCTAACCAGAAACAAAAATAACTCAATTGACCTTTTCACGTTGTTTGAAGTGACAAACGGTTAAATGTTCAATGTAAACTTACATTTCTTTAATAGTAAACTTTGATATTTGAATAATTTATCACGATATAAATTTATATTTAATGCACGTTCCATATTAGTTAAATCATTTTTCATTTTTGGAGTCTAAAAAAATTTAGGGGGGGAGGAAGGGGAAAGCAAATTTAAACAAATAAATATGAAAAAAAAAACGAAACAATTCTGAATTATAATTAGGATATTTAATTAACCAATGGAGTTCAATCAGGTCTGTTGGGAGATAGTAACTTGCTGGAGACAATTGGTGGATGTGTCACTCTATTTCGTGGATTGGTTGAAGTTAGACATTAAAACCGTTGGATGGCGGCTCAGTGGTCTATTATTTAAGTGCTCTAGCGCAAGACTGATAAGTTCTGTGTTCGAATCTCACGAGTGCGGGATCGTTGATGCGCATTGCCATTGAAGAGTTCCACAATAGAAGGAAATGGCCATCCAGTGCTTCTAGGTTTTCCATGGTGGTCTAGTTTCAATTAACTCATGATATTAACTATATAAAATAGTATAATCCACTTATCGACTTAATGGGAAATAAACTATAGAAATTATATGTTGACTGTTGTTAGCGATAAATCTTCGAATTGAACTCTTGAATCAATTTCCTAAGCTCTTTTAATAACCCTAAACTAAATATGTTTAACAACTTGAATACAAGAGAAAAGGTGAGAAATATGGAAAGAACGTTTTATTCCGAGATTAGTATATGCATAGAAAAATTGAAGGTATTTATAACATTTCAAATAGCGTCGAACTTCTGGAAGGTTTCAAAACCTGGTCGTTGACCAGCATTTTCAAACTCACTCTGGTCTGAACCTTCCTTTCTAGTTCTTTCCAACTTTTGTTCATTCTGCTCATGTCTGTCTCCATTTCTCGAAGTAATGTGTTCTTTTGTCTTCCTCTTTTCCTTTGACCTTCAGGATTCCATGTGAGGGCTTGTCTTGTGACGCAGTTGTGTGATTTCCTCAATGTGTATCCTATCCACTTCCAGCGCATCTTCCTGATTTCTTCCTCCTCTGGAATCTGGTTTGTTATCTCCCACGGTAGGTTGTAGTTGATAGTGTCTGACCAACGCATCTTAAGTATTTTGCGTAGACAACTGTTGATAAACACCTGTATCGTGTGTCATTCGTCCGATCGATTATTCGTTGCTCTCAAATCGGCGATATTATCACGTTATACATTAACAATACATCCAGGCAGGCCACAAATTATAACAAAATGTCAGTCTACAAAACTTATTTCATTGTTCATTTCAACTTCTAGAAACTAATAGGAATAAATACATTTAAGAAGGGGATTTCGTGGAGATTGTAGTAATTTTATATAGTTGAGATCATGAGTCAACTGAAGCTAGAACACCATGGAAAACCTAGAAGCACTGGATGACCGTTTCGTCCCATTGTGGAACTCCTCAGCAATGCGCACTCACGATCACGCCTCGCGGGATTCGAACCCAGGACTTACCAGTCTCGCGCCAAAGCACTTAACAGATAGACTGGTCTAGCTTCAATTGACTCATGATCTCAACTATATAAATACATTTCAATTAGATGAACCAGGATTATGAGAAAAAAAGGTTAGAAAAACAGTTTTAATACTGACCTCAAGTAATCCTAATTCATTAGTTAACTGATTCAATTGATTTATAGCGTTGTCATGAATAAATATAAGATCTGATTCAGAATTAGTATTCATTGTATTATCTGTAAATGAACAATAATAATAAGTTAGGTGATTATGGATAGTAACCGTAAAGGATCATACATAAAAAAACGCCTTAGAAACAAAATATTTAAGTAGACTGATTAGTAAGATAGATAGGGATTTTCAAACTTCTCTCGTAGATATCTATATATGATGTTGTGTAACAACTTGATGCGTTTGTGATCATGCCTAAGGAAATGGGCTTGTTAGTTTTACATAAACTATTCATCAAACTTTCAACAAGACTCAGTAGCTGAGTAGATAAGGCGATGGCGTTTAAAGCAAAAGGTACTGTGTTTGAGTCCCAGAGTGAACATCAACTCTGAGATGCAGGTATATACAGCTGACGAGTCCCAAATAGGACGGAACGCGTGTCCTGGATTCTCCTGCTAGCCACTATCCATGTTCGCTTATAGCATTTAAAAGATTGTTGACTCAAAAATTGGAGTTATTTCAGAATAGAGGCTTCAATAATGTGATGGAAAAAAACCCTACAGTCAAACTATACCACACCGATGGCATTTGACGATCAATCGAATTCGAAAAGTTGTTGGGGATAGCAAGCAAAGATGGATAATGGCTAGCAGTGGAATCCAGGACGCGCGTTTCGTTCTATTTGGGACTCGTCAGCTGATAGCCACTATCCATCTTTGTTTATAACGCTTGTGAATTAAGGCTATGTCGAGGCGATACACACAGTATGCACATATGCCAATTAGAGAGTGACCAGTTGCAGTCCTAACACATCAATGGGAAGATTCAAACAAACAATACTAAGTGAGTTGTTGAGGATAGTTTATTGCTAGAAGACATGATCATTATTAAACATCGTGTTTTGAAAGGATTGTATGTTGGCCTTTTCGTGAAATGAGTTTTGAAGATTGATATTATTTCGGTCCGAAGTGTTAAGGTTAGGAGGCAGCGTTAATGCTTAGAAGTTAGGATCGAGAGATTTTAAGGTTAGGAGCTTAATTTTAAAAGATCTGAAACTAAAGATAAGGATGTGTCCTGATTATAGAACTATTGGTTACAGCTTTCTCCAAACCACTCTGTCCTGGGCCTTCATTTCTAGTTCTATCCATTGTGTTGTGTTCTTTGGTCTTCCTCTTCTCCTTTGACCTTCAGGATTCCATGTGAGGGCTTGTCTTGTGACGCAATTGGGTGATTTCCTCAAAATGTGCCCAATCCATTTCCAGCGCTTCTTTCTGACTTCTTTCTCTGATGGAATCCGGTTTGTTGTCTCCCACAGTAACTTGTTGCTGATGGTGTCTGGCCATCGGAGCCGAAGTATCTTGCGTAGACAGCTGTTAATAAACACTTGTATCTTCTGGATAATGGCTTACGTAGTTCTCCACGTCTCCGCCTCATACAGTAGAACTGTCTTGACAATTAAAAATTTTAAAACCCCCTAATCCTCTATAATTTTACCATTTTTCTAGAATTCAGAGTTCTTACATTAAAGTGGTATTCTGATTGGGTCTTTTAGATTAACTAATCTCAACACCACTCTTGAATTCGCTTGATTTCGTCGATATGATATTATTTTCTTCATTTTATGTATAATATCTCTACAACTTTCACTTACTTTCAATAGTTGAGATCATGAGTCAAATGAAGCTAGAACATCGTGCAAAACCTAGAAGCACTGGACGGCCGATTCGTATTGTTGTGGGACTCCTCATCAGTGCGCATCCACGATCCCAAATTCAAATTCAGGATCTATCAGTCTTGCGTGAGAACGCTTAATTTCCAAACCACTGAGCCGGTATCCAGCTTCAACTGATAGATCTTGGGTTCGAATCTGGCGTGGAGGGATCGTGGATGCGCATTGCCACTGAGGAGTCCCACAATAGGACGAAACGGTTATCTAGTGCTTACAGGTTTTCAATGATGGTCTAGCTTCAAATGATTCATGATCTCAACTATTAAAATTACTATAATATCCACAAAATCTCCTTCTGATTTCACTTACTTGTTGTATACTGACTTGATCCAAATCCTTGACTTGTCCTAGTTTTTCCACTACTTAAACTACTCTCCAATGGTCCACCATCATCTGGTTGTAATAGAATATTCTTTTGATTCAATGTAGTCTTTATTGAACTATCAAAATGATCGTTGTTTAAATTGTTTCCAACTTTCTTTCTATGTGAATTATCTTTATTAGTATTTAAAAGATAAAAAAATAAAATTTTGAAATTATTAAAACAAAGTTATTTACTCCTCTATCTTACCTTGAATGTATGTTGTCAAGAGCTTATTCATCAGATATATCTGTAATCTCTAGGTAAGTTGTTGTCTGTAGGGATTTATTTTAGTGGTCTTAATTGTGATTGGTTATCTTTATGAGTCAGTCAGTCAGTCAATCACAACGTAGAACTTCCTATGTACGTACATCAGTTCGAGTCGCCATACCACATTAGCATAGAGATGCAGTTGTCGATTCAAATCCCTTAGTGGTAGAAAGAGTAAGTGTATAAATAGTAATCAGAAAGATTAGTGTTTGAAAAAGTTATTCAAGGAGTATAATCCAGTGAAATAAATTTGGAAAGAGAAAAAGTATAGGAGCATGAAGAATTCAGAAGATTATAATTTGACAGAACACAAAGAGTGTATGCACCTTCGCCATTGCAAACGATTTTGAGCCATATCATTCAAGGTCTCTAACCACCGGATGCTATCATCCCGCGAAACCCAACCAGATAGTCCACACCTACCAACATGGCTCAGTCCACTTGTCATTGACTTCATGGATTTGTTCCACATTTTGGTCTGGCCACCCCTAGCTTTCTTCAAACCTACTCCTACACCATAAAACATTGCACGTCTGAGCAGTCGGTGGTTAAGCATACGTAATACGTTTCCCAGCCATCTCAACTTATGGAGTGTCACTACTTCATCAATCGATTTGCCATCCTTACCTAGTTCCCGTTTCCTAACAACTGCATTACTTACCCCAAAGGTCCCAGGATATACGAGCAATGCTTCGAAACCACCTTATCTTTATAGGCTTTAATGTCTTTAGTTATCTTTGTATTCAAGATTACTGTTCCGATTTGTTGACTTTTAGCCAGATTGTAGACTGACTTTTTTGGAATAGATTGAGTCAATTCAATATGTATATTGGATGCTGAGTGATTTAAAGGATTTACTTTCAGAAATTCTCTGACATTCTTAAACTCTCCTCGATCTACAACTTTTGACATCTTCTTAGTGTCACTTATGTCCATATAATTGTCAGCACATTTTAATATCAGTGATAACGTAACATGTCGTTCTAGTGATTGCTCATATTTGTGTGTACGTAAGTAAAGAAAGCGTTTAATCAACTCAGTGTAGTGTTTATCACAGTGAGCACAATTTATTTGGTGGATGGTATTGGATTACTCTTCTTATCCCCGTTGACTTTTGGTTTGGGTAAAATGGAGTGGAGTAATTACGTTGGTACATAAAATCTCCACCAAATGAATGAATTTAAAGACTTCTTCTTTGACAAAACCCTTTGGTTCATATTCTAAGACAATAATTCATTGACCCTGAGTTTATGAACTTGAAGTATATACCCACATTCATTCGACTCTATCAAACACTAGAACTTGAAGTATACAATTAACCAACTTTGAAACAAATCTATGTATACTATCTTAGTTGATAAAGTTGACCGAATTCATGCATTTACTAACATCGTCTGTTCAAATATCAACAAACTACTTTAATTTCTATGATTCCATATCGCTTATTGCATGAATCGACAAAGCATACCAATGTAGTGTATTTTTTAAAATAGAGAATAACAAGCATTACACACTTGTGGTGTGTGCTACTGATGTCGATAGACATACGTAGCATGTATAATCAGTGAAAAGTGAAAATTACTGGAGGCAGAAGGTCAAGAAGATCGAAGAAAAAAGAACGAGGAAAAAAATGATTGGTGTAGAAACGGAAGAACAACAAAATTTGAGATGATTGATTGATATTTTGCAAATGAATAATTTACTGTACGGTTCTCAGATTTTAGTAAGTGATTCTATAATTTTGTGCTCAACTACATTCGATTGTCCCCATTTGTGTTCTTTTTCATTACACACTGATTAATTTTTGTTGAAGCGAAAGACACTATAAAATGATCTTGTTTATAAGCAAAGATGGATAGTGGTTAGTGGTGGAATCAAGGACGTGCGTTTCGTCCTGTTCGAGACTAATCAACTAGATGTACTTACATCTCAGGGATTCAAACCCAGTACAGTACCGTTCGCTTCAAACTCTATCGCATTATCCATTTAGTTATCGAGTCCTGATAGCCACCTCCTTGTGCAACGAGGTGAAGTAGCTAAGTGGATAACTCGATGGCGTTTGAAGCGAAAGGTACTGGGTTCGAGTCTCAGAGTGAACATCAACTCAGATGCAAGTACATCCAGCCGACCAGTCCCGAAAAGGATGAAGCGTTTGTGCTTGATTTCACTGCTAGCCAGTATCCATGTTTGCTTATAATGCTTGTGAATTAAGGCTATATCGAAACTGATATGTCTTGTAGGTTGAACGCTTATTCAGATCCTAAGCTATACGGATAACCCCAGGCTAGCACTACTCAGCAACTTGAAGACCAGAGAGAAGACACGAGTAGCAGAAAAAACCTTTACTGCAAGGATCAGTTTTGTACAGAAAATCGTAAGTATTTATAGATGTTTGCTTAAGTTAAATCAACATCCTAATTCAGCCAATCCAATAAACGACATATATTGCTACTGACCAATGGTAGCGTGCCACGTTGGAACTCCAGAATGTTCTGTCGTACTCTGATTGGTTAGGACTCTTTTTGAGCCTCTGGGGGCTCTGTTGGAGTTCGCGGGAAGCCGACTTAACACCTCCCCCGAATAAGACTTCTTCCTAGGGTCAACTTGTAGTTTGATAACTGGGTTGCGACGTCGTCCCATTATTCTCGTCGTCTTCCCTGTCCACGGCTTCCTTCCAGTGTTCTTTGGCGTTTGTGGCCTTGGTGCGTCTAAGATTAAATCTAACGGAAAATTCGGCGGGTTACTTCGATTCTGCATCATTCTTTTGTCTTTAAGGATTTGATTTCTGTGTCGTATGCACATCCCAATAGTTCCTCGAACTCTGTACAGAACTCTTCCCAATTTTTGTACAAATTCTCCTGGCTCCCATCGGTTCTTCCCGATGTAGGATTTAATGTAAACTTTGTCGCCGACACTGAAGTTCCGAATACTTGGATTGTGACTGCGCTCATCAACTAATTGGGATGGCAACATGGCATTGAAGACGGTTCGAACACGTCTTCCGAACATGACTTCCGCAGGAGACTTGCCGTCCGGAACATTCGGATTCGGAGTGGATCTGTAGGATGTTAAAAATTTCGTGATCACCTGCCCAGTCGGCCCTTCGCCTCCCCCCTTCAGTAATGCTCGTTTAAAAGTGTCCACGAAGCGTTCTGCTTGTCCGTTAGATTGTGGATGATAGGGTGGAGAACGGAGATGAGTTATTCCGTTTGCTTTACAGAAATGCTTAAACGATTCTGCGGCGAATTGCGAGCTGTTGTCTGTTACTAAGGTCTCTAGTACTCCAAAACAGCTAAACAGGGTAGAGAGCTTGTAGATTGTTTCTGAGGTTGTACAATTTGGCATGGTATATACTTCCGGCCATTTAGTAAATGCATCTACGATAATTAGAAACATTTTTCCTTGGATTGGACCAGCAAAATCTGCATGAATTCTTTCCCAGGGTCCTGCAGGCGTAGGCCAATACTGAGGTTCGCATGTCACAGGATTTTTAGTGGCTTGAATGCATGATGGACAGTTACGGCATTTATTCTCGATATCTTTGTCTATTGACGGCCAATAAGCATAACTACGAGCCAACGATTTCATTTTATTTATTCCAGGATGGCCATTGTGAAACGGCTTGAGAACCTTGTGACGTAATAACTTCGGAATAACAATTCGATCACCGAACATAATACACGAGTCAACAACCATTAGTGAGTCCCGTCGACGAAAATATTGCAAAAGTTCTCCGTCAAGGCGATTGTTTGGCCATTTGGACGAGAGATAGCATTTGACTGTGCTCAGTATCTTATCGCATTCAGTGATCTTCTTGATAGTTTCAAAGGTTACTGGGAGTCCATTGATTGCGTCATCCAATACCCGATGAACTTCTTCCTCGGTTTTTATACTTGCTACAAGAGTCTCCTCTGGGGTTTTTGATTTGGAGCCTATTAATCTTGACAATGCGTCAGCTTGTCCGAAGGCGGTAGTAGACTGACACTTTATCTTGAAGTCGTAACCAAGAAGTGTGGTTGCCCATCGTTGGAGTCGGTTAGCTGTATGAACTGGAATACCTTTCTTTGACCCAAAAACTGCAAGTAGTGGTTTATGGTCTGTTATTAGAGTAAAATGTCGGCCATATATCATCTTATGGAACTTCTTCACTGCAAAGATAATTGATAGGGCCTCTTTTTCAATCTGACTATAGTTCCTTTCGGTCGTTGTCAAAGATCTGGCAGCGTGTGAAATAGCTTTTTCAGACCCATCAGGAAAAATGTGAGAGATAACTGAACCCACACCATAGTTAGAAGCATCTGAAGCGACGACTATCGGTAGAGAAGGATCATAGTGTGTCAATAAAAGATTGGAAGTCAGGAGTTGCTTGATTTTCTCGAAAGACGCTTGGCAGTCTGCAGACCAATTCCATCTCGTATTCTTTTGTAATAGGTTGTTTAGTGGAGAACGTAGACGATGGAGATCAGGGAGGAAGGTACCATAATGGCTGACCAACCCCAAGAATGATCGTAGGATGGTAATATCCCTGGGTCTAGGCATTGTTTTCACCGCTTCAATGTTCTCTGGATCTGGTCGTCTTCCGTCTTTATCTATTATGAACCCCAGGTACCGTACTTGCTGCATATAGAAGTCACATTTTTCCGCTCGGAGTCGAAAACCATAATCGGCTACGCGTTCTAGTACCTGGTCTAGTTTCTTCTGCAGGTCCATTTTATCTACTGCCATAATTATGATGTTGTCTAAGTAAGCTGCTGCCCCTGGAATACCTTGTAACATGTTATCCATAATTTGCTGAAAAATAGAAGGCGCTGTCTTCACCCCAAAAGGTAGTCGGTTATACCGGAACAGACCTTTGTGTGTGTTGATCGTTAAAAGATCTTTGCTTTCATCAGATACCGGGATTTGAAAATATGCGTCTGATAAGTCCAATTTCGCAAAATATCTGCCACCGTTCAGCTTAGCGAAAAGATCTTCTGGTAAGGGCAACGGATACTGATGTGACTCTAGAGCTTCATTTAATCCTGTGGAGTAGTCTGCACATAGACGGACACTTCCATTCGACTTCTTGACCACCACTATTGGTGCAGCCCAGTTCGAGAAGTTCACAGGCTCGATAACACCCATTTGCTGAAGTCGCTGTAATTCCTGTTCGACTATTGGAAGAGCAGCATAGGGCACAGGTCTTTTAGGTCGAAAAATGGGAGTAGCTGCAGGCTTTAGAGTTAGCACTGCTTTAGCCTTCGTGCACTCGCCTAATCCTTCTTGAAACACGTCTTGGTGTTTTTGTAGCATGGCATTCTTCTGACTCCACTCTGAGGTGTTGTAAGTTGTGATTCGTTTACAGATACTGTTAATAGAGTGGTCTGCTAGGTCAAGTGTTTCTATAAGATCCAACCCCATTAAGTCGAGTGCTGGCTTCTTTGTAAGATATACTGTTGCATTTGTTGTTACCGCATTTTTAGACACAATAAAAGGTATCTCTCCAACAATGTTTAACTTTCCACCTGAAGCACTGTGTGCTATTTGTGTTGTTCGATGCACCGAGGGTCGCCCAATCTTCTTCCAAGTTTCTGGACTTATCAAAGTAATATCAGAAGCAGTATCAAGCTGAAGTCGAATGCGATGTTTATAAATATTCAAGGTTACGTACTTTCTCTAGCGGCACCTTCGAGCTTTGTTATGTGATATGTGTGCTGGAACCTTGCAAGGATTTTCTCTTGACTGCATTGACATTATGGGGACAGTTACCGTTTTCTACCATTGAAGTATCATGCTTCAAGTTCACTAACCTTTGGCACTCGGTAGTTACTTCCTGTAGGGTCATGTTAGGGCAGTGTTCAAGTTTACTTAGGATTCTGGTCCGGATATCAGAATCATCAGGAGAACGCAGGCTGCAGATAAATACTAAACATTTAAACTGGTCCTCAGACATGGACGATAATTTGAACCTCTAGCATTCACGGTTCACAGTTCCTGCATGTTTCACCCAATCATCTCCAGATTCTTTCGTTAACTTTAAACACTGATAACGGATATTAAATAAAGATGATTGTTCTCCGAAAATTTGGGACAGGGTTTTGACTGTTTCATCAAAACTAAAATCTCGTGGGTTCTTCGGGAGAATGAAGTTGCTGTAGCGTTCATGTTCCACAGTCCCCAGTTTTCTGAGAAGTATTCTGACTTTCGAAGCATCGTTCAGGTTGCAAAGATCAATATAAAACAAATCTTCATACTTCTTAAACCACGACTCAAAAGTTATACCTGCTACACCATCAAAATTAAATTCATGTATGGCGTTAATGACTGAATCAGTATGTGGTACTTGTGATTCACTGGAAGCAGAGTTTCTCTCGGACAGGAATAATTTCTGCATCAGGGTTTCCATGATTCTAATTTGGGACTCTTCAAACCTCTTTTCTTGACGCACCATATAGGCTTCTAATTGCTCCAGAGAAATATTCATTGTCATTTTCCCGTCGCCACTGATATGTCTTGTAGGTTGAACGCTTATTCAGATCCTAAGCTATACGGATAACCCCAGGCTAGCACTACTCAGCAACTTGAAGACCAGAGAGAAGACACGAGTAGCAGAAAAAACCTTTACTGCAAGGATCAGTTTTGTACAGAAAATCGTAAGTATTTATAGATGTTTGCTTAAGTTAAATCAACATCCTAATTCAGCCAATCCAATAAACGACATATATTGCTACTGACCAATGGTAGCGTGCCACGTTGGAACTCCAGAATGTTCTGTCGTACTCTGATTGGTTAGGACTCTTTTTGAGCCTCTGGGGGCTCTGTTGGAGTTCGCGGGAAGCCGACTTAACAGAAACATTACGCACAGTATGTATATATGCCAATAAGCGACTGATCAATTGCCGTCCTAAACATCAATGAAAAGATTCAAACAAACAATATCAAGTGATCTTGTTCATAGATAGTGGGTGGGAGGAGGTTTGAATAATTTTTCTGCTTAGCGTTTTTTTAGCGAGTTGGTTTTCTACAGGATGGGGTCGCTAACCTCATGCCCAACCCTCCACCTTTACCCGGGCTTGGGACCGGCAGTAGCCCCCGGAGGAACTACAGGTGAAGTTGGATGGGAGTAGGGAGGGAATAAAAAACAAAGACAACTCCAAAAAGTTATTCTATTACCTGGTAACAAATTTCTTTTTGTTTCTTCTTCTTTTTCTTCTATTTCTTTCTCATATGTATCAACCATATCCCAATTACTAGCCATACATGATTTATCTTTTAAATGGATATATTCAGTTTGAATTAATTTATTCATTAATGGTAAATTCAATGTATTCATACCATGTTCAATAAATTGATCATTACCAATTTTTGATGTAATTAACTATTAAATAAAAGAAGAAATATAATAAAATAAAACATTGTGGTGTGGTCTACTTATAACCATATAAGTAGTATATGGTGATGGTCAGATATAGAATGTATTTTGGCAAAAGATCGATAAGGAACGAACAGGAATGAAGCGCAATCGGTACGAAAATGCATGAACAATAAAATCAGAGAAGTTGGACTGATGTTTACAGAAGAAACAGTGAAGATTGAGACAATTGATTGTTCACAATTGATTGATCACTGCGTGGTGATCAATGTTATTCGTGTCAAGTCCTTCTTAGTGCTGATCAAATACTACCGATCAAGTTGCAATGTGGCCACTTGTCTAGGAGGCTCGACATTGCATGCACTATGTTGAGATAAGATGGTGGTTGGAGGTGGTCAACAGGAAACCCTGGACCCGGGTTTCGCGCTACTTGGCACTCATCAACAAGGTGTACCTGTAATCTTGAGGGAGCTGGTGCTCCCTGACGGATTCGATCTCGTGTCACTCAGCTTTACAGTCAGAGACGTTACCACTGAGCTATTCGGGTCGCGATCAACCTCCTGTAGGACTGAGATGTAATAACAATCAATTGATCACTGGGTGGTTATCAATGTCATGCGTGTCAAGTCCTTCTTAGTGCTGATCTAATCCTGTTGACCACCTCCAACCACCATCTTACAATTGATTGTTACTGTTTACTGTATGGTTATCAGAATTTAGTGAGAGAGTCTGTAATTTGTGCTTAAATACATTCGATTGTCCCCAACTACTGTTCTGGTTTACTAAACTATGACATAACTATTTCAACACATTGAATTACATCATTAGGTAAGAAATATAAATAAAGTATCCTGTTCGGTAGTATTCTTAATCAGATTGTATTTACTCAGTGAAATCAATCCAATAGGTTCGTCTTCAGGGAAAATAAATCCAACACAATATCTTTACAACTGATTGATCACTAGGTGGTGATCAATATCATATGTATCAGGTCCTTCTTAGTGTACATCGAATGCTATCGACCAAGTTGCAATGTGGTCATTAGTCTCATTGACTTGACATTGCATGCAATGTGAAATGAATATCAGTGACTGGTTTAATTAGTTTTTTTTTTTTCTTCGCAAACTTCTCAACATTCACTGGCTGGATACCATCAGCAACAACCTTCTGTAGGAGAGGACAAATCAGCTTCCAGTTGAAGAGAAAATTAAGAAAAGACTTTGGAAAAGGATAGGGATACATTGAGGAAATCATCAAACTACATCATGAGGCAAGCCCTAATATGGAATCCTTAAGGGAAGCAGAAAAGAGCAAAGCCAAAGAACACATTACGTAGGGAAATAGAAGTAAATATGAAAAAGATTAATGTAAACTGGAAAGAAATGGAAAGGATTGCCTAGGACAGGGTTCGATGGAGAATATTGATGTCTGGTCTATGCTCCTCCACGAGGAGTAACAGGTGTAAGTAAGTAAGTAAGTATTAAAACAAAAAAATAAGAAATCGATTTCATATTTATGATATAAACGATTGTTCTTTTCACTTGGAAACAATAATCATACTTTTAAAAGTAATTGATTCATTGGATAGTTGACCAGATAGTGGAAAAGAGAAGATAAGGTATTATGAGGGAGGGGGGTGTAAATGAATGCAAATTGTTTTACCTTAAGTGATTTGGTGATAAACTCAATTAATGAACTGATTCAATGTGATGATTTATCTAAATTGGTTAAAAACAGTTGGTTTTAGATAATCTTAGATAATCATTAGACAGGTTCATCAATAACCTTTGGAAAATTAGACTATAGTGAACCTAGAATACCGGTCGGTCTTGTGCGCAAACGGTTAACCTCTAAACCAATGAGTTAGAATCCAACGGTGTCAATGTCTAACTTCAACTAATCTACGAATTTTGAGTGACACATCCACCATTATCTTCAATGAATTACTATCTCACAACAGATCTAGTTGAACTCTACCGGGTACTACTTCTCACTAGAACTCCAGGATACTCCCTTTTGAAGTCAATCACTAATGAAAGAGAAAAAATAAACCATATATATATACAAAAAAGATAATTTAAAATACATAACTGTTTTATAAATTTCATTTTGTTTTAATTGTTCTTTTGAATTAATTGAATCTTCTATAATAAATTTTGGCGGTTGATCAAATATCCAAAATGTATCAGTTTCAGTAATAATTACATTAATTAATTTATTTAAATCAGTTTCAGTTAAAATTTCTTGATTTGATTGAATAATTGTTTTAACTTCTAATAAAATAAAAAGAATAATAGTTGAAGAGTTTTCAATCAATTACAAATTATAGTTGCTATGCAAAAGTTATTATAAGTAACTATCAATTAATTGGTAAAAAGAGATGGATAGTGGCTAGCAGTGTAATCCAGGACGCGCGTTTCGTCTTATTTGGGACTCGTCAGCTGGATGTACCTGCATCTCAGAGTTGATGTTCACTCTGGGACTCGAACCTAGTACCCTCGCTTCAAACGCTATCGCGTTATCCACTCGGCCACTGAGTCCTGATAGCCACTTGCTTGTGCGATGGGGTGAAGTTTGAATTCACTTAGTATTGTTTGTTTGAATCTTCCCATCGATGTGTTTAGGACTGCAACTGGTCAGTCTCTAATTGGCATATGTGCATACTGTGCGTATAGCCTCGATTTACCTTAATTCACAAGCATGGTAAGCAGAGATGGATATGCCAATTAGAGACTGACCAGTTGCAGTCTTAAACACATCGATGGGAAGATCCAAACAAACAATACTAAGTGAATATCAATTAATTGCCTAAAATTTTGTTGTTCTTCAGTTTCTACATCAATTATTCTTTGTTCTTGTTCTATTTAATTTTCTTAACTTTCTACCACAAATTATTTTACGTCTGACTGGTGATACATACTACGGCGAGACTATAATTTATGGATGAGCTAATCAGAAGCGTTTAAGAGATTTCAAGGTCATGATGCTCATGTACAATCAGTTCGCAGAGGATTTTAGAGAACATATGACAATGACAATAAATGGGATTATTAAGAAGTTTCTTTATTTGTAATCGGGGTAATTAAATGACTAGTAGATGTTGTGCAGAATACTGTGATGTTGTCCTTCGATGTAATATATGTTGGAGGAAGATGTCTGCTAGAATAAGAACCTTTTTCAATTAATTCAAATTGAGACTAAATCGAATTATAATAATTGCCGCGAACTGCATAATAAAACCATCAGTAACATTGGCTGAAATATTCACAGATATTACTGAAGCTTCGGCTGTTCAGTAGTATGAGTATTGTAGGGAAATATCCATAATATAAATGATAAACTTACACGACCGGAGTATACAAAAACAATATTGAAGCTATGTGGTCGAGGCTGAGAGGGTTTTTGAAATTTTATCATGGATCCATAGACCGACTACTATAGATCCATATAGATGAGATCCTTTACCTTATGCATTACGATTTTAGAACCTTTGAACCTCTTTCTAATCTTGACAAGTTTTTAGACCATATAAAAGAAGTGTATCCACTTCAGTTCTTTGGTTTAGTATTATATATTTTTACTTTATACTGAACGTTTTCTGATTGGCTAATATTTTTCAAAGTCACTCAAGATTCGTCTGAAGGTCGTCGACAAATAATAGTGTCGTCCATACTACTTATATCAGTTGACATCAGTAGCACACCACAGAATGGCGTTGTATCTTGTAAATGCTTAGTATCTTAATCAATAAACTACATCTCAGTTATATCGACTATGAAAAATTGATGGATTCTGAATGGTTAAATAAGTAATAAAATTAGAACTGTATTTATATGACATATGGCACAACAAAATAGTATGGGTATTCAAGGAGATTGTAATATTTTCAAAGTTGAATTCAAGAGTCGAATTAAGCTAGACTACCAATGAAAACCTGAAAGCATTAGACGACCATTTCGTCCTAGTATGGGACTCCTGAATAGTACGCATCTAAGATCCCAAGTGAACTCATCACTATACGTCAACTTCATCGACTATGAGAAGGCGTTTGACAGCGTGGATAGGAGAACATTGTGGAAACTTCTTCGACACTATGGAGTTCCTCAGAAGATCGTCAACATTATCCAAAACTCATACGATGGATTACAGTGCAAAGTGGTGCATGGAGGACAGCTGACAGATGCATTTCCAGTAAGGACCGGAGTCAGACAAGGCTGTCTACTCTCCCCATTTCTCTTCCTTCTAGTGATTGACTGGATTATGAAGAATTCGACATCTGAAGAGAAATATGGAATACAATGGACAGCTCAGAATCAATTAGATGATTTGGACTTCGCAGATGACCTAGCCCTCCTCTCTCATACACACGACCAAATGCAGATGAAGACAGCAAATGTAGCAGCAGCCTCCGCATCGATAGGCCTCCACATTCACAAAGGAAAAAGCAAGATTCTCAAATGCAACACGGAGAACACCAACCCAACCACACTTGATGGCGAAACTCTGGAAGAGGTGGAAACATTCAAGTACCTGGGGAGCATCGTTGATAAACAAGGAGGATCGGATGCAGATGTAAAGGCGAGGATTGGCAAACCAAGGGCAGCAATTCTACAATTGAAGAACATATGGAACTCAAAACAACTCTCAATCAATTTCAAAGTCAGAATCTTTAATACGAACGTCAACACAGTCCTACTGTATGGAGCTGAAACGTGGAGAACTACTACGGCCATCATCAGGAAGGTACAAGTATTTATAAACAGTTGTCTACGCAAAATACTCAACATTCATTGGCCGGATACTATCAGCAACAGCGTTTTATGGGAGAGGACAAACCAGCTTCCATCTGAAGAGGAAATAAGGAAAAGACGTTGGAAGTGGATTGGACATACATTAAGGAAATCACCAATGTGCATCACGACTCAATCCTTAACTTGGAATCCGGAAGGGAAGCGGAAAAGAGGAAGGCCAAAGAACACACTACGCCGGGAAATAGAAGCCGATATGAAAAGGATGAATAGCAACTGGAAAGAACTGGAAAGGAAGGCTCAGGACAGAGTTGGATGGAGAATGCTGGTGGGCGGCCTATGCTCCTCGACGAGGGGTAACAGGCGTAAGTAAGTAAGTAAGTAAGTAAGTAAGATCCCAAGTGCAACATCTACAATACAAGGAGTTTGTAAACAAAAGCTAGAAATATCCATATCCAACTTAAATTTTCCAGTTTTCCAAGGATGGTATGAATTCACATTTGGTTTATGAACTTGTTTCGTTCTCATGTATGTCAAGAATAATTTGTGACCAATATTGAGTTATACTCTGCTAATGATATATGAAGTAAACTATAAAGGTTTGTGTACTACAATCAGAAACTAGTAAATAAAATCTAACATATAAACCATGAAGGGAATGATTATATGTAGTAAGGATGTATTGGAAATTATACTATGATCATACAATTAAAGTTAATTGCATGAAGATAGAATATCTAGGATCTACTAGAATAGGTTAATTTGGCCCTATATAGAATAACCCGAAAGATAGATGCAATGTTTTTATTTATTGTGTAACTCGAAATGATTCGAGTTCAACATTAGTAGATATTTATAAGATATTTTTATGTTTCAGGTTGTGGAGATTGTTGATATTCATTTAAATCATAAATCGATCCGTGTTAGACTACCATTGAAATTCAACAGTCTACATGACCCTAAACAAAAAAATTATCGTATGCTCATTAGTGACTATCTTCGAAATGTAATTCTCGGAGTTCTAGTAGGAAGTTATGACCAATGGAGTTCAACTGTGTTGGCTGTGAGGCAGTTATCTACCGAAGGCAATGGAAGATGATTGCACAACAGTATGGATCGGTAGAATTCAGACAATAACGCCATGGGATCCTGGCTCAATGGTATAAAAGTTAAGTGTTTTCACGAGGCCAAAAATTCTGGGTTCTAAAGCCGAATGATGGTTTGTGAGTGCGCACTTCTCAGAAGTTTCATACTAGGACGTACTGGTCGTCCAGTGTGTCCAGGTTTAAAACGGTGGTCTGACATTGATAGGTTCATAATTTCAATGAAGTGTATTAGGTAAGTTGACGTAACCATAAAAATAAACCAGTTAGAATGTAATATCTAAGATTTCAAGTTTTGTTATCGAAAGTCCGTTACTATTGAATATTACAACACCTTTTATGACTAATATATAATATTATATTTTCTCCAGTTTGGAGCAATTTGTTTAAATGCATCATTCCTTAGTTTATCTGATCATCATGTTAAATAGTAACAAGCAAAAGGATAAAGACATTCAGGAGCGTATCCAACGTCAAGCCACGAAATCAGTTCGGGGACTCAAACTCAAACCTTAAGAAGAGCGCCTCCAATCACTTAACATTCACCCGTTAGAGTATAGACGTCTTAGAGGTGAACTTCTTATGGCTTACAGTATCCTAAACCCTTCTGGTCATCCCTATAAACATCTACTTAAACTTAATCACAATACTAACCTCAGGGGTAACACTAAGAAACTGGAGACCCAACATAGAAGAACGGACTGTAGACACAACTTCTACTCCTTAAGAGTTGTCAAATGCCTGAATTCGTTGCCGACTGAGCTAGTCCAAGCGACTTTCCAGGAGTCCTTTAAGAGGAAACATGACCTATTCTTAAGGAATAAGGATAACATGTTATTATGATTTACCAATTTCGTTTTTTTCCTATTATCGTTAATATACCCAGGTTCTTGCCTGGAGGTATTGGTGATCACTTCTACTAGACACGGAAGCTCGTTAAGCTAAATCTTCTTCTATTGCGTCCACAACCATTTGAACCATTTGAAGCATCATATAAGAAATGATGACACCTAGGGTTTATGACGGCAACATCGGTTGATCCTATTTCAATTTCCATATGATGACTATTATTTCTTTAAGTCTTATGAAGTGTGTCAGATATACCTAACTACATCCTTTAACTACATGACACTAAACAGAGTACACTATGATATTGAGTCACTCAAACTAGCAACTTCATTACAGCCTTATCAATGGATTCTAATAATCGCTGAGTTCTTTTCTCTACCCGTTTTGTGTTATAGTAGGTGACATGTTAGCGAAGATGATAATGATTGATTATCTGTTTAGTCAGACATGTAGTTAGTATGACAAGTGTCAGATGAGTTATATATTCCCCTATGCTTATTATTATTGATTGATTGTTCATTGTTGTTGGATTGTGTCGGATTTTGGTGTGGAAATATATTTACGTTCTAGTTGGGCTAATCACGCATGTTGAAGTCCTGTAGAATAGACACTGGGAGGGAATCTAGTGTAGATATTCGTTTAAACTAAGGTAACGTCCCATTCGCGTGTAAAAAGTAAAACAGACCATTATAACATTAGGAAATGGTAGTTATCCTATGAAAAGAACTAAATCACTATTTCAGATGATAACAAAAGCAACTGAAGGCTTATACCTATAATTCCTTGAACTCAATAAACCTGAAGTTGCCTTAGTACAATATCTATGAAATCTTAGATGAAATTGTATATCTTCTAACTTCTATAACATTGAATCTTGATTGATAGTCCTTAATACCTAGTAAATAATCACTTTCTAACTATTAATTATTCGAGAAGAAGTTTTGTGGAGATTTTAGTAATTTTATAGAGTTGAGATCAAGAGTCAATTGAAACTAGAACACCATGGAAAACCTAGAAGAACTAAACGGCCGTTTTGTCCCATTATGGGACTCCTCAGTGTCTGTGCGCATCCACGATCCCGCCTTGCGAGATTCAAACCCAGCTATTTCCTGGGTATGAGGTATTTCATAATACATGTCCTGGAGTTCTAGTGAGAAGCAGTAACCAGTGGAGTTCAACTAGGTCTGTTGGGAGATAACAACTCACTGAAGACATTGGTTAATAGTTTCTTAATTTCATGGATTGGTTGAAGTTAGACATCAACACCGTTGGATGGCGATCGGCTCAGTGGTCTAGAGGTTAAGTGCTCGCGCGCGAGACTGGTAGGTCCTGGGTTCAGATCTCGCGAGGCGAGGTCATGGATGCGCACTGCCACTGAGGAGTGCCACAATAGAACGAAACAGCCTTGAGGCATGTTTCCAGGTTTTCCATGACGGTCTATCTTCAATTGACTAATGATCTTAACTCTATTAATTATTCAAAGATTTCCATAAACAAAAACATTTACCTGTAAATGTTTGATAACGATCATGTTCATCACTTGTCTCTGAATGTGATTCACCAGTTGGACTTGATCCACTTATATAAGATCGTGTAAATGTAAAAGGATTTGTAATATGTAAACTACTTCCACCATGATATGATGATTGAGAGATATCAGTACTCTTGAATTATGAACATTTTAAAATAAAAAGACAACTAACCATAGTATCTTTTTCTTCACGTATTCGTTTATCTTCACTTAATAATGGTAATGGTGTTAAATCTACACCAGATTCATCAATTAAACGAATTGTTGCTCTTGATAAACGTTTTTCTGAGTCCGATTTCTTGGAGAATGAACTTGAAACACGTCGACGAATCATTAAAGCACTTTTACGGATTTTTTGACCTTTTCTATGTACTCCTGACATTTTGTAAAGTTTACTGGCTAAAGAAAAATGAAATTGGTTGACAAAAAATAGGGAGACTATGAAATGAAAGTAGAAAGTTTAATCAAGATGTTATAATGAAATAATAAAGGATGAGTATTCTCACCAGCCTATCTTGGGTCGGACAGCTACAAAGTTAGTTCAGTCTTTATTGTTGACTCTGTGGTAGCATGACTTCAGCGGGATGATGGTGGGTTACTTAATATATTCAGAAGGAGTTTTGTGGAGATTCCAGTATTTTCATAGTTGAAATCATGAGTAAATTAAACCTAGACCACCATGGAAAACCTAGAAGCACTGGGTGGCCGTTTCGTCCTATTGTAGGACTCCTCAGAAATGCGAAATGCGAACCCACGACCTACCAGCCTCGCGCCAGACCACTTAACAGATAGACCACTGAGCCAGCATCCGATGGTGTTAATGTCTAACTTCAACCAATCCACGAAGTTTGAGCAACCGTTCACCAATTGTCTTCAGTGAGTTGTTAACTCACAACAGACCTGGTTGAACTCCACTGTTCACAGCTTCTCACTAGAACTCCAGGACATGTATCTTGAAGTCGGTCACTAGTGAGCAGATGACTATAATCAGAAGGGTTTTTTGGAGACTTCAGTATTTATTTCAGTGGTCTATCGGTTAAGTGCTCGCGAGTGAGACTGGTAGGTCCGGGGTTCTAATCTCGCGAGGCGGAATCGTGGATGCGTACTGCCACTGAGGAGTCCCACAATAGGACGAGACGGCCTTAAAGCAGGACTTCCAGGTTTCCCCCGGTGGTCTAGCTTCAATTGACTCATGATTTCAACTGTGAAAATACTTAATATATCTTAATTGTTGATAAGGTCCTGCTCTCTCTTTTGTTGGTAAGCACGATCAGTTTATAACAGCAATTCTTATACAGTTCGGTCCTTGAGAATGAACTTATTTCGTTAGAAAGCATAGTTCTTTCTCCAAGTGATTCAGTTTTCAGCATAGAAGATGTAAAAACACTTCTAATTGCAACATTGGGTTGTAGGGACGTCATACGTATCATGAATTTTGGTGATCGACATAACAAAGTAACACAAAGGAGTATGACAAGTATCTCCGGAAGTAAACTATGGTTTTTATTGTTTCTGACTAAAAAATATCTAAAGCAAACTCTCTACCTGTGAGACTGGTTGTAAGTAATCTGTTTCTATCCAGGAAGTAGAAGAATATATTTCAATACAATTCCCCATTCGCTTACTCCCACTATGCTATCAAGTCTGTTTCATGATAGCGTGCGAATCCTCTACAGCTTAAAGTTATACATGTAAATAAGAAATGAATGACTGTAATTACCATTATATTAGGCTTTCAGTCAAGAAAGAAAGGAGTCATTAAAATGTATTCACAATATCTTATTGGTCTAATGCCTAGCACTTTGATGCATTCGAAGAACAAAACATAAGTCAAAACGTTATAATTTCAGCAGTATATACTTTATTACAAACTGACAAAATATTTGAGACACGTTAACTTTCTTACCCCAAGGGATAGTGGACCTTGCGAAAGATATTGTTCCCGACTATATACCCTATTATACAATCGTCAACCAAACTTTCTATAACCTTTTACAATATAAAAACATTAGCAACGGACCGACTCCACGATATACGATGATAAATGTACCATGGAATATGAAGCCCTCTTTAAGAACATGTATTATACTTTAACAGACCTTATTAAGCGAATGTGGTAATAAAATTCAGATACAAATTGAATTAGAATGATTTTATTTCAGACATCCATGTTTAAAAGGAACTCCGCCTGTAGCTCCTCTGGGGGTTACTGCCGGTCCCAAGCCCGGGTAAAGGAGGAGGGTTGGGCATGGGGTTAGCGACTCCATCCCGTAGAAAATAAACTCGCTAAAAAACGCTAACCAGAAAAAATCATTCAAACCTTTCAAACTCTGCCCTGGGAGTAGAAGGAATAATTATGATGTCTCATGATGAAAGCTGAGTTCCTTCGCAAGTCATGAGGCCGATGCACCTTCTTACAACCAGAGCAACAATTTTTATAGGTACATGGAATATCCGAACAACGTGGGAGACCGGAAGAGTTTTCCAAATTGCTGCGGAAATGAGAAAATACAACCTAGAGGTTCTTGGAATCAGCGAAACACATTGGACGCAGGTTGGACAACAACGAATATCTTCAGGAGAACTTCTGTTATACTCCGGCCATGAAGAAGAAAATGCCCCACATACACAAGGAGTTGCATTGATGCTGTCCAGAAAAGCACAAAATGCACTTATTGGATGGGAATCTCATGGACCAAGGATCATCAAAGCCTCCTTCAAAACAAAGAGAGAGGGCATTACAATGAACGTCATCCAATGCTATGCGCCTACCAATGACTGCGATGAAGACGCTAAAGACCAATTCTACGATAGGCTGCAGTCGATCTTCGAGAAGTGCCCAACCAAGGACCTGACTATTCTGATGGGAGATCTCAATGCTAAGGTTGGAATGGACAACACTGGATACGAAGACGTCATGGGACAACATGGACTGGGAGAAAGGAACGAAAATGGTGAGAGATTTGCAAACCTATGTGTCTTCAATAAACTGGTCATAGGTGGCACCATATTCTCACACAAAAACATACACAAAGCCACTTGGATTTCACCGGATCACACTACACAGAATCAAATCGACCATATCTGCATCAACAAAAAGTTCAGGAGGACGATGGAAGATGTGAGAACCAGGAGAGGAGCTGATATAGCATCCTATCACCATTTCCTAGTCGCCAAGATGAAACTAAAACTCAAGAAGCACTGGACAACGGTGCGGACAACATCACAAAAGTTTAATACGGCCTTTCTTCGAGATGCTGACAAACTCAACAAATTCAACATAGCCCTCAGCAACAGGTTCCAGGCCTTTCATGATCTACTCAATGGAGAGGGAACTACCATGGAGAGCAACTGGAAAGGTATCAAGGAGGCAATCTTTTCAACATGTCAAGAGGTTCTGGGCCAAAAGAAGCACCATCACAAGGAATGGATCACTGTTGGTACACTGGATAAGATTGAAGCAAGGAGGAACAAGAAGGCAGCAATCAATATCAGCCGAACCAGAGCGGAAAAAGCCAAGGCACAAGCCGAATACACAGAGGCAAACAAGCAAGTGAAGAGGAGCATCAGAACCGACAAACGTAAATATGTTGAAGATTTAGCAACGATAGCGGAAAAGGCTGCAAGAGAAGGAAACATGAGACAATTGTATGATACAACAAAGAAACTTGCTGTAAATTACCGTCAAACAGAAAGATCAGTGAAAAACAAGGAAGGCAAAGTAATCACCGACATTGAAGAACAACGAAACAGGTGGGTAGAACACTTCAAAGAACTCTTGAATCGACCAGCTCCACTGAACCCACCCAACATCGAAGCAGCACCCACGGACCTCCCAATCGATATTGGCCCACCAACAATTGAAGAGATCAGCATGGCCATTAGACAAGTCAAGAGTGGCAAAGCAGCGGGACCAGACAACATCCCGGCAGAGGCACTGAAAGCAAATGTAACAGCAACTGCCAAGATACTCCACATCCTCTTCAGTAAGATTTGGGACGAAGAACAAGTACCAACAGACTGGGAAAAAGGACTTCTGATCAAGATACCAAAGAAAGGCGATCTGAGCAAGTGCGACAACTACAGGGGCATCACTCTCCTCTCAATACCAGGAAAATTCTTCAACAGAGTATTGTTAAACAGGATGAAGAATTCTGTAGAGGCTCAACTTCGAGATCAACAAGCTGGATATCGTAAGGATAGATCATGCACAGATCAAATCGCAACTCTGCGGATCATTGTGGAACAATCAATCGAATGGAATTCATCACTGTACATCAACTTCATCGACTACGAGAAAGCATTTGATAGCGTGGACAGGACAACACTATGGAGGCTTCTTCGACACTACGGCGTACCTGGGAAGATAGTCAATATCATACGGAACTCCTATGATGGACTAAACTGCCAAATCGTCCACAGAGGACAACTCACCGACTCGTTTGAAGTAAAGACTGGTGTTAGGCAAGGTTGCTTACTCTCACCCTTTCTCTTTCTCCTGGTCATCGACTGGATCATGAAGACGTCAACATCTGGAGGAATGCACGGGATACAGTGGACAGGCAGGATGCAGCTTGACGATTTAGACTTCGCGGATGATCTGGCTCTTCTATCACAAACGCAACAACAAATGCAGGAGAAGACATTCAGTGTAGCAGCAGCCTCAGTAGCAGTAGGTCTCAAAACTCACAAAGGGAAAAGCAAGACTCTCCGATACAATACAATATGCACCAATCAAATTACACTTGACGGAGAAGCTTTGGAGGATGTGGAAACCTTTACATATCTGGGCAGCATCATTGATGAACACGGTGGATCAGATGCAGATGTGAGGGCGCGGATCGGCAAAGCAAGAGCAGCATACCTACAACTGAAAAGCATCTGGAGCTCAAAACAATTGTCAACCAACACCAAGGTTAGAATTTTCAATACAAATGTCAAGACAGTTCTACTGTATGGGGCGGAGACGTGGAGAACTACGAAAGCCATTATCCAGAAGATACAAGTGTTTATTAACAGCTGTCTACACAAGATACTTCGGATTAGATGGCCAGACACTATCAGCAACAAGTTTATGTGGGAGACAACAAACCAGATTCCAGCAGAGGAAGAAATCAGGAAGAAGCACTGGAAGTGGATTGAGCACACCTTGAGGAAATCAGCTAATTGAGTCACAAGACAAGCCCTCAAATGGAATCCTGAAGGTCAACGGAGAAGAGGAAGACCAAAGAACACATTACGCCGAGAAATAGAGACAGACATGAGAAGAATGAACAAGAACTGGATAGAACTAGAAAAGGAAGCCCAGGACAGAGTGGGTTGGAGAAAGCTGGTCGGCGGCCTATGCTCCATTGGGAGTAACAGGCGTAAGTAAGTAAGTAAGTATGTTTAAAAGGACAGACATATAATTAATTAATCAACGTAATGTGTTCTTTGACCATTATTAGCCAAACGACAGTCAGTCAAGGATTGATTATCTTTATATTGGATAAAAATATATCTAACATATACAAATAGATAGGCGACTAAGCAGCCTATAAATAAAGATGGATAAACTTTCATACATACGCAGATATAAAAACAACTTGTTAATACTTGAAAAGAACAAACATAAGTGTACAGAATCGAGTGATATGTATCTTGTAAGGAATCTATACGGGACATCATAAAGTAACCTGTTTGATTTGTAATGACTTTAGCTTTTTATTGTTCTTATGTTAGAAAATCAAGGAAAAATGACTTTCTCCCATTCTGTCGAAACATTTTGTAGACTTTTTATGTTCTGTAATGGGTTATGGTTTGAAAAGTGGAGGAAATCTACACAACTAATCAGTCGGTCAAACGCAACTTAGAACCCGCGTAACATCTTAAAGGATATAGGCGTATACTTTTGCAGCACCTGGATGGATTTTCAAATTAAAGTTACGTTGGATATTTTAGTACTAAACCAAATGAGGCATAAATTACAGATTTTTCGAGCTCTATTCTTAGATGGTAAGTTATTTGTTTTTCCATCTTATCTGCTCTAGCAACTTGTCAAAGCTGCAGTTAAATATTTCTGATGGTTTTAAAAGGGAGTTAAGGAAAGATAATATGAATTTTTCGACAGACATTTGTAGCTAATGATCAGTAAGGCGACCAAACATGACAATGAGGAATAAAAAGCGCTATATTTGGAAACCTAAGGAAACAAATAACGGAATCAAAGCCTAAATTTGGAGAAATATTGGGGAAATTCTTTAAGGAAATTTGATGTAAATATAGGCAACAATGGATCAAATTTTGTCCTTTTCTCGAGTAAAGGGCAAATAGTTCTAATTGTCCCTTAAATTCTTCCACTGAGGGGACACGTTTAATCCCTGCTTAATTGAAATTAACATCGAATATTCTAATTTGTCCAGCTCTCGTAACAATTGTCTTTAGCAAAAATGAACGCCAATTAGTTGATTTTTGTACAAATCGCCTACTTCTAGCCGAAATTAACACCGTCTGTTTACACTTGACCGATAGCTGGGTAGTGACCAATGTCATGTGTGTCAAATCCTTCTAAATGTAAATCAAATTCGGCCAATTAAATTTCAATGTGGTTCCTAGTCGAGGTAACTTGTGCACTACTTGGAATGTATGGTGAATTATAATCCACCAAGGAGCATCAGTTCTCCCAAGATTTTAGTTACACCTTGATGACGAGTGTCAAATAGCACGAAATTTAGGCCCAGGGTTTACTGAGCCTGTATACAAATAAACTTTCTGGTCTCCTACCATAATCGGTTTCGTTATATGTTGAAGATATCAAGATATAGAGAGTGACAAAAAGTAATATGATAGATCTGAGTTTCGGAATGACTTATAACAATTATCCGAATGGTACAAAATTTGGCAGTAGCCTATAGACGCTTTCAAGTGCATTATGATGAATATTGGTCACTAAGATACAGATAAATTCACAGTGAATAACACTGAGCTACTTGTATACAGTGTTCGTCCATTCTAAGCTCGCGTATTTAATACGACAAGCTAGCTTCTGTTAAAAAACAGTAAGCTGTTGAGTAAGGCTCAAACAACGACAAATTAGTTGATTCCCGAAACTCAAAGCTGCCGTATGAAGAGAGACTTACTAAGCTAAACCTCTTCCAATTGTCATTTAGAAGGACTAAAGGTGATTAATAGGAGTTATTGAATTACTTAACAGTGAATCTGTATTTGAGACCCTTCAAAGTGAGGACAATAGTAAAAAATCTCAAAAGTTCAGAACAAATTGCTTGTCAGCTGAATAAAGACTCTCCTGCCAAATGATCAACTAATGGAAATCATTACCTCAACATGTGATTGAAACTCCCTCTGTCAACGCATTCAAAAAGTCTGATCAACTGTGGGAATGCTACATCCATGATTTGGGGAGGTAATTCATCCTTCTGTAGACTGAAAACAAACTGAAACTTAAAACGAAGGTGTCTATACATGTGTGTGCAGAAGTCAGCAACAATGAATCAAGTCGACAAGTTTTGGCAATGAAAATGAATGGACAACCATCACAAGTGACAGCAACGCATGAAAAAAGAAAAGGGCAATGAATGCAAAGTTTGAATAGATACTTGGGAAAATCTTCAAGAAAAGTTGGGGTAAACATAGGTGACAATGCAAAAAGTTGTCTTTCCTATACATCAAGGGAAATTGTGTGGCTTTTTCATGCGCTTCTTCACATGAGAAAAATGATTTGGCATTCTCGAATTAAAATTCACAACTTGTTTACTTTTCACAAAAATCGGCATTGAGTGGTTGGCTTTGAAGAAAACGGCAAATTTTTAACTAAAATATTGAGTTTGGTGTTTTGCTAATGTCAATACCTGAAATAGACTTCAAAGCCTAATTATAACATCACAATAAACAGGAAAAATGAACAAAATAGTGATAAATATATGTGCTTCATTAAAGGTGATTAACAAACAAATATTTACCGAATTTGTCTACTCAAAGACAAAATTAATTAGACTTGCATGATTCACATGAAATCAGGATGCTCACTTTGTAGGTCCTCGTAAACAGTAGACACACAATGTTTGTAATTTTATTTAATAATAATGTTTTGGCGTCAAAACCTGCGCAGTTATTAATCACCACAGTGTTGACCTTCAAATAATCAATGTCTTTGTAACAGGCTTGTATAAACCAATGGAATATTTTGCACTAGCTTGTTGTGGTTTCGATATGGTTCCAGGTAGTTGGTTATGTCGATTGGGCAGTAGTCTAACCACTGGACTGGATTAATTCTAGTCAGTGTGCTAGTTATTTGTAGGTTTGTATATTTTGTAGCTGAGTAAGTGCTTATGTCAGAGGACACTATCACATTACCAGGTAGGAGGTTGCTCGGTCGCAATGTGAAAATAATAAATTGATAATTCAATCGCCAAGAGAAGACGACTGTTTGAAGGATAGATGATTAATTTACTTGATTGATAGTATTTAAGAAGACGGGATTGAAAGAACGAGAGGGAGACGAAAGTTATAGTAAGAGAGATAGGAATTGGTTACTGATATGTGGTGATGATAGCCGTAGAAATTATTGATATATGTATCAGAGGCAACTGGTCGAAGAGAAGGGTGGTAATACACGGGTGATCATGTGTTATTTAAGTTTTCTCCTAAAGCTATCAATGGAAAAAGCTGTGGTCACTTTAGCTGAGAGAACATTCTGAATTGGGACAACTGTTAGTGAGAGAAAGTGAGAGATAACCTGAATATTCCTTTCTTAACGTGCAATCTTTGAGGGTTGCGTTGAGGAGGGTGATGATATTCTTCAGAGGACCGGCTCGATTCAGATTGGTTTGACGTATCTAATTTATCGTATTCTACCATTAGATCTCCTATTTCTCTGTATCTCAGCGAGAATAACCCCAGGTTATAGGGTCTGTTTACGTAAGAATAATGTTTTGAAACTATAGCTGACTTGTTCTCCATCTCCGTTCTTGGTCTAAGAGATTTATATGTCTTTTGAAAGGGGCAGACAACGACATTGTTGACTTCAAGGTGGGACTGTGAATAAGTATTTTACAGTGTTAAGAACAACTCTGAGGTGATTGTGTCAAGTCTTCCCATCTAAAGTGGAGGGTTACATTTGTCTTGGTTGCATTCACTGTGTAATTTGAACTAGTTTCTATGCTCTCTGTGGTTCCAGACCTGAAATCACCCTATGAAGAAACAACTGGGAGCGGACTTCCATGGAAAACGAAAGTGTTATGTTTTAAATAGGTCTGAATGTTCATGACATGGCATTCTGACGGGTTAGGTTTTGAATAAACTTCTGATATTTGCATTGTTTATATAGATCGGTGCATTGACCTTATTTTATCTAACAGGTTGTTTATAAAGACCAAGAACAGAATTGAATCAAAGATTGTTTCTCATGGCACTCCGATTTCGAGACATTCCAAGTCTTGTGCACTCTCTTTTTCTGGATGCAAGACATCCTGTTCTCTATGTAGCTTCAGGGCGTCGGTGAAACCCATCTCTGCAAACTTTGGTATGAGAATTATGTTAGGTTCTGTGTCAAAGAATTTTGCGAATTTAAGGAATATCACGTGAACCAGTATATCTTGATTCAAGAAGGTCGTCCGGTTTCACATACTTTGAGTAGGTTGGACTCACAGGACGTGTCTTCCGTGAACTCATGTTGAGTTTCATGTAGAATGTTATCTTTATCTATGCATTTCCTCATTTGTTCGTTGGCCAGTTCTTTCATCACCTTCGACAGTATTGGGAGTGATGTGACGGGTCTCTTTTGTCTGGGGCTTTTTTATCAGTCCATGTAAAAGTTGAGCAGAGTGCGGTCTGGTGCTATTACACTGAGAGTTAGTGTTCATCTAGTGGGTACATAAAAAATCACTCACTGGTGTCCTCATCGCTTACGCACACTGTTCCACGATTTATAGGTCGAGTGTTTTTACATTCCGTCGGTTTCATTTGGAGCATGGATTTAATTCTTTTTATTACTAACGCGGGAGTAGTCGGATATCACTCGGACCCTCAGCCACTACTAGAGTTGGGAGTTATTCAGTGTCTGAAAGCTTCAGATTCGGTTCGTCCATGAAGCTGTCACCAAAGATCGCCATATCTAAGCTTGTGAGGTCTTTCTTTTTAGTCATTTATGAGCACAGATCCTCTGGTTCATGAGCTTTCTCCTGGTCATGAATCTTTTATAGATATCCGGCGTTAACACACATTTTGACATTTAGCTTGCTATAAAAATATCTATTGTTGCGGACGTCGGCATTTTATCTATCTCTCAATGAGAAGTAGGAGCTAAGATTCGAATCCTCTAGAGAGACTTTTCACATATACCAGGCTCTCCGTTTGGCCTGAAAAAAACGTGCTGTGGATAGCTCAACCCGGGTTCTTCACTTTTCGGGTGTATGCTTTCCCTGAGTTACATTATGTTGATTCGCGCTTTGAATGATTTCACCCACCTCCACAAAGGGTCACCCACTGTTAGTCTTCAATACTCTCAGTGTTCAGTAAGCGTGTTACACGTGTTGCCTCATCGTAGTGTGATTTGCTCTAGTTTAGCTAGGGTAGGGAACATTCTCGCCTCCACGAAGTATTTCATTTGCGACGACGAGAAACATGACAATGTTATGGTAACTACTTCCTATTGATGCATGGAAATCGACCTTCTCAACTGTAAAACGGTCATCTTTCAGCATTTATTCTAGTTTTGTAATCTTTCCGTCCCTGTCTCATTCAATGGAGCCAATCACATGTCCAGTCTGTCCTGGAGTTTTAATGGCTATTACAGGCCACTTATATAACCGTCATTTATAGTTTGCTTCCTGAGATTTAGGGATGGAGTGTTGAAGTCTCCAATCAGTAGTATCAGTTCAGAAAGCATGTACAGCAGCTCCAGCATCACCCATATTATCTCATCTCTTCAGGTTTAGGAACTTATGGAAGGTCAGTATTTCACTTCAATCACGAACTTCGTACAGTTCACATTGAAGCTAGGTTACAAGCAGACTGTTGCTTGAAAGGTGTTGACCAGTTCCATGAGAACTTCCACAATCAGTATTTCTGCCCATATAACATGCCTCATTAGTGGGACCATGGTCTATGTGTTCTCTACCGTCGGTTGTTGATAAGGGTATATACTACGTTTTCTGATTTAACCTCTTCAATCTAGATTGTCTCCCACAACATCTAACGTGATTGGAGGGGTCATTCTTCCAGCTGTACCAGACCTGAAGTGCTTCAGTAACGTCCTCTTAGCGTTTGAAGTTCACAGCCTTAATGGTCATGCGATATAACGAACGAGATGGCTTGACACACACAGACGATCTTAGTGGTATGAGGGCCTATTCTACATAACAGCCAGAGCCACTGTTGCATATCGTGTTCGTGGTCTTCATCTCGATTGCAACCTTCTGGCCCAGGTACTTCTTAAGTCACACTGCCAGTTGGTTCTTGGGTGTTTGCTAATATACAGTAAATATTTCTGCAAGCCTTATCTCCTAGGGCCCATGATTTGTCGTGTCTAACTCGCATTTGAGAATGTCACTTCACTGATGGTCCCTGGGATGTTGTTGTGACCTTCCCATATCAATTATCACGTGACTAAATCGCCAGTCAGTAAATGAACTTCTATGACTTTGCTTCCATGCCAAATCAATGACATGTCAACCAGCACTAGCAGCCTTGCATCAACCCCGAAATCATTTGGTCTTCAAAATAGTAACTCCTTATTTACCCTATTTTATTGACTACAGGAGGAAATATTAATCTCTACTATATAAATGAGATATTTCGGACATAGTTTATATACAAGCAGACCAGACTTCATCAAACTACAAAATAAAAAGTGGTGATTAAATGGGATCAAGATAAAAGTGACTGTAAGTATGAGAGACTGTAATTGATAGACTGGGGATAGTAAATCTCATAGTGGTAGCCAATATGTCAAATGAAAGCTTATGATAAAAAAGGTATGAACATATATAAATATTCTGGTTACTTAATTAACGTATTGTAAGTATATATATATATATATATATATATATATATATATATATATATATATATATAATAAGTCCCACGCCCATAATTTATACTTCTTGGGATACAACAGATGCTAGTTAGATTTCTTCAGTAATGTGTGCTGAACCTATTGGAAGTACGTGACAATACGAACTAATGACTTAGATAGATGTCATGAGGAACCCTAAATTTGCACGTCAGGTGTGATGGATTGACGAATTGAATACGAAATGTATAACTACTGTTTACGAAATAATTTAAAAGAACATTAACTGTCTACTGTGATTTTTGAATAGAATAGCTGAATGTCGATAAGTAGTAAATATATGTAATTCAACAGACCATGTACTACCTCAACCGATAATCTGCGGTCTAGAGAATATATCAGTTCAAAAGATAGTATCGGCATTATTATCAAGATATAGTTTGAACTGCAAGAGTAGCAGTGATGGTCAGCATACGTAAATTATGAATTTAAGATCTGTTATCTCTCATGATCATTTATAATTTGTTACCGACAAGAAGTTGACGGAGGGGGAACCTCAAATATATGCTGAATGCACCTAATCATATCATATATAAGTAGATAGACCGATATAATCTCGTCTGATCAGTTAATTAAAAATAAAGTCAAAGTAGTCACCATAGAAGAAAATACTGTTTCCTTCACATAGTAGAAGTATTTAGCATCGATTCACGAAAATAGGAATACTCAGCCCTTGTGCTTGTACTGATCGAATTATTTGACCTTTAGTGAAATTTGTTAACTTCGTTGCACGTAGTAAATAACAAGCCCCTGACATAGTAAGATTGTCTTCTTCACAGCCTTTTGTAAATCGTCACCATGATTTCTTTCCTGATTCCTCAAGCTTTCTTACAACCAATACCATAATAACCTTTTATTTACACATTATTGGATATAACTCACCAATTAAGGGTATGTTTTCCATCAAGTTACTGAATATTCATAAACAAAAAGTACTTCATGCATGGAAATATTAGGTTAGGAAAGCACATCTATTTATTGACCCGTTATATCTTGCGGCATGTGTCCTGTTAATGTATAACGTGATAACACCGTCAAATAGGGTACAGCACCAATGACGCACGAAACCCGTACAAGCATAGAGTACTTATCGGTCCTGCTTTCTGCCTACTCCAGAACACCAATCTCAGCCTCTGCAATATGAATCATGTATTTCAAACATACCGGGGTTATATACCAAACAGACATGACCTCAATGAGAACATCAAGAACTACAAACAACAGTATTACGACAATTCGCGGAAGTGCAAAACGCAATACATAATACATTTAAGATACTGTTAAAGTAACCCCAATGTAACTGATCTTGTTTGTATACTCATTATTTCTGAACTGTAGTTATTCGGTTAATTTTAACATGCAAACTTATTTTGCTTTTTGAGTGTTCTGTTATCTGAGTTGGATGAAACTTCCATGACACTTCTACTGTCTTTCTAGATAACATCAGTAATTTTTTTAGGAAAAAGTATGCTATTAGTTCAGTTGACTTGAGATCTGGTAGTTTGTCAATGAAAGTTTCATAATAGCTGAGAGCACTCAACTTAAACAGTATACATTTCGATAGAATCCTCCTCTTGAGCTATAAGCTAATAACTCATCATTATCTGTATGTGGTGTTGATTGCATTGTCTTTTCCATTTCTGATCCCGTGACTAAACTATTAAACATCCTCATCACCAATATAAAATAATTTAATTCCCATTACATTAATCCATAAAGTCAATCAGTCAGCTACAACGTGGAACCATACACATTTATGCATCGGTCCAAGTTGCCATACTCCGTTAACACAACAAGATGAACACCGGATTGATAGAAGTAGTTCATTTAGTGGTGGTAATATATAAAAGAAAGATTGTATATAAGAATATAGTACATGATGAAAAAAAAAAGAAGCAATTTTACTCTCACAGTTTAAGGGAAGATAAGGAGTGTATACACCTACGCCATTGTGATCGATTCTGAGCCATGTCACACAGGGTCTCCAACCATTGCTTACGATAGTCGCGTAGACCCCAACCAAGTAGTCTGCATCTACCAACATGGGTCAGGTTAAAAGTTAGTGACTTCAAGCACTGATGCCACGTTTTGTTTTGGCCAAAACACAGATCAGGTTAAAACACAGATATACACCAAATAATTTTTATTCATTATATAAGTTTATATATACAGCATATTTTACTCTTCATAATTAGTTTTTATCTATTTCTTCTTTGTTTTTTTGGTTTCAGGTACACGAAGCTGAAACCGAAATGACAAACAGAGAACACACAATGAATTAGAAACTCATTCAAGCAAATTATTTATAAAATAATCATTGAAAAGAATAACTTATAACTTCATGTAGATCAGTCAGTCGATGAACTTCACTTTGTAAAATGTGAATAAAATTACACTAAATACTTCATTTGCAAATCCCTCATCAATTGCCTCAAACGTCATCGTCCCTTAACTGTTATTACAATTACCATTTCTTAACATTCCCATTCTCTTTGATTCTATCTTCTCAACCTTCTGCTACCAGTCATGCCAATTCTGATTTTTGTTACATACTACTGATTTCGGAGTCGAAAAATTAAATAACACTTTAAATTTACTGGTTTTTGATCATTGACTTATGAAATTGATATTTTTCAATTATCGCTCCCCTCCTGGTACGGCCGAGAGTGATGACAGTCCGTTCTCTCTCTCCAAATGCTCTCACATGGCCACGCGTATATAGCCTCTCTCAGGGAAGTCCTACTCACTGCATTCTAGTGGCATTACTGTTGTATACGAAATTGAGAGGTCGAAAAGCGAATATCCGGCGCTTTAACCGGGTTGGTGGACACAGAGGGTCCACCTAGGGGAGTTGGAAAACCCTCATCCCAAACCAATGGAGCACATGGGCTCCAGCATCCTGGTGGAACAAATGGCGTATGAGTCAATCGTTGGTCACCGGCCAACATAGGACTGCATCTCTTCACGATGCTCCACTGCCTTGTGGATCAGATTTTTAGGTCGAAGGCTCCGGCTGTGGCCCCTTAAGGGAAACACCTGCCACGGTTTGAGCACCCGGCAGTATCAAAGCCCTCACACAAATTTAAGATTTGTGTGCTGCATATATATGTGGTGCTCCTTTGTACCAACATTTATGTTTAAAATATTTACAAATACTGATTTACGTCGTTTTGCATTTAAGATTATTAGGCACTTAAACGTAATATCAATTCATGAAGTGACTGATTAAGGAAATGAATCTTATTGATAGGTAGACAAGGTTTTAGGTTCCAAGATCTGTGAGATAGTTGTGGCATTGAACATCAATAGTTGTACACCTTTTCTATATCGTAAAATAAGTGTCATTGAAGTTGATTCCTGCAAACTTTGATTGAATGTCAATAAATAATAATAATGCATTAAAAAATGAAAGCATTTGACCTACCCAATGAGGTTTAGAATTTTTTCCAGGGTTCTTTGCTGAGTTTGAAACTTCATTATTGCCTTTCTTAGCATTGAAGTTGGAATTACGCTTAGCACTGTTAGGTGACTTGAAAGATTTTTTAGAGTTACGCTTAGCTTGAATAACTGCCTGTAATTGTTTGTCGATTTCCTCATCCGAACTATTATTACTACTAGCTGATGAAGCTTGTTCTTCGTCAACGGAAGATGATAGTGAAGTGATTAGGCTATTATTTTTTAAAGCTGAAGAATTATTATTAACTAATTTTTTCTGCTTGCGATCTTTTTTAATTACATTTTTATTGACCACTTCGTCGTTATCTTCAGATGCATCATCACTATCTGTATCGCCTAGATCTTCCTCATCCTCTTCGTCATCATCATCATCGTCTTCTTCCTCCTCACTACCGCTGTCATCTTCATCATACTCGCTAATTTCATCTTCATCGTCTTCATCATCATCGTCGTCGTCTTCTTCTTCATCGTCATCCTCTTCTTCATCATCATCGCCATCATCTGTCAGTTTACTCAATTCAGCTTTAGTTTTATTTTTGGCAGACATTTTTGATGAAACAAGGTCATTAAGTACAGATGTTTTACCAGTGGTTGAATTTTTATTTTTTGTTTGATGTACAAGCAATTCATCTGTTTTGCTTTCATCATTTGACTCACTATCAGCTGATGATTGAGAATCAGCTTCAGATTCAGGTAATTGTTGAACTAAAACTTTTGTATTACTACTACCTTTATTACTACCAATGTCTTTTTTATCAACTGTTGTTTTTTGAATCGTTACATTAGACGACTTCCCTGATGATGGTGATGGTTTATTATTCAACTTTTTCTCTTTTACTTCCGATGACTGATTCTTATTAACTTCTGATTGATTCTTATTATTTTGTTTATGGTCAGTTTCTTTAGATAGAGATGCCTTTTTAAAAATAAAGTTTACAAATATTGGTAGACCACGAACAAGTCGTTTATGGGTTGTGGCAAATGCTTCAATCGATACATTTTGATTGACAAATTTGACAATTGCATAACTAAAAAAATAATAAACAAATAAATAATTGGTTACTATCATTGAGATTTACTGCTAAGATCAACTTATTCACAACATGAAGGATGTAACCACTAAAGTGAGATTAATGACCAACATATAATGAAGAAATAAGTGTAGTGGCTGGGTTTATATATCAAGCCAACAAAAGTTATTCTAACTTCTGGACAGACCAATTTATTCATTCTACATAAACTACATTTTCACCTTGTCACTTATTCGCTTAATAACTTCCTGACTGTTTTGATATGATCGTGTGTGTGTGTGTATTGCTTACTACACTCATCACATGTCTGTAACTTATTTTCGATCTGACAATAAATAGTGAGTCACGCTTGATTAAATCGAGTAGGCTAACATGCCTTTATCAATCCGTTTTACCTTGCTCTCCTCTCTTTGCTCCCTTCATATCTTTTCCCTGATTGTCTGCTCTGATCAGCGACTGTATGAAATATACGCATTCAAAATCTATTCTCGTATTTGATTTTATTGTCAGTCAGTCAGCTAAAACGTAGGACCAGGCACATTTATGCATCAGTCGAAGTGGCCATACCTCGTTAGCACAACAAGATGAACATCGATTTCATTACTTTAATGGTGGTAATATATAAAAGAAAAGTTGTATATGAGGATGTAGTACAGGAAGAAAGACAGATATGAAGCGATTTTACTCTCACAGTTTAAGGGAAGACAAAGAGTGTATATACCTACGCCATTGTGATCGATTCTGAGCCATGTCACACAGGGTCTCCAACCATTGCTTACGATTGTCACGCAGATCACAACCAAGTAGTCTGCAACTGCCAACATGGCTCAGACTAGAAGTTAGTGACTTTAAGCAATGATGCCACGTTTTGGTTTGGCCGGCCCTAACTCTTTTCCAACCATCCCCTACATTAGTCAGCATTGCGCGTCATGGTAATCAGTGTTCAGGCATACATAACACGTGACCTAACCATCTCAGTCGATGAAGATTCATGACCTCATCAACTGACTTGCCATCATTCTCTAACACCCTGTGTCTAACACCTCACTACTACCTACCCGTTGATCCTTTATTGACAAACTGGAGTTATGCCGATGAATATGTACGAGGATAGCTGGGATGTATAATTCAATGACGATCATACGATCCACTTGCAAACAGACATTGGGCCAGGAAATAAGTAAAACAGAAATTACACTGACAAAAGTGTTTGGAACTATAGCCTTCCTATTGTACATAGAGATTTCTGTATACAGGCTTTGAGTGACACTTTCATGTGAGGATTAACGTCACAACAGTTAGTCAGTTATAAATAAAGTAAGAATTAACATAATATTGCACTTATCTAATTTGTTACATCATGCTAGTATAGTGAAAGTTAAAATAGATGTACAACAAAAGGGATTCTAGTAGATAGTAGTGTTTAACATGTAAACGATGATACAATTCGCATATACTTTGAAAGGAACGAACCGGATGAAAAAATAATACCTATAGTTTTGAACCGCTGACATCAATGCACTGACAAGAATGCACACCAAACATTTGATAAATTAAAAGAGAGTGTGACATGGCTCAGAATCGATCACAATGATATAGGTATATACACTCTTTATCTTCCCTTAAACCTTGAGATTAAAATCGCTTCATATCTGTCTCTCTTCCTATACTATATTCTTATATACAACCTATCTTTTATATACTGCCACCACTAAATTAATTACTTCTATGAATTCGGTGTTCATCGTGTTGTGCTAACGAGGTATGGCAACTTGAACCGATGAATATATGTGCCTGGTACTACGTTGTAGCTGACTGACTGACTGATATAGTTTTTAAGACAAAATTCAGCTTAAACAAACGAATCATACTTATTTAAATGATCAATGCTTTAGCTAATAAGCTAAATGTTTTTAAATAATTATTAAATGATGTACAATGTATACATAAATTGAGTAATTAGTTTCATGATGTATTTTGTAATGTTTAACTGTGGTATCAGAAGTAGCAAAAGGTCAATCGATGACTTAAATGTCAAGTGCATTAAATAAGGATCAATGGGTCAACTTCCTAAGGATATAGTGAAATAATATATATGAGTATTTGTGAATTTTCTTCGGTAGTCTAATACACTCCCTCGATCAAGTAATTGGGGAATAGCTCATAGAATAAGGGCATATAAGTATCAGATTCCCCTACAATGAACATCACAACAATTATCCATTCACTTAGTATTGTTTGTTTGAATCTTCCCATTGATGTTTTTAGGACTGCAACTGGTCAGTCTCTAATTGGCATATGTGTTTACCGTACGTACTACCTCGATATAGCCTAAATTCGCAAGCATGGTAAACAAAGATGGATAGTGTCTAGCAGTGTAATCCAGGACGCGCGTTTCGTCTTATTTGGGACTCGTCAGCTGGATGTACCTGCATCTCAGAGTTGATGTTCACTCTGGGACTCGAACCCAGTAACTTTCGCTTCAAACGCCATCGCGTTATCCACTAGGCCACTGAGTCCGTTCACATAAGTGATTTACACACTTTCTTTTTATTCTTTATAACAGTTAGTCAATTGGTGAATCTAGTGTTTTTCTCTAAGGTTAGGAACTAGATTTATGGTTTTTATCACGAACTGATATCAGCTGAAATGCCGAAACGTTATTAAGCCAAATGGATGAATGAATTTCAGGCTAAAATCTATGACCAATTTTATCCTAAATCTGATTGGTTCGACCATAAATTATAGTCACGCCGTTTTTAAAAAATGTCAAAGAATTGATCCACTCAAGGATCATGAGTACAAAAATAAAATCAAACAATGATCAATATGATTGCAACGTACCCGCATGGAATTCCATCTTTGGTCAATGGAAAATCAATATTGCCTTTTGGAAATATATGCATTAAATCATTTTTAGTTGTTGAACTATTGAAACCAGTTACAAAAAGTTGCGTTCGATCAATATGATCAGACATTAATTCACTGATAGGAAATGATAGACGATTAGGTTGAGCAGTGATTGTATTACCGGCAAACAAACGACCAGATATAGCTTTTCTTGCAGCTTCAGCTGCATCAGCATCGATGTATTGAAGAAATACAAACCTAGAGATAGAGAGATGGACATAATTTTTTTTTAAAAAAAACTGGTCAATAACAAATGAAATTGTATGTTTTTTGACTGTCACCAATATACATTTACGGTGGGCAAATATAAATGTTAGGTGGCGGAAATAAATCGTTGAAATCATGAGTCAATTGAAACTAGACCATGCAAAACCTGGAAGCACTGGATGGCCGTTTCATCCCATTATGGGATTCCTCAACAGCGAGAATCCACGATCCCGCCTCGCGAGCAAGATTCGAACCCAGGACCTACCAGCCTCAAGCCAGAGCACTCAACCGATAGACCACTGAGCTGACATTCAACTGTCTTAATGTCTAACTTCAACCAATCCACGATTTTGAGCAACCGTCCACCAATTGTCTTCAGTGAGTTGATATCTCTACAACAGACTTGGTAGAACTCCACTGGTCACTGCTTCCCACTAGAACTCAAGGAAATAAATCGACAGGATACATTGGACCTAAATTTTGCGCTCTAGCAGTTTTCAATAAAGTATACTTGTAATCTTGACGAAACTCATATTACCTATGATTCGAAACAAGCCAGTTACCTCTAAACAACAATCAATATCTTGACACAATGGAAGCAATATTTAGTTACTTAGGGCTAATGGTTATATTGCGTGATATTGGCCCCCAAATGCCCTGGTACGGCCGAGAGTGGGGAGAGTCACCTCTCTCTCTCGAAATGCTCTCATATGGCCAGCGAATATATAGCCTCTGCCACAAAAGTCCTACTCACTGCCTTCTCACAGCACTACTGTTGTTTACAAAATTGAGAGGACAAAAAGCGAATATCTGGCGCTTTAACCGGGTTGGTGGACAAAGAAAGTTCACCTAGGGGAGTTGGAAAACCCTGATTCCAAACCAGTGGTGCACATGGGCTCCAGTATCCTGAGGGAACAAATGGAATATGAATCAACCGTTGATCACCGGCTACAATGGGATTGCATTTCCTCACGATGCTCCACTGCTCCACTGATATTCAGGTCAAAGGCTTCGGGTGTGGCCCCCTAAGAAAACCACTTGATTCAGTTTGGGCACCTGGGCAGTATCACAGTCATCACACAAATCTAATGAGATTTGTGAGGCGCATATTTATCTGGTGCTTCCTTGTACCAATATTTATGTGTTGAAATAAATAAAATAAATAAATGGTTATATTGAGAATGAATCGATATAATTTGATCAATGCTTAAAAGATTGATAAACAACATTGATCACTATTCAGTGATTAATCTAACAACAACTCTTGAAAAAATTTTGTCAATCAGAATATAGATTGTATAGATTATTCATTTAAGACAAAGTATTCCCTTAGATCAAGTATGGAAATTGTTTAGAATAGGATGCCCCCCCAAATGCCCTGGTACGGCCGAGAGTGGGGAGAGTCTACTCTCTCTCTCGAAATGCTCTCACATGGCCAGCGAATATATAGCCTCTGCCAGGGAAGTCCTACTCACTGCATTCTCGTGGCGGGGGTGTTGTTTACGAAAGTGAGAGGACGAAAAGCGAATGTTCGGCGCTATAACCGGATTGGTGGACACGGAGGGTCCACCTAGGGGAGTTGGAAAACCCTGATTCCAAACCAATGGTGCACATGGGCTCCAGTATCCTGATGGAACGAATGGCGGAAGAACCTGCTGTTGGTCAACGGCAACCATGGGACTGCATCTCCTCACGATGCTCCACTGCCTTGTGGATCAGACCTTTAGGTCAAAGGCTCGGGGTGTGGTCCCCTAAGAAAACCACCTGCTTCGGTTTGGGCACCCGGGCAGTATCACAGCCCACATACAAACAAATGAATGAAATTATGAACTTTATTGACGATATCCCTGGTCATACTAAAAGCAAAACAATTAACATTATTATTATTACCTTTATTATTATTATTATTATTATTATTATTATTATTATTATTATTATTACTTACCATATCGCTAATTCACCCCCTTTTATCCCCAATTTGTGTAACCTTACTCTTCAACTTATGCAGCAGCTCGCTCTTGGTGGAAAATCTGTCCTATCTAAACGATCTCCAGTCACTGTCTGGTTGAAAGTGAATGCTTCCACCGATTATGAATACTGAGGCAGTCTTTCTGAAACCACGTACGCCGTTCAAGCTGGCTTCCTTCAACGTTCGCACACTAATGCAGATCAGACAACAGATAGGGCTGGCTATGTCTTTGGAAGGTCTTAATGTTGACGTTTGTTGTCTATCCGAGACCCGTATTCAAGACTCTAGTGAAGTACTACAAATCCGCTCTCCATCTGTCGCCTCGAAAAGCTTGTTCCACGTGCGCTTATCCGGGGACCCTGTGGCATCTTCGTCTGGTCTTGCTGGCGTTGGTGTCGCACTAAGCGCTAGAGCTGAGGCAGCACTAATCGATTGGATCCCCATTAACAGTCGGTTATGTGCTGTTAGATTAGAAAGTTCCATCAAAGTGAGAAGAAATCGGCGTGAGAAACGGTGTCTTTTCGTCATCTCCGCCTATGCCCCGACAGATTGCAGCCCGGATGCAATCAAGGATGAGTTTTACCATCAGTTAACAGTTCTTCTCCAGAAAGCGCGTTCGACAGATATTGTAGTACTAGCCGGAGACTTGAATGCACAGGTCGGGCGTCTAGGCACAGAAGAGAGTCGTCTAGGTGGCCGATGGGGACTTGTTGGTCGCAGGACAGATAACGGGGACCGTTTGCTGCAACTGTGCACAGACCACAACCTGTTTCTGGCCAGCACTAACTTCCGGCACAGTCATCGCCGGTGTGCCACCTGGCGTCCTCCCTCTGCATCCCAAGCCTGGACTCAGATTGATCACATCGCGATCAGCTACCGCTGGCGTGGTTGTGTACAAGACTGCCGCTCCTTTTGGAGTACCTACCTGGAGTCTGATCATGCCCTGGTCTGCGCCAATCTCACCTTACTTTTCAGTGGCCGAAGGATTGACCACCACCAACGGATTGATATTAGTAAACTGGCTGCAACTTCTGTTGCAAGTAAGTATCGAGCGGAGCTAGCCTCTAGGCTAGCTACCACCCCACCGAAAAGTATAGGTAAGCATTGGTTGCATCTTCATGACGCCATGAAAATGGCGAGTAAAGCCGCTTGCGGCTTCGCGAAACGTCCCGCTTACAAGCACTGGGTTTCTTCTGGCTCCTTACAACTGATGGAAGCCCGTCGGTCTACTCCGGGTGACCGTGAGTTTGACCACAAACGAAGGCTGTTACGTAATGAAATCGGGCAAAGCTTGTGTAAGGACCGGGAAGCCTGGTGGTCGGAGCGTGCTAATGAGATGGAATCAGCAGCTGCATCTGGTAACTGCCGGAAGCTCTTCCAACTCATCCGAGCCACTGGCAGCAAGAAGTCTGGTGTGAGTGAAACAATCTACGAGGATGATGGGATGCCAATCACAAATATCTCTCGACGTCTTGGACGATGGGCGGAATTTTTCGAAGGGCAGTTCAACTGGCCTGCTGCTCCGGCAACATCAACCAGCTTGTCCTGCTCCCCATGGCCGGTGACGACTGATCCACCAAACGAGGCGGAAGTCCGCAAGGAACTCCAACTCTTGAAACGTTATAAATCACCGGGCCCAGATGACTTACCTCCGGCTCTTTTTAAAGATGGTGGTGACTTTCTGGCTAAGGAACTGACTGCGTTGTTTGGAAAGGTTTGGGAGCAAGAAAGTGTTCCAACATTTTGGAATGAGTCAATAGTCGTCCCTATCTTTAAAAAGGGTTCACGTTGTTCCTGTAGCAACTATCGGGGGATAAGTCTACTTTCGATCGCGTCCAAACTATTGGCTTCTATCATTCTTCGTAGGTTGTTTAAAACCCGAGAACGATTGACTCGCGAGGAGCAGGCTGGTTTTCGTTCTGGTCGAGGATGCATTGATCACATCTTCACCCTCCGCCAAATGTTAGAACACCGTCATACTTATCGCAGGCCAACAATCGTAGTGTTTCTTGATATCAGGGCTGCCTTCGATTCGTTGGACAGGACTGTTCTCTGGGATTGTCTATTGAAGAAGGGTGTGCCTGAGAAGTTCATTAACATCTTAAAAGCCCTGTATACGAACACCTCAGGCAGAGTGAGGGCGTACAACCACCTTTCTCCCTTGTTCCATTCGAGCAGTGGGGTTAGGCAGGGTTGCCCGATCTCCCCATTCCTCTTCAACTTTGCCATCGACGACATCCTGGAAACAGCTCTGATGGATGTAAGTAATGGCGGTGTGGATATGTTGCCTGGAGAACGACTTCTCGACCTCGAGTATGCGGATGATATTGTCTTACTGTGCGATAATGCCCAAGGCATGCAATCAGCACTTAATCAGTTGGCAATCAGTGTCCGCAGGTACGGCATGTGCTTTGCACCCTCCAAGTGCAAAGTACTTCTACAAGACTGGCAGGATTCTCATCCTGTACTCACCCTGGATGGTGAAGAGATCGAAGTAGTTGAGAAGTTCGTGTATCTAGGTAGCTATATAAGTGCTGGTGGTGGCGTGAGTGATGAGATTGATGCACGTATAGTGAAAGCCAGAGCGGCTTATGCCAATCTGGGCCATCTTTGGCGCCTTCGTGATGTTAGTCTGGCTGTAAAAGGTCGGATCTACAACGCGTCGGTGAGAGCAGTTTTGCTCTATGCTTGTGAAACCTGGCCTCTCCGAGTTGAGGATGTTAGACGTCTCTCTGTGTTCGATCATCGTTGTCTCCGAAGGATTGCTGACATCCAGTGGCAACACCATGTTAGTAATGCAGAGGTTCGACATCGTGTGTTCGGGCGCAGAGACGATAATTCAATTGGTGTCACCATCTTGAAACACCGACTTCGGTGGCTCGGACATGTTTTACGAATGTCGTCCCAGAGACTTCCGCGTCATGCATTATTTGCCGACCCTGGGACTGGTTGGAGAAAGCGGAGAGGAGGTCAGTGTATGACATGGTGTCGTGGCATGAAAGAAAGCTGCAAAGGGCTAGCTTCCGTTGGTCCTTCACGACTCCCTGGTTGGGGTCCGAGAGATGGTGCAACACAGTGGCTAGAGACGTTATCGGATATGGCTCAGAATAGAAGCCAGTGGCGATCCTGCTGCAACCTTCTTTTACTTTCTACATAAAGAATGGTTCTAACTTTCCTAACTGAAAGAATCTTCTGGTTGTACATTTCAGCCCGCCTTATCTTTTCATCCTTTATCTACCTACTTTCATTATTTTGTGTGGCGCATATGTACCTGGTGCCCTTTTGTACCAATATATATGTGTTTAAATAAAATAAATAAAATAAATTAGAATAGGATAAAGAGTGCTTTACAGTTTATTTTATTTCATTTAAACACATAAACATTGGTACAAGGAAGCACCATATACATTTGCGCCACACAAATCTCATCTCATTTGTGTGATGACTGTGATACTACCCAGGTGCCCAAACTGAAACAAGTGGTTTTCATAGGGGGCCACACCCCGAGCCTTTGACCTGAATATCTGATCCACAAGGCAGTGGAGCATCGTGAGGAAATGCAGTCCCATGATAGCCGGTGATCAACGGTTGATTCGTACTCCATTTGTTCCCTCAGGATACTGGAGCCCATGTGAACCATTGGTTTGGAATCAGGGTTTTCCAACTTCCCTAGGTGAACTTTCCGTGTCCACCAACCCGGTTAAAGCGCCGGATATTCGCTTTTCCACCTCTCAATTTCGTAAACAACAGTAGTGCCACGAGAATGCAGTGAGTTGTACTTCCCTGGCAGAGGCTATATGCGCGTGGCCATGTGAGAGCATTTGGAGAGGGAGAGCGGACTTTCATCACTCTCGGCCGTACCTGGGCATTTGCTTCATAGCAAAATATATGAATACTTATGCAGTTCTTAGTTCTTTGATTTCAAGTATTAAGAACTTTTGAATTATCTTTGAAACATCACAAATTAGTCCTTTCTATGTTCAATAATTTTAAGTATCTTAATCTAGAAGTCTAGACAGGGTTTAATTAGCTTTTGTTTGAGTTTTTTATAAACCTGAAAGTTGCTATTTGATACCTGATTAGTTTGTCAGTTACGTATAGTAGCATTGAGATAATTAGTGGAGAACTAATACTTGTTACAGAAAACCATGATTTGTAATGTATTTCATACATAATATTACATTTTACACCAGATGTACTCTACAATCTGATACTGTTTGATTAGACATTGAAAATCTGTCAATACACTCTCGAACCTTTTTGCTGATAAGCTTATGTTGTCACAAACAGACAAGATACCCACTAACCTTGAATATGAACTTTTTCTGAAGGATGAACAGCATCTACATTTGGCATCAGTTGTTTTACATTTTGAGTCATGCAAAACTCAGATCTGAGTTGTATTTTTTAGATGAAAACGAGCTTTCAATCGTATTGTCAACACGCCAGTAAATAATAATAAAAATTAGATTTTCTGAAGTTTCGTGACTCAGTGTAAGCCACTTCTTTAAACTAAATCAAAATGAAATCAAATTCAAATAGTGCGACGGAACAACAACAATATTATACTATGTGATCAATCAAAAAGCAGATCTGAATAAACCAATATTATGTCATTACTTTAAAATACATTCAAGCGTAAATAAAAACTTACCCTCGTATCTTTTTATTTTTTCTTGTTGAAAATCGATATGACACCATACTTGGTGACAATGACTTCAGCATAGACTCGTTACAATCTGACGGTAGTGGACTCACATACAACGTGGCAAATGAAAGTTCAACTATTGAAAGGAAAAAATAAAAAACAAATTAAATGTAGACAAATGAACATGTTATTATTATTTATTTAAACACACAAATCTTATTTGATTTATGTGAGGGCTTGGATACTATCTGAGTGCCCAGACAGAAGTGAACATGAGCATACACACAACATATAACTCGAAGAATAAAGTTCTATTAATCACAGCAAAATATAAATTAGATAACTCTGTTACTCTACATACATGAAATATTTGTACGAAATCACTAACGAAAATAGCTTGCCTGTTACAAAGGATTATTTTGTTTTGAGGTATCACATCTTAAGTTATTGAAAATTCGACGAAGGTACTGATTAACTAATTATGACTATCAATAAATCTTGACATAGACAGATTAATATATATATATGCATGATAGAAATAAGTTTTATAAAGCATAAGACTAGTGACATCATAGATAATGATAAGACATTTCATATTTGACTTTTTAGATAGAAATTAAATTGATTACTGTTAATTAATATATTAAGATTACAATCCATATTGGCCCCCAAATGCCCTGGTACGGCCGAAAATGGGGATAGTCCGCCCTCCCTCTCCAAATGCTCTCACATGGCCACGCGTATATAGCCTCTGCCACAAAAGTCCTACTCACTGCCTTCTCACAGCACTACTGTTGTTTACAAAATTGAGAGGACGAAAACCGAATGTCCGGCGCTTTAACCGGGTTGGTGGACAAAGAAAGTTCACCTAGAGGAGTTGGAAAACCCTGATTACAAACCAATAGTGCACATGGACTCCAGTATCCTGAAAGAACAAATGGAATATGAATCAATCGTTGGCCACCGGCTACCATGGGACTGCATCTCCTCACGATGCTCCACTGCCTTGTGGATCAGACCTTCATGTCAAAGGTTCCGGGTATGGTCCTCTAAGAAAACCACTTGCTTCAGTTTGGGCACCTGGGCAGTATCAGAGCTCTCACACAAATGAGATGAGATTTGTGTGGCGCATATGTATCTGGTGCCAATATGTATGTGTTTAAATAAATAAATAAAATGTTAACAAGGTATGGCAATGTATGGAATATGTATCTGGTACCCGTTTGTGCCAATATTCATGTGTTCAAATAAATAAAAATAAATGTAGTGTATATTTTACTGAAATATACACGTTCATAACTTACTGGTACGTTTTTTGATTTCCTCAATTATAGCAGATTCATTTGCCCAACTATAGGACACAGACGCTTGATTATCGCCTTTATCAAGAGGTTTTGCTATTGATTGCTAAATATAGAGAATGAAGAACAAAAAAACAACCCGATTAAATAGGAGATTCAATATGTGGGTAAGGATCAACATAAAAAACTGGTGTGGAGCAGAAAATTATTTCCAAGTTCAGATTCGTAAATATGAATCTTTTTTTTCGTTTCTCCAACAATTATCAGGGGGATAAGTCTACTTCCGATTTCGTACAAACTATTGGCTTCTGTCATACTTCGTAGATTATTAAAAACCCAAGATTGACTCGCGAGAGGCAGGCTGGTTTTCGTTCTGGTCCAGGATATATTGAATATATCTTCACCCTCCACCAATTGTTAGAACACCGTCATATTTATTACAAGCTGACAATCGTAGTGTTTCTTGAGATTAGAGTCGCCTTCGATTCATTGGACAGAACTGCTCTCTAAAACTGTCTATTGAAGAAGGATGTGCCTGAGAAGTTTATTAACATCTTGAAAGCCCTATATACTGACACCTCAGGCAGAGTGAGGGCATATGACTACCTCTCTCCATCGTTCCATCCAAGTAGTGCGCTTAAACAAGGTTGCTCAATCTCACCATTCCTCTTCAACTATGCTATCGATAACGTTCTGAAAACACCTCTGATGGATGTAGATAATGGTAGTGTGGATCTGTTGCCTGGAGAAAAGCTTCACGCCCTTGAGTATGCGGATGATATTGTCTTACTATCAGCCATACAATCTACACTTAATCAGTTGGCAATTAGTGTTTGTAGGTGTGGTATGTGCTTCGCACCTTCGAAGTGCAAAATACTTTTACAAGGCAGAGATGACCCTGATCCTGCACTCACTCTGGGTAGTGAGCAGATGGTAGTCGATAAGTTTGTGTATTTGGGTAGTTGAAAAGTGCTGGTGGTGGTTTGCGATGAGAACAAATTATGTATAGTGAAAGCCAGAGCGGCCTATGCCAATCCGGGCCGTCTTTGGCGCCTTCGTAATGTTAGTCTGGCTGTAAAAGGTCGGATCTACAACGCGTCGGTGAAAGCAGTTTTGCTCTATGCTTGTGAAACCTGGCCTCTCCGAGTTTAGGATGTTAGATGACTCTGTGTTTGATCGTTGTCTCCGAAGGATTGCTGTCATCCAATGACAACACCATGCTAGTAATACAAAGGTTCGACATCGTGTGTTTGGGCAGTTACGATAATTTAATGGGTGTCAATAAATTGAAACATCAACTTCAATGGTTTCGACATGTTCTACGAATGTCGTCGCAGAGAATTCCACGTCGTGCATTATTTTTCGACTCTAGAATGTCGGGGTATGAAAGGAAGTTGTACAGGACTGGTTTCTGTTGGTCCTTCATGACCCCTTGGTTGGGGTCCTAGAGATGGTGCAACACAGTGGCTAAAGACGTTATCGGATATGGCTCAGAATAGAAGCAAGTGGCGATCCCGTTGTGACTTTTCTTATAAGAATGGACGTAACTTTTTCAATTGAAAGAAGGCTTTTGCTAACTTGAGTCATTTATGGCGTAGGCGAGGTATCCGTCTACCAACCAAAGAACAGATTTACTGAGAAGCAGTTTGTTCCGTCCCATTTGAATTGTGTGGGGCATATATATTTTGTTGCCCCCTTGCACCAATGTTTATGTGCTTAAATAAATAAATGGGTCAAAGGTTTCGATATTGTATCTTACAGATATTTCAGCACATGACCGAACTACTCATCCATCTGAGAATCGCATTAACAAGATGTTGCTAACATTGCAATGTTGAACACGACACAAGATTAAAACGTGAAGAAATGTAAAGGCATTTCAGGCTATCAAAAGTTTTCTACAAAATCCACTAAACAATGAACTTTATGACATTAATCAAACCTAATGAAATTTCACAGTTTCATCATTATTATATTGGACTGTAAATAGATTATTGTGTAATCAAAGATGCAAATTGTTTTCAATCCCTGATTGACTTTCTGTAGAGATGAACCATGGTTCAGTTACCAAATGCAATTAATTCACGAAAACCGAATAAATATATAAGTGGACTGAGCCATGTTGGTAGGTGTAGACTACCTGGTTGGGATTCGCGAGATGATAGAAATCGATGGCCAGAGACCTTGAATGGCATGGTTCAAAATCGTTTGCAATGGCGAAGATGCATACACTCTTTGTGTTCTACCAAATTATAATCTTCTGAATTTTTCATGTCCCTTTCTTTTTTCTCTTTCCAAATTTATTTCACTGGATTATACTCCTTGAATAACATCCTCAAACCCTATTACGATTACGATTTATACTCTTACTACTTCTACCATTATGGGATTTGAATCGACAACTGCATCTCTATGCTAATGTGGTATGGCAACTCGAACTGATGTACGTACGTACGAAGTTCTACGTTGTGGTTGACTGAAACATTGTAGCGATATTGATGACAGTATTCGACTTACATATTCGGTTGAATTAGGTAACTGAGAAAACCTGTTACTAAGATAATGTATCAAGCAAGAAATTAAGATGCGTAGTGACAGAAATAATGGGTATAATTAGCGAGGAAATATACTCGATCGGTTCACACACAAACTTGACATCTAGTCAGTTTCGGATCAGAGACTCCGTTTAATCTATCTCCGATTGAGCAGTATAACCAATTATCACATAATTCTCTTCCAATGTAATGATTACTATGCGTAATAATTAGCAAATTATAATTTCATTTTAATGGTCCAAATAATGACAATTTGAAGAGGTTAACTACCTTTGACTCTCCGGCTAATTTCATTTTCTTTGGGGACGTTGGAGTGTTTTCAACAGATTCTACAAAGACAATAAACCAATCGTAAATTTAATTGAACAAAAGAGCGAAATATGTGAAGTATATTCTTCATAAATATTGGTTGTTTGGATTTTTCCATTAATGTTTACGACTACAATTGATCAGTCACTACGTTTATGTGGATCCTGTGAGGATTGTCTTGATATTGTCAGCAAGTTACAAACGATTCAAGTAGAGATGAATGGTGACTAGCGGTGGATTTCAGAACGCGTGTTTTGTTTCACCTGAAACTCGTTGGGTGGGTGTACCTTCACCCGAGTTATGTTCCTTCCGGGACTCGAACCCAGTACCGTTCCGTTTAAACGCCGTCCGATTACCCACTTAGCTGCTTAGTCCAGACAGCCACTGGAAGATTCAAATAACCAACAAACATAAACTAAAATTTACCCCATTGCACAAACCAGTGGCTATCTGGACTCCGTAGCTAAGTAGACAATGTGATGCCGTTAGAAGTAAACAGTACTGGGTTTCGGTCCTGGTGTGAGCGTCAACTATAGTGCAGGTACACCTAGCTGACGAGTTCCAAAGACTAGAAAGTGGAACCACATTGAAGGCACTTAAAGCGGTATGAATTTTTTATGCATTCAATACAAATTAGTTACACATACTACAAATGTTTTAAATTTGTCAATGCTTGGAGCGAGAACTACGGTACGGTGTACTTGGTCTAATTGAAGTTTTCATTCGTCTATAAACTATCGGTTTAACATATGATACGCAGATTAGAACTGTTTCCAGTTTACGCAGCTATGACATATTGACAACGGCTTCAAATCACAGCAAAACGACATATTAATTGTGATTCATTTCCTCTTTTCCCAGTTACATAGCTTACATTTATCAAACGCAAAAATAAAACATGGACTGTGGCTGTGATAAATTACAGTTGTACTTGAGTCACGTATGTATTGTCAAATGTATCCTTCGTGTAGTGAATTCCTACTTATTAGTTAGTCATAATCAACTTTGAGGATGGTACAAATATGCGTTAGTCTAATTTGCTGTACTCTATCAGCACAACGAAATGACACGTGACGAAGTCGAAACAATGATAATGAAAAAGACTAAACATTGAGAATACGGAATGAAAAAAAGAGTATGTAAAACAATATTGGGACTTAAGATCTATGGGGAGCGATAGTATGACCTATGAGAAACGTCATCTAATGTCTCCAACAGCTAATCGCGTATACACCGATCAGGTGGCTAGTATCGATTAATTTGACTTGGATTGACAGTCTTAAAAAAATTAAAAGACTAATGTTACGTTTTGGTTTAACTGACCCCGAATGTTTTCTAGCCTACTCCTAAACCAATGAATAAAGTCAGTTGGAATAGGTGGTCTTGTCTTGTATATAGTCTGAAGTAACAATATTTGAAGAAACCTTTAAAGTAAGGGAGTATTGAACAGATACTAAGCTTTACTATGGGTGTAAATTTAATGGAAGTTTAATCTACTTTAAAACCATATTTAGTAAACAAATATTGTACAGCAAACTTTGTTTATTGTATAATGGATGGAGCTTTATAACTCAGCTTCACAGTCAGAGACGTTACCACTGAGCTATTCGGGTCGCGATCAAACTCCTGTAGGACTGAGATGTAATAACAATCAATTGATCACTGGGTGGTGATCAATGTTATGCGTGTCAAGTCCTTCTTAGTGCTGATCGAATGCTATCGATCATGCATATACTAAATGAATATTACTGTATATTAAAGTCTGATGATAATCTAATCGAAAACAATATTATTCGCTTATCTATGTTGTTCTAAATCACAATATAGAAATTTTTCAAAATGCAATTTGACAAAATCCAACAAATATTACTGAGTAACTGTTTACTGGAGCCAGTTACTTCAGAGACTTAACAAACTATCAGTAACAATGAAGTCATAGGAGCGTAGGAAACTTGCAGATCTTTGAAAAATACTCAATTATTCAAGTATAACGCGCACATCCTGAACACTGAAAGTATTGGAATCGACCAGTGAATACGTGAAAACTAATGAGGTGTTCCGAATAAAACGAGTTATTTGAATTTCACTAGTAACAGACAGGTTTCTATCTTATTCCAGTTCAAGATGGAAATGATATTCGACAATCGAAATGGGGACAAAACATACCATGAGTCCGTTTTAGAGGTTTCTTTGTCAGACTACTGACATTTTGTTTTGAAGTATCCTTAGTCATTGGTTTCTTCTGAGATTGTATTAGAGTATTCAGCTCATCTTCGCTTAACTCTTCATCTTCATCTTCTTCAGATTGCTCCAAGTCATTGTCTGAAGACTCCGAATCACTTTGTTCATCATCATCATCATCATCATTGGAATTAGTGAATGATTTTGCAACTTTTTCTTTACTTTGCCACTGTTCATCATCGTTATCTGAATGGTCACTTGCATTTCCCCAGTCAGCTTCAATAGGCTCAGCATCACTTTCACTGGATGCTTCACCAAACGAGACTTGTTTTTTGTCTGTTGTTTTTACATTGGACTTTGTTAAAACAGAAGCATTCTGTTGTTGTTCTTTTAAAAATCTTCGCTTTTTGCTTTTTTTACTCTCGTTGACTTTAATAGAAGGCATGTTAGATATAATTAAATTTGTTCCTTGTAAGTTCTTTTTAAGCTTTTTGTTTTTATTGCGTCTTGCTCTTTTACGTTGTGGAGTAGGAACTAAAGGAATGGTTTCACTTTGTTTCTTCTTATTTTTGCCCTGAAAGAGAAAAATCGCAATTTTTACAAACAATAAATTATGTAATTTTTCATGGTAAACAGACATAACACATTATAATAATCATAACACGCATAACAGTAGTGTTTTTGTTCCAGCTGTAACACTTTATGTGGATAAAAAGAGAAAATAACAAATCTATGAATAGCGTGTGCATCAGCCACATCCATTGAAGAAAATCCGCAACTACATTATTAGGTTACAGTAGGACTAAACGGTGATTGTACATACACATCACTTTCGTGCATTTAGGAATACGAAAACGTAGTAGTGACAGTAAGTCGTGACTTATAAATACCTTGCACCGCAACACGGAAACCTCCAAAAGTTTTCGATCGTTATGATCACTTGTTTGAAATTCGAAGGCTTCGAGTTTATGTGTCGCCTACGTGAAACTGTGACCAGGAAATTATGTCTAAACAGCTGATGTATATCTTATTAAGGATAATAATACATACGAGCGCGTGGGAACGAAGTTAAAGGTCTAACAACATGCCTTACGATGGGCGCCTAGAACGCCTGAATATTTTCCGCGTATCGTGTCGTAAAATTCGGGATGATTTTGTGTAAGCATCCCATACTGTTATTAACGATTAAGGTGTCAGTAAATCTTAAGTTTTTCCCTCTCCAGAACTAACCATTTCTAGGACCACAGTCCATAGACTAAAAAACCGAGACCTAACAAATTCAGAGTGGAGTTCTTCCCCCCTCCACCGAGCAGTGAATGACTGGAACGCCTTAACCAAGCAAACGGTCTCAGCCCCATCAATGAACATTCACGGGGAGAAGCTAGACCTTGACTGGAAAACAGGATACACGAATTAACACACATCCAGCGCCCTACAATCCCTAATGCTGGGGAATGTACGAAATTAATGACACCTCTCCGACTATTAGTATATTAATTATGAAGAGTTTTTACTGAAAATGACAAATTTCAATAATGACGAAGTACACCCACCATTATCGCGTGCGTAATATCAAATAGAGCGCTTAGTTGTAACAGCCATTCTGGTTGTTCGATCAATGTTTTAGCGGACAGTGGAACTTTTTTTTCAAATTCAGTCCTCAGTAATAAGAATAGGAGTTTATAGATCCATTTTAAATCCTGTAATTTTTAACATTGTGAAGGTCCAATTTGGTTTTGAATATATCAACAGAAGGTGCTGACATTACGTTTTCAGGTAGAGAATTCTAGTAATTCACTACTCCGTGCGAGAAACGAAACTCCAGACGTAAACGATTCGATTTCCGTTTTTGAACTTTCTTAGAATGTTCTATTAAATGATCAGTCCTTGACAGAAGGAAAAGATAAGACATATTAATACCAAGTTCTTTGTTCAGCATGTGACAAGCCAATAGTAGTTCACCCCGTATTCCGCTGTAAGATAACGGGAATCAGTTGAGATTTCTCAGTCTGTCTTCGTAAGATAGGCCAGGGAGACATTTTGCCATTTTAGTCCCTCATCGTTGGACTCGTTCCAGCATATCCGCCTTATATTTGAAACAAGGATTCTTTGCTTGAATCCCATATTCCAAATATGATGACAAGAAAGTCGGGTATAATGATTCAAAAATTTCTTCATCCAAATACTGACCTATGAATAAAACACAATAACCTGTAACTTTTTGCTGCAGCAGCCTTACAGTGGCTGGTGGTTTTGAGATCACTGTTTAGTATAACTCTTAAATCTTTTGTAGGTTCTTGTTTTGGGTAACACGAATTCACATATTGTGTAGTGATACGAATCGTCATAGTTATTTAATTGCATGACCACTTCTAGTGACCACTCGTCCTTTCATGTCGCCAATGAGTTGCGATCATCCCGTAATACTATTCTATCTGATAAGCTGTGCATGGGTCTCCAAACCATTATGTCATGGGCGAAGAGTAGAACGGATGACTTTGCTACGGTTGTCAACTTATTTACATAAAGTATAAAGATAAGAATACCAATGATTGTGCCTTGGGGAACTCCACTTTTACAGGTTCCCACTATGAGAGAGTTCTATTTACCATAACCTTTTATCTTCTGTCGTGGAGAAGGTCAGTTATCCAGTCTATGATTTTCAAAACTTCCTAGTTTTAATTTAAGACCAAAATGGGAGACCTTGACAATGGCTTTACTCATCCTCATCCACAGGGATATTTAGATCTTTTGCCGTAGCCCAATCTTCTCTTCCAATGAGCAGATTTGTCAAATATGATAGGCCTTTCCGAAATCCATGTTGTTCCCTGGATAAAAGACTATTCCCTTCAACGTAGTTCATAACAATCATCCGAATAATCTATTCCATTAGTTTTACAACTGAAGTGGTTAAACCAACGAGTTGATAGTCACTAACTAGTCTTATACTCCCTGCCTTATACATCAGACTGATTATAGCGCCTTTTCAGTCTCTCGGCAGTCTGGACTACCTCAGATACACTTCAAAAAGTTTGGCTATAGGTTCAGAAATTACATTCGATAAGGATTTCATAATCCTAGGATGAATACCATCTGGATCACTGGATATATGGAGTTTGAGATGCCGAAATTGTCTTAAGACGGTGTCCTTCCCAATAACTAAAAGGTCTATCAACAAGCCACCACAATCATAGTGAATTTTTAGTTATTCCTCATCAGTGATAGAAAACACATCACTGAAATATTCCGACAAACCTTCAGCTTTTTTGGCATCATCTCTTGCTGATATTAGCGGGTCCACTTACACTGAAAGTGATGGAATTCCATCACTTCGCTGAGTTCATCTCTTTATATACGAGAACAACTGTTTCGGAGTATTTTGACACTTATTAACGCTTTACGAGCATTCATAGTCTTACAATAACTGGATATGTATTGTTCTAATCTAGTGGAGATGAACAAAGAAATAAACCTTGGTTTGTACCAAAGCAGGTGGGTTTCGATACATGCTGTACTAAGGCAAATTCCATTAACGTTTTCAAGAACATATTGTCAAGGGAGTTTATTTACCTCACCGTAGCCATCGCAGTCCAATTAATATCAGCTGCATTAAAGTCTCCCAATATCAGGCATCTGTTATTTGTACTCCATAGCAGAATGTGCTGTAAAGTAGTCATCAGCTAAGCCAATAGGACAACGATAAATGACACCGAGTATAAATGTGCAACATTCGATAGTGATCTCACATCTAATGACTTCACAAGTTCCACTATCATGGGATTCGCAAACAGAGGATATTTACATTATCAGCTATGTATAAAAGGAGGACACCTCCTTTCCTACACATATGTCTATCACTTCCTAGGTAGTGTTATCCGGATAATTCTGAAGCAATGTCTAAGTCATGGATTAATGAAGTTTCCGTCACAGCTACAAGGAGTGGCCTTGATTTGTCCACTAATGCTCCTAGTTCATAGAATTTGTTTCTAAGACAAAGAAGAATTGGCACATAAAACTCGTAAACAGAACAGCCTATTCACACAAACCTTTGTAGCATTCGCTTCCAAGACCTTACCTTTCGTAAACTAACTAATTGGAGATTTTCCTCGTGCTTTTGCTAATAGGTTTCTAGTTCAACTAGTTCAACCCCACTCCTCGTCAGTTTTAACGAAGGTTTTACTTTTCCGTCAATCACAGTCACTTGTTTAAGGTATCCCATAAGAACACGTGCTGCTTTGATACATTCTTCACTGTCAGTACTCGTATTACAAGCGCAACCACCATACTTCTTCCTACGGGCCAAAGCCAATAGGCTCATATCTTATTGGATCAGCAACGTCTTATTTGTTAAGCAAAACGTTCAGAGCCAATGTGAGAAGTAAAACAACCTTTATATGCTGTAGGATTAAAACGGGCACACATCTTATGGAACTACTTTTTACACTCATCACATTGCATTCCTTCCTCTACGGGAAATAAGCAACATTTATAAGCACTGCCCACGATTGTGATCAGAATAAGAAAGTCTTAAACATAATCAGTCAGCCACCTACAACGTCGGACCAGGCACATATATGCATCAGTCCAGGTTGCCATACCTCATCAGCACAACAAGATGAACACCAAATTCATAGAAGTAGTTAATTTAGTGCTGGTAATATATAAAAGATAGGTTGTATATAGGGAAGGAAAAAATTTATGAAGCAATTTTAATCTCGAGGTTTAGGGAAGATAAAGAGTGTATACACCTACGCCATTGTGATCGATTTTGAGCCATGTCACACACAGTCTGCAACCATTGGTTACGGCAGTCACGCGGACCCCAACCAAGTAGTCTGCAACTGCCAACATAGCTTAGGCTAGAAGTTAGTGACTTCAAGAACTGATGCCACATTTTGATTTGGCCACCACTAACTCTCTTCCAACCATCCCCTACACTAGTCACCATTAATTGCCGTTGTAATTGTTGTTCAGGCATACGTAACACATGGCCCATGACCCCATCAGCTGACTTACCATAATTTTTTAATACCCTGCATCTAACCTCACCATTACTCACTCGGTGATCCCGGAAGGTGCGAGCAATATTTCTAAGGCATCTGTGGTCAAATACTAGTAACTTACGAGTACCTTCTAATCTTAATGGCCACGTTTCACAGCCATAAAGTAGAACAGAGCGAACTGCTGCACAGTATACTCGTCCCTTAATTGATAGACGGATATCTCGTCTTCGCCATAGGTGACGTAAGTTGGCAAAACCCGAACGGGCCTTTTGAATCCGTGCAGGGATTTCCTGAGAAACCAACCTATTAGGGCTGATCAGACTTCGAAGATAAATGAAGTTGTCGACGCGTTCGTAAGGTTTTGTAGTAATGTCTGTCACTGAAATACGTACCAAAAAATACATTAAGCGAAACGAGTTTTTTGAATCTGTGCTGAGATTTTGTCAGACACCAACCCATTATGGCTGATCAGACTTCCAAGATAAGTGAAGTTGTCGACGCGTTCAACCACCTCACTCCCCATCCCTAGTTCAGGTGTTGACGCAGACCAGTCCTGGAGTAACAATTTACATTTAGATGGGGAGAAATGCATTGCAAACACACTTGCATTGTTATGCAACGCTACTAAAAGACTGCATTTTAACAGCATCTTCACGAAACATAACTATGTCATCTGCGTATTCTAAATCGATAAGTAGACCCCCTGGTAGGAGATCAATTCCTGAAAATTCAGTCGAAGAGAGTATTATTTCCAGAAGTAGTTCTATAATGAAGTTAAACAAAAATGGGGATAGTCAACAGCGTTGTCGGACACTACTTGAGGTAGTAAATTCAGATGACAGTTCGCCATAAGCTCTCACTCGACTGGTAGTGTTCGAGTAAAGAGCCTTCACAAGGCTTATGTACTTCTCAGGTACACCTTCCAATGACAGACACTGCCACAGAATCTCTTGGTCTACAGAATCGAATGCTGCTTTCAATTCAAGAAAAACTATCATTGTCGGACGCCGATAAGCATGTCTGTGCTCTAAAACTTGACGAATGGTGAATATGTGGTCGATACAGCCACGACCAGGTCTGAAGCCAGCCTGATTTTCTCGTGTTTGCAGTTCACGAGTCTTAGGCGCCCGATAATTATTGAGGCTGGTATTTTAGATGCTACATTAGTCGAACTAATCCCTCAATGCTTATCAAAGGATGATTTTGACCCGTTTATATATTGGAATAATAAGTGATTGTAACCAGTCGGATGAGATTACGTTCAACTCCCAGATTTTAGACAGAATATTAGTCAACCTGATCGCTAAAATTGGACCACCATACTTAAAGACCTCTGGAGCCAATTCATCTGGACCAGCTGCTCTTCCTCGTTTCAGATAAGCGATCTGAATTGTTTTTGCCTGATGGGATGAGTTTACGAGAATCCATCAGTGAAATAGACTTAGAAAAATCCATTGGTTTTTGTAACCTTTTGGTTTAAATTGCTAATAGATGTTACTGCTGTTTCCACAGCTGTTCGTATATCTTTCCAAACAACATCCAGGTCAGCCTCGTTTTAAAAACTGCCTAAATGTGAACTCAGTTGTTCTCGTCCTCCAGTTCAATCCTAATGGGTCTTCTTAATGTAGTTTTTATGCGTCCGGTGAGGCGCAAGAAAATGCGTGCTCGCATTTAAGCATGATCAGAGTCTAAACATGTATTCCAGTACGAACGACAGTCTTCTATCTAGCCTATCCAACAATGACTGACGGCATTATGGCCTACTCGAGTCCATCATTGGTTGGGTGCAGGTAGTCACCATGTTAGGTGATGCCTGTACTCACGTTTAAAATTAGTGTTTGCGAAAAATAAACAACACACATAAATGGTGCGAGATTCTAGGGCTTTAGCTAAGGAGGCCTGCTGGCCGATTTGACATAAGGTGCGTAAGTTGAACACATGTATCACAGTCAATAAGAAAGAAGGTACCACAAGACGAAGTTTAGAGAAATTTCATACTTTGACAAAAATACTTCTAGTTAAAGCAGACCAAGAAGGCTGTTTGACGCAACAAGTGGTAGGTCGCCACCCAGGTTACTATTGACAACCGAACTACTGGACATTTGAATCGATGGAGGGCAAAGTTGATAAAATCGGTTTGGAGGTCCCACTCTGTAATTATGTAGCAAGCGATAAAATATGGTAAGCCTTAGGTGTTGCCTAATGATTTGAAGGCGCGATAACTGCATTAAGGAGGCGAGCGCAGCTAAAGCATGGTCCAAGAATTGGAGCTTCCTTACTTTAACCCCTCGAGAGCTCCTAAAAGATGAACTCCACGAACTGATTGATCCAAACAGAAAACCTATTGAGATCCCACAATACTTGAAGGTGGCCGAAGCAGTACCTATCTCAGCCTATATAAAAGTGGAACCTTCGCCGAAGCCCATCCCGCAAACAACAAGTAGAATGATTGGATGGAGATCTGGACTGCCTCAGTATAAACTAGACAAATATGAAGTAGCAAGTAGACCTCAAGGTTCGCTTCTTAAGAGGTTTAACTGGCCAATAGAAGCTTTATACTGATGTTAAATTTGACTTGGGTAGTGGATTGGAAGCCCCAGTCTCATAAGTCCCTGAGAGAGATATGTGAAAAACCCGTCCTTCGTACGTAAGAGTACTATACCTCCATTTCTCCCATAGTTCAAGATTGACATTGAAGTTCAATAAAAATAATATTGCCTTTATGACAGATTTTTGATATGTTTCTAGGATATCAGGACCCAGTCTTGCAAAATAAATCATTGAAGTTCGACATAAAAGAGGAAGTCAGACTGTTCTTTGGGCGAGAACTTTTAGTTGATTCCAAAAAAATTATATATTGACTGACCTATACAGATTACGAGAAATTACAACGTAAATGGCAGTTAGAAACTTATTTTCGTTTTGAATGAAAAAGAACAAAACGCATCGTCCAATTATTGACAAAGTACTCCATACACTGAAAATAGACTAAAAGCATGCAGTTTAACCAGATAAAAGTTCATAAACTCTCGAAACGTTATTCTACTCTTCCAAACCTTATGTGATATATCAATCCTGTATTTGATATGAACAACGACTACCTGTACTCTATAATAAGCTTTATTTAATAAACGTATAGCATGTATTCCAGGACAGTAAAAAACCCCCAGACTGTCTTGAAAATAAATCTGAATACATAGACATCCAGCACAACTTAAATCCTAAAATATATTTTTATCTTATGACCATAAATCAAAACTCAATGAACCACAGCAGGAAGAGGATGCACCATAGGGATCGAACATTTTTTACGCCTCATTTATTATGAGTAAATACTAGATGCCCCAGTTAGTATTCACAAGTGATATACTGGTCACCTTAAATAATGGAATCTCATGACTTTATTGACAATACTGGTTCCAGTCGAAGTATGTCAACATTATAAGCTTACCAGATATTCCAAAATATAAACATAACAACTTGTCCTTAGACGGAAACAAACAGAACTATCAGATTGTATATGTGTAATATCAAACAAGTAAAATTCTGTCAGACTTCTCGGTAGTTATAAAAGAAACTACTTTGGATACATCAATGTGACAAATGAATCAAGCTTCTCCTCAAAAATCTCTTACATGAAGGATAAGTATCTGTTGATATGGATTTACACATACAAAGTTACCATGTGACATGCGTAATTCTATCTCCATTATTGACTAACTGATAAATGAAATCGTTTCTATGTTTAAATGGTATATTATAATCCATTCAAAACCAAGATATTTAAAATATGATGAAGGAACATGAAGGCAATTGATCTCTAGAAGTTATCAGTAGGATTCAACTGTACTGAGAGTAGGGCAGTTGTAGCAGATAATTATAATTCTAAATACCACTCCTATATAGTGCAATCGGATTAATTAGTACCCGAGAAACTCTCTTATCCAACAACATCCACGGTTAACTACAGCATATGTACATGACGAAGAAATACACAATTTGATAGATATATTTACATGATAATTTATGTCAATCTGTAAAACACTGTCGTCCCTTTCAAACTTTTTTGGAAGCACTTAAGATGATCGGTTTAGGTCGTGTTTTAAACAACAATTTACGCCGAATAACAGAAACTACATCATACTGTAAACTTCCAGACGTGGTGTTTCTTTTTGTGACAAGCATAGGCTTTTCAAGAGCAACTAATTTCCCGAAAAGTACATGATGACCAATAAGAAGAATTGGATCGCCATTCTATAAAATGAATATTAAATATGGTGGACGAAAATAATTAACCAACCTCCTGTGAAAAATGCAGATCACCTAAATTTTTCCCTTCTAATGGACTATCTGTTTTGCTCAAAACATCACCTTGTAACTCAATCATTAGCCACTCATTCACTTCTCCACTGGAAAATAATGCTATAAAAAGAATTGTATGATTTACTCTGGCCCATGGATAGGTATAATCATATTCGATGGAAAACTTGATCGTTTCTGAAACACAGAATTTAATTGATTGAAAAAGTAGTAGTTAGAGATTTATAATTAAAATGTTCCAGTGAATCTAGTACGTTTATCCCCTAAGACACAGTCGTATCATAAAACTCCACCGCAACTCAGACTTAATACATAGAAAGTAAAGATGCAGTAATTCCAACTAAATATCGATTGGAAACCAATGTAACACTTTATTGGTTGAAGTTGACACAATATAAAGTGCATTGAAAGGTTAGCACAAAATAAACTGATACTAACAATACTTACGGTGATTTTAGGAGTAATTGTGAACCAAGAAACTCAACAAGATGCCACTCGAAACCTAGACATAACTTATAGTGAAGTTATCCACAGACTCATGAGCTGATTAACCACCATGAGGCTCTTTTTAATCTCCCTGAACTAGCTAACGTAGGTTGTAGTATGACGCACGGATTTGCCCCCAAATGCCTTGGTACGACCGAGAGTGGGGACAGTCTTCTCTCCCTCTCGAAATGCCTTCACATGGCCACGCGTATATAGCCTCTGCCACAAAAGTCCTACTCACTGCCTTCTTGTGGCGTTACTGTTTTTTACGAAATTGAGAGAACGAAAAGCGAATGCCCGGCGCTTTAACAGGGTTGGTGGACACAGAAAGTTCATCTAGGGGAGTTGGAAAATCCTGACTCCAAACCAATGGTGCACATGAGCCGCAGTATCCTGAGGGAACAAATGGCATATGAACCAATTGCTGATCACCGGCTACCATGGGACTGCATTTTCCCACGATGCTCCACTGCCTTTTGGATGCATGTATCCTACTTTCACAAGCAATGTTTTGAGTTCTGTAAGAAACATCCCGTTTGAATTTACTTCGTTTATTGATCACATTTCTCTGTCAACAATTTCAACTTTAGATTATAAATAAGGTTGTAAGGAAGGCTTCCTCATAATCCAAATAGATAGACATAAACAACATGAAATTTCCCACATACGATTGTTAACCACCTTTCACATTCTCTGTTAACGATGTCTGCTAGAGCACCATATTAAACGGCTTCTCGTTTCACCAAATTAAGACACTGATATCTAATACTAAACAATGAGGAAGATTCACCGAATATTTCTGACAGCTGAGATACTATCTCCTCGACATTGAGCTCTCGAGGTAACTTGGGTAATATATAATCAGCATAGCGTTCATGTTCATGACTTCCCAACTTGCGCATCAACAAACGAGTCTTCCATGCGTCATCTTGTTGGCAGAATTCGATTCTAAATGTATCTTCTCAACGCTTGAACCACGTGAGAAATGTATTTCCACATTCGGGGTCATAATAGAATTCTGTAATGCTGCTGGCAACTTCATCATAAGAAGTAATTGAAGTAGCATGTGAACTCGAGCAGTGAATGTTAAGATGTTGCATCAGAGTTTTTAATAAGCTCATTTGTGCGTCAAGTTGTGCTTGCTATTGTTGCAGTATTCGGTTAAGCTGGTCATCTGATATAGGCATTTTGAATGAATTTTCCTTTTTTCCCCGTCGCCACTGTTATAATTGTTTTTGCTAATAAACAACCCGGCTACTCCTATTGCTTAGTATTTTTATACAATGACACTCGACAAGACCCCAAAATCAGAATACGTTTGTTAGTGGGATATAGATTGGATTAAGCATGTTTTATGCATGATGGTGTTGCTGCGCACTGATTGGCTAATTCTAAATCGAACAGCCCGGGCATATTATTGCAGAAAAATCTATAAGCTTCTTGTATATATACTATAAATATATGAACGTTATTTAAACTAGTGATTATTGTTCACTTATCATTATTATTTTGAATACAATTTCATTCCTGTTCAACGTGTTCTGATTTTGGGGTCTTGTCGAGTGTCATCGTATAAGAATACTAAGCAATAAGAATAGCTGGGTCATTTATTAGCAAAACACAATCATAACAGTGGCGACGAGGAAAAAGGAAAATTCATTTAAAATGCCTATATCAGATGATCAGCTCAGCCGAATACTACAACAACAGCAAGCACAACTTGATGCACAAATGCGGTTGTTGGAGACTCTGTCGCAACAATTTAGCATCCGAAACTCGAGTTCACATGCTGTTTCAAGTACTTCTTGTGATGCAGTTGCTAGCAGCATCCCAGAATTTATCTATGATCCAAAAGTGGAAATACTTTTCTCACGTGGTTCAAGCGTTGAGAAGATACATTTAGAATCGAATTCTGTCAACAAGATGACGCATGGAAGACTCGGTTGTTGATGCGTAAGTTGGGAAGCAATGAACATGCACGTTATGCTGATTATATATTGCCAAAGTTACCTCGAGAGCTCAGTTTCGAGGAGACAGTAACGCAGTTGTCAGAGATATTCGGCGAATCTTCCTCATTGTTTAGTATTAGATATCAGTGTCTTAATTTGGTGAAACGAGAAGCCGATTAATATGATGCTCTAGCAGACGTCGTCAACAGAGAGTGTGAACGGTTCAAGTTATGCTCGTTGACAGAGGATCAATTTAAATGCCTTGTATTCATCAAAGCTCTGCAGTCACCACAAGATGCTGAAATTAGAACCAGACTTCTAACTCGTTTGGATCAAGACCCAAACGTCACACTCAAGACATTGACAAATGAGTGTAAACGATTACAAAACATCAGACACGACAATCAGCTAACTGAACAAGTAAATTCTAATTTAACCTGCAGTAGCGTAGATGCTATAACTAAGTTAAAAAGTCAGAAGCCCAATAAAACTTATAACAAATCAACGGATGCCTGTTGGTTATGCGGCGATCGGCATTATGTACGGTTCTGTCCATTTAAGAAGCATAAATGTCAGGTGTGCAACAGACGTGGACATAAAGAAGGCCATTGTCCGCCGAATCGTACGTCCCAGCCCAAGAAGAAGTATAAACGTCTTTCACGTGTGGTGAAGCCAGCCGAATCTAAATCACTTTCTCTGGTAGCAGCCTTTCAAACATACTATGACATTCGGAGAAAGTATGTTACGATCCAGATTAATGTATAGCGATTCGTCTCCAAATTGACACAGCATCCGATATCACCCTAGTGTCTAGAGAAACGTTTAACCTGCTTGGGAAACCGCCAATGAAGCCATCCAAGAAAACGGTTAAAAACTTATCTGGAGGTGTACTGAAACTAGTTCGTGAATTACAATGTGAATTTTCCTTCAATGGAAATAGCTGTAAAGGAGTATGCTATCTAACAGAACGACCAAACCTTGATCTACTTGGTCTAGATATGTTAGAAAAGCTTGGATTAATGGATATACCCATCAAAAGCGTTTGTAACGTGTCGTGTCCATCATTAGACACCACCTCATATGCAAAAAAGACAGGTGAAAAAGTTCCAGAAATACGGAGTGTAGCAGCAGCAACAATTCGAAACACTCCAGTGTCGTCAGGTGAAGTCAGAAAAAACTTTTCAGCATTTTGTCAGCAGAACGGAATCAGGCATATCCGAACACCTCCATTCCATCCGCAATCGAATGGCCAGGTAGAACGTTTTGTTGCTACGTTCAAAAATGCTCTAAAAAAATCAAGAGGGAAGGGGGACACCGAAGAGATCTTAGAGAGGTTCTTGTTTATACACCGTTCGACACCGAACCCTCAGACAACAAATGGAGTCTCCTCAGCGGAAGCGTTACTTGGCAGAAAAATACGTACACATTTTGACAGCATTCGTCCGACTTCAGCTCTTAAGCCGCAACGAAACGTGATGATGGAGAAAATGTACAATAGTCATCATGGGGCACAAAAACGATTGTTCAGTGTGGGTCAAAAGGTACTTGCTATGGACTATCGAGGAAAATATCCTACATGGATAGCTGGTTGGATCGTGCAAAAGAAAGGAAATGTGGTTTACGAGGTGTCCGTTGGTTCAGAAATCTGGGTGCGTCATGCTAACCAACTGAAATCAACCTCGATTTCCAACAACGAAACGCAGCATAGATTACCTATTGATGTTCTGCTAGACACCTTTGAGATCAAAACACCTGAAACAGACAGGACAGTCAAGGTGCAAACGAAGGATGATACAACGTCCTTATTACCTAGAATGTGTACTAACCGGAAGCACAAACCAGTAAAGCGGTTGCAGTTGGACCATAACACCAGATCCTACGAATCTGCTCCAGGGGGAGGTGTTAGTGGGATATAGATTGGATTAAGCATGTTTTATGCATGATGGTGTTGCTGCGCGCTGATTGGCTAATTCTAAATCGAACAGCCCGGGCATATTATTGCAGAAAAATCTATAAGCTTCTTGTATATATACTATAAATATATGAACGTTATTTAAACTAGTGATTATTGTTCACTTATCATTATTATTTTGAATACAATTTCATTCCTGTTCAACGTGTTCTGATTTTGGGGTCTTGTCGAGTGTCATCGTATAAGAATACTAAGCATTAGGAATAGCTGGGTCGTTTATATAGCAAAAATTACAATTATAACAACGTTGAACAGGAACGAAATTGTATTCAAAATAACAATGGTTGGTGAGCAGCAATCAATCGTTAGAAAAGCGTTCGTATATTTATAGTATATGTATAAGAAGCTTCTAGATTTTTCTCCAATAATTTGCCAGGGCTGGTTAGTTTAGAATTAGCCAATCAGCGCGCAAGATCATGCACATAACATGCTTTAATCCGGTTTATTTCCCGCTAGCACTGTGCTTAAAATCTCTGATTTATGTACTGGAGTTAACAAGCAAGGCTAGGCAGGAAGGAGGACTGATAAGGACTTTCGACTGCTTGCACAAGTTTATGTGTCATTGGGCACAAAGTTACAAGGTATAACATCTCTGTACCATTTCACAACATTGTCGATTGCAGTTGTTGTGTGTTTCGTCATGGAAGTGAAGAAGAACATAGGGGACTTTTGGAGTTGCACAACAGGTGAACAATAAAGCGGACATTAAAAATTTAAGTCAAAAGTAGAAAAATTGGCATGCATTTAGGCGAAAAGTAGTGAATTTAGGGACATTTGAAACACAGAGTGACAAAAAAGGAGGATTCATATTACTTCTACCTAACAGGAGAAAAAGCAAACATTCTAGGGGCATTTCCTTTTTTTTTTAACGTATTTCCTCTTTTTTCGCCTTTATTTGTTGCTTGGGATGAGTTTACGTATCACCCAACAAAATAAATACACAAATAAGCCTTGTATGTAATGTAGACCGAAATCAATAATACGTTAATTGGAAGATAAAGTAATTTACGCAAGGGTTTACCAAAGAATTCACTGTACAGGCAACTGTAGAGAGAAGTACCGTTTATATTTGTAATACCACTTACATAGAACGATTCGTCAATTTCGAGTTTTCGATATCCAATATCTTTGTCACGCTTAAACAATCAGGATGAGTATTTGTGCTCACTCATTGCTCCAGTACGAGTCCAGGTAATTTTTAATGGTCAATGAGTGGTATTTTGAACGAATTCAAGTTAGTTTGGTAGTTATATCTATGTTTGTAAATCTTGACTGCACCCCCTATGTGGTTAGAGATGATGACTTAGTTATCCATCAAAGCACTAGGTGGCCGTTTATTCCCGTTGTGAGACCACTCAACAGTTCACATGTACAATACCGCACAAGAGAATGGAACCCAGTACCCTCAGTCTCGCGCACGAACGCTTAATTTCCAGGTCACTGAAACGATATCCAACAGTGTTGATATCTGGCTTCAACCAATCCACGTTATTGCACGAACGTCTACCATTGTCTTCATTGAGTAACTGTCTAACAACAGACGCGGTTGTACCTCTTTGTCGTCGTGTACTCTGCCTTATAATACCTAAGGCTGGGAATGTCGTCGTTTGTGAACACGTTAAATATGGCTGTCATGGTCCTTACTTCCTATTGGTGAATGAATATGGACATCTTCTACCAAAAGCAGACGATTTGCAAGCAAATAAACTAATTCAGAGGATTTTACATCCCAACACCAATTCGTGAGTTCACCCACATATTCATTCCTCGTTGAACTGCTAGTCGCTGAGAAAAATCGATTGTGAAACTTAACTGTAGGTGCCCTACTTTGTTATTCATTATCACTTGTTATTGGAAGAACGCCATGGGTTGAAGCTCACTTGGTAACACTGATTTCAGAGGTTAGTCACGTTTGAATGCGAACTATGATCTTCAGACCCAGATGAAGCACATGTTTTTGACCCTTTGATCCTCTTATGTAGAGGTATTTTGTGGCTTCTCTCATCTGTTCCCTCCCTGTTTTCGGGATTCTAAACAACGTATTGTTCAAAGTGAGTATGCCGTTTCTGTGGAAACTGGTCATTCTTAGATTTGTACCAGTGCTGATTGGCCTCAATTAGATCCTCTCTGTTTCTGAAGTTCACAGCCTCCTGATGAAAAAACTTACTGTTCATGGAGAGTAGCGGGCGAAGTTGTCCGAAGTTGTCATATATAGCAGTGGTTTGAAGGCCTATGATACGTGTTGGTCAAGCCATTGTTTCATTGTTGGTTATTGAGAGCCGACTGATAATTTCTCACCGACACCTCATAAGATCCAAGGTTCGTCGTGTCGAACTCAGATTTGAGAAGACTGCTTAATAAATGACCTGTGAAATGTCAGTAAAATTTCTTCTTTACCGTGTGCTGAGTCTGATGTTACCCTCGATTAGGCGTCCACCTTTTGTTTATTTGCAGGAATGATACTTAATTCCGCCACTCTACAGGATTTGTCCCAGTGTCCTTTATCGAAGATTGCCCTACATTTTGGTGAGGTTCTCTCTGACACAGGAGTACTAAATTAAATCGGAAAGTTTTGTTTAACGTATCTGCCTCCGGTTTTCAGCGTTTTGTCTAGCTTTCTTTTCTAATAAACAGACGCTGCCCTTCACCGCGATAAATTACTATGAGACTTGCAAAAGCTGGTAACTTCAGCAGAGTATGAGCTCGTTTTGTGGCTCTCATGACCGTGTATTTGGTTGTACCTATGTCAGACGGATTGAATATAGTGTTGGGCATTGTTTCGGTTTTTTCACTTGGGGTTTTATACTTGTCTTTTATTCGCCCCTTTGGTACTCTTTATCTACACTGTGGGCATACATCTAAGAGTCATGAGGAAGAGTGACTTAACATGAACATTTCTCACCGCCTTAGTAAGACAGATCCACAGCTATGGTAGCCTCATGCATTACAGGAATTGCATTCAAATGTTGAGTAGCTGGTTTTCACGAGGGACGAGTATGCGATACAATTAGCGTTATTATATCCAATCTCTACTGTAGGTTTCGTTTCTGAGAGTTTTGGACGCCTTTCCCCTAACTTCATCTCTGCTCACTAGTTTTAATAGAAGTGGAAATCGGGGTAGTATTTTGATCCCAATTACTTGGTTTTTTATTTTGATTCGAGTGATCCGTACTCTGAGATTCATTATCTAGTGTCGTGTAGAGCTTTCTTATAATTGCAGTGCTAACTACAGGGTTTCTAAACTTATTACAAATTTAAACCACTACCTTTGCTAGTCGTCCTTGTACTTACAGTTTAAGGGTTGGTGTCAGATCTATCACTGTGCACGTTACTTAGTAGACTCGTTATTAACACCAGTCAACTACATATGATACATAAGTGTTTATCATCATATTTAATCCCGACACTATAGACATCTGTAAGTGATGGACTTTATGTTACGTTCAAGTTTTTACTCTCATCACTTATTGAAGGGCCGTAAATTGATCTACTTGTAACTTAAGAACCTCAAATAACAAAAAAAGCAGATCCTAATTCAGGAACAAAATTTTATTTGTAAATTATAAGTAATCAACTCAAATGCATCGTCTTTATAATATTTACAAATATTACAAAACAAAACTTCAAATTTTAGAATTCCTGGGCAATAACTTCCAAATACCAAAGACAAAATGAAAGAAAATGTCGGAGGCCAAATATATAAACAAAAAGCTCAAAAGTTGAGTAAAACAAATATATACAAAACAGAAGTGAAATTATTAATATCCAATATAACAGTTCTACTGTACTGAACTGAAACTTTGAGAACAACCATAACCATCATCAAAAAACACAAGTATTTATAAATAATTTTCAACGCAAGATATGCATCATCTGTTGACCTGATAACATCAGCAACAGCCTATTGTGGGAGAGAACAATCAGCTTCAGGCTGAAGATTAGATTAGAGAAAGTCTCTGGAAGTGAATAGGACATACATTGTGGAAATCGTCAAACTGCATTACGAGGTAAGTGTTGACACACCGTGTGGAGAATCTGAAACAAATATGAAAAGGATGAATAGCAACTGGGAAGGATGGCCTATGACAGGATAAGGGTGGAGAACGCTGGTGGGTGTCTAATACTCGTCCATTAGGGGTAACAGGCGTAAATAAATGACACTGAAAATTAAACCACTTCAGAAGTAGGTTTGCAAGAAGTTGATAAGTGTCAAATATCAAACATTTTATCACTCTTTATTTACTTCAACCCTATATTCATTTATACACTTTCAGTCATAGATTTCGGAATGTTTTCCTCACTGTTGAGTTCATCTTTAAAAGAAGAACATCATGAGTTGATGAACTATTTCCCTAAGTTTCAATTTTGATACCTACAAATCTGCAAAAATAGATCTGCTTCCACTAGTCAACATACACGTTTTAATTCATTTGTACTTCAAAAAATCAAATTTGATAAACATTATTTCTTTGTCAAAGAGAAAAATGAAATCAGTCTGAAATTATCAAGAAATTCAATTAGTTGAGATAACTGATAATGAGTTCAGTTTACTCTCATGAATGCGTTACAAACAAGATGTTATTACACTGTTTTAGTCCATTCACCACAGATAATGTGATAAAGTATCAAAGTGCAAAGATATTTTATCCTTTCCATTGACGTGATGGAACATATACATTAAGATATAGAAAATATTGTATTAACTTTACACCTATTCAATCCATTTGACCAATAGACAACGGTAATACACCCATGCGCACAACAACAACAACACTGAAAACAGAAGATAAAAACAATTAACAGCAAATTCGAATGAATGTAACTCGAAAATCTACACTGTACTATCACATACACAAATATGAATGGTTTACAATAGATCAATGACAATAACATATGATATGTTAACAAGAAGTTTACAATATGCTTTCACTGTATATTGTAATACACATTACACTACACTACACTAAAACTGTAACCCAATATTAACTTTTATCTTTTACTAGGCTCTAAATTTATATGGTCATTCAACTAAACATTCAATAAGTTGACAATGAAACATTTTTCAACCAATAAAATATTCCCAGTTCTCCTGCAGCACATTGACAAACGTCAATGGCAATCCTTCAGTCATTCAATCTTACATTCCACATCGAAAAGAAACGAAAGGGACTTACATTTGAACTGAACTACTTCTATTACATAATATTATCATCCATTACCAATTTTTTTTATATTTTACTCCTATAATCTCTTTACAATTTTATTTTATTCATATGAAGTATATTTATTTTGGTGTCCAACTAAACCAGTATTTCTATATTAAATAAAGATATATAGTAAGTATTGATTACTGTTATAGGATGGTAATGCTTGTACAAGTAGTAACCCATATCATGCATGTTTAGTTCTGATGATATTTTTATCGATCAAGTCGCTAAGTGACTACTAGCCTAAGTAATTCAACATTCTTTTTAAGGTTTTATTATTGATATTCGATAGTAACCTGAATAGCTTAGTAATAACCTTTCTTAATTGAGAATATTGAGTACATAGGTTCGAGTTCTATATGAAGTATCAATTTCTTCAGCCATTATACAGATATAGTGATGATAAATGTTCGATAGCAAGATCAATGTGGTGATTACTTTCAATCAGTTAGAGTTAATTCACCTGAGTATAAACTTTGGAAATAAACACCCCTATCTTGTATCAGTTACAATATATATTTATTATAGGAAAAGTTAATATTATGTTTCATGTTTACATCTAAAATATTCATTTGCATTATGAAAAAATTGGAGATTGATTATTTTTATAGTAGTAATGTTGTGAACAAGAACACAGGTGGGGAACAATCGAATGTAATTAAGCACAAATTACAGACTATCTTATTAAATTCTGATAACCATAATTTGCAAAATAACAATCAATTGTCTCAATTTTAACTGTTCCTTCTGCAAAAATCAATCCATCTTCTCTAGTTTCATTAATCATGCATTTTCCTACTAATTGCGCTTTATTCCTATCCGTTCCTTATCGATCTTCTGCCGAAGTACATTCTATGTCTGACCATCGCCATACACTACATATATAGATATAAGTAGACTACACCATAGTAATAATAAACCAATAACTGTATGTTTCATAGATGAAAGCATGAGTCAATTGAAGCTAGACCACCGAGGAAAACCTGGACGGCCGTTTCGTCCTATTATGGGACTCCTCAGCAGTGCGCATCCACGAACCCAGGACCTACCAGTCTCGAGCCGAAGTCCTTAACCGATAGACCATTGAGCTGCCATCCAACGGTGTTAATGTCTAACTTCAACTGATCCACGAAGTTGAGCAACCATTCACCAATTGCCATCAGTGAGTTCCTATCTCACGACAGACGTGGTTTGCAATTAATATAATCATATGCTCACTAGTGACTTCGGGAAGTACATCCAAGAGCTCTAGTGAGAAGCAGTGACCAGTGGAGTGCAAACCACGTCTGTCGTGAGATAGGAACTCACTGATGACAATTGGTGAATGGTTGATCAACTTCGTGGATCAGTTGAAGTTAGACATTAACACCGTTGGATGGCAGCTCAGTGGTCTATCGGTTAAGGGCTTCGGCTCGAGACTGGTAGGTCCTGGGTTCGAATCTCGCTCGCGAGAGCGGGTTCGTGGATGCGCACTGCTGAGGAGTCCCATAATAGGACGAAACGGCCATCCAGTGTTTCCAGGTTTTCCTCGGTGGTCTAGCTTCAATTGACTCATGTTCTCATCTATGAAACATACTAAATCTCCACAAAAACCCCTTCCAATAACTGTATGTTAAGATTCTGATTGGATGTCTGCTTGAATGTCTAGGCAACCTGTTTTTCCTGTCATCTTGATATTTCAACAAGTTATCTGTTATTGTTTGTCTTAACACATTATGTCTATTAATCACATGAACATCTCAGGTGCATTTGTGAATATTTTATAATTTTTCACTATGTAAGTTAACTCCGCCTGTAGCTCTTCTAGAGTTACTGCCGGTCCCAAGCCCGGGTAAAGGAGGAGGGTTGGGCATGGGGTTAGCGACCCCATCCCGTAGAAAAGCTAACTCGCTAAAAAAACGCTAACCAGAAAAAATAATTCAAACCATTTAAACTCTGCCCTGGGAGTTGAAGGAATAATTATGACGTCTCATGATGAAAGCCGAAATTCTTCGGAAGTCACGAGACCGATGCACCTTCTAACAACCAGAGCAACACTCTTTATAGGTACATGGAACGTCCGGACACTGTGGGAGACAGGAAAGACCAGCCAAATAGCAATGGAAATGAGGAGATATAACTTGGCAGTACTCGGAATCAGCGAAACCCATTGGACACAAACTGGACAACAAAGGCTAGGTACAGGAGAGATGCTGCTGTACTCCGGTCACGAAGGGGAAAATGCTCCACACACTCAGGGAGTTGCTCTAATGCTGTCCAAAGAAGCAAGAAATGCACTTGTGGGATGGGAATCTCATGGACCCAGGATAATCAAAGCATCATTCAGAACAAAGAAGCCAGGGATCACAATGAACGTTATCCAATGTTATGCACCCACCAATGATAGCAACGACGATGATAAAGATCAGTTCTATGAAAGGCTACAATCAATTGTAGCAAAGTGCTCACGAAAGGACCTCACAATCCTGATGGCAGATCTAAATGCTAAAGTTGGAGTGGACAACACAGGATATGAAGATATAATCGGACGACATGGACTAGGAGAAAGAAATGAAAATGGGGAGAGACTTGCAAACCTATGTGCTTTCAACAAATTGGTTGTAGGCGGCACAATATTCCCACACAAACGCATACACAAAGCTACATGGATCTCACCGGACCAAACCACAGAGAACCAGATAGATCACATCTGTATCAACAATAAATTCCGAACATCAATGGAAGATGTGAGAACCCGGTGAGGAGCTGACATAGCTTCAGATCACCACCTGGTTGTGGCCAAGATGAGACTGAAGCTAAAGAAAGACTGGACAACTGGACAAACAGCACTACAAAGGTTCAATATAGCATTCCTTCGAGATACTGACAAGCTCAATGAATTCAAGATAACTCTCAACAACAGGTTCCAAGCTCTACAGGATCTACTGAAAGAACAAGAAACTACTTTGGAGGACAACTGGAAAGGGATCAAAGAAGCACTAACTTCAACGTGTCAGGAGGTTCTTGGTCCTAAGAAGCATCATCACAAGGAATGGATCTCTCTGGGAACCCTGGACAAAATTCAAGAAAGGAAGAACAAGAGACTAGCAATTAACAACAGCCGAACACGAGCAGAGAAAGTCAAAGCACAAGCAGACTACGCAGAAGCAAACAGAGAAGTGAAGAAAAGCATTAAAGCCGACAAGCAGAAATACATGGGAGAACTAGCAACGACGGCGGAAAAAGCTGCAAGACAAGGGAATATGAGACAACTATATGATACAACGAAGAAATTGGCAGGGAGATATAGCAAACCAGAGAGACCAGTCAAGGACAAAGAAGGAAAGACAATCACTGAGATTCAAGAACAGAGGGAAAGATGGGCAGAATACATCGAGGAACTGCTGAATAGACCAACCCCATTGAATCCACCGAACACCGAAGCAGCCCACACAGACCTTCCAATAGATGTCACTCCACCAACGATCGAAGAAGTCAAGATGGCCATCAGACAAATCAAAAGTGGGAAGGCGGCAGGACCTGACAATATACAAGCAGAAGCACTGAAATCAGACATTGAAATAACTGAAAACATGCTTCACCTTCTATTCAAGAAGATTTGAGAAGAGGAACAAGTGCCAATGAACTGGAAAGAAGGATATCTCATCAAGATACTAAAGAAAGGAGATCTGAGCAAATGCGAGAACTACAGAGGTATCAGTTTGTTATCAGTACCAGGAAAAGTCTTCAACAGAGTGCTGCTGAATCGGATGAAAGACGCAGTAGACGCCGAACTAAGGGATCATCAGGCTGGATTCCGTAAGGATCGGTCGTGCACAGACCAGATTGCGACACTACGGATCATCGTTGAACAATCAGTTGAGTGGAACTCATCACTATACGTCAACTTTACTGACTACGAGAAGGCGTTTGACAGCGTGGACAGGAGAACATTATGGAAACTTCTTCGACACTATGGAGTTCCTGAAAAGATTGTCAACATTATCCAAAACTTATACGATGGACTACAGTGCAAAGTGGTGCATGGAGGACGGCTGACAGATGCATTTCCAGTAAGGACCGGAGTCAGACAAGGCTGTCTACTCTCCCCATTCCTCTTCCTTCTAGTGATTGACTGGATTATGAAGAATTCGACATCTGAAGAGAAATATGGAATACAATGGACAGCTCAGAATCAATTAGATGATTTGGACTTCAAAGATGACCTAGCCCTCCTCCCTCATACACACGGACAAATGCAGATGAAGACAGCAAATGTAGCAGCAGCCTCCGCATCGATAGGCCTTCACATTCACAAAGGAAAAAGTAAGATTCTCAAATGCAACACGGAGAACACCAACCCAACCACACTTGATGGCGAAACTCTGGAAGAGGTGGAAACATTCAAGTACCTGGGGAGCATCGTTGATAAACAAGGAGGATCGGATGCAGATGTAAAGGCGAGGATTGGCAAACCAAGGGCAGCATTTCTACAATTGAAGAACATATGGAACTCAAAACAACTCTCAACCAATTTCAAAGTCAGAATCTTTAATACGAACGTCAACACAGTCCTACTGTATGGAGCTGAAACGTGGAGAACTACTACGGCCATCATCAGGAAGGTACAAGTATTTATAAACAGTTGTCTACGCAAAATACTCAACATTAACTGGCCGGATACTATCAGCAACAGCGTTTTATGGGAGAGGACAAACCAGCTTCCAGCTAAAGAGGAAATTAGGAAAAGACGTTGGAAGTGGATTGGACATACATTAAGGAAATCACCAATGTGCATCACGACTCAATCCTTAACTTGGAATCCGGAAGGGAAGCGGAAAAGAAGAAGGCCAAAGAATACACTATGCCGGGAAATAGAAGCCGATATGAAAAGGATGAATGTTGACTGGAAAGAACTGGAAAGCAAGGCTCAGGACAGAGTTGGATGGAGAATGCTGGTGAGCGGCCTATGCTCCTCCACAAGGGGTAACAGGATGTAAGTTACAAAAAAACCCGATCAGAGACATCGTGATGGCTGGCAATATGCATCAATAAGAATATACATTTTTCAGATATGAATTTATTGGACTGCTTACTTCTAACTGACAATCATTCAATATGTTATCATCAAGATCAACCAAGAAGTAAGAAACAGAAACTTGTTGAAATACTTTATGCTGAGAATTCTACATTGTACTAAAACATAACTAGACTGGAAAAAAAACACTAATACACAAAAAAGTAGTGGAAAATTATGTTGTTGTAAAAACAGAACAATAAAGCGCTAATGGATTAATGCGAGGGATTAATTTATTTTATTTAAACACATAAATATTGTTACAAAGGGGCACCAGATAAATATGCGCCAGACAAATCTCATTTGATTTGTGTGAGGGCTGTGATATTGCCCGGGTGCCCAGACCGAAGCAGGTGGTTTTCTTAGGAGGCCACACCACGAGCCGTCGACCTAAAGGTATGATCTACAAGGCAGTGGCGCATCGTAAGGAGATGTAGCCGGTGATCAACGATTGATTCATACACCACTTGTTCCTTCAGGATACTGGAACACATATTCACCATTGGTTTGGAATCAGGGTTTTCCAACTACCCTAGGTGGACGCTCCATGTCCACCATTCCAGTTAAAGCGCCGGACATTCGATTTTCGCCCTCTTAATTTCGTAAACAACACCCCCGCCACGAGAAGGTAGTGAGTAGGACTTCCCTGGTAGGGGCTGTATAAGCGTGGCCATGTGAGAGCATTTCGAGAGAGAGAGTTTATTCACTCTTCGTCCTCGGTCGTACCAGGGCGTTTAGGGGAGGAGAAGTCCTAAAACAAACGTACGTCGTGATTCCATTGAGGACTCTCCTCACTCTCGGCCGTACCAGGGTATTTGGGGTAAAATAAAGGAGTAAACAAAAAACATAAGAAACAACGAGAATAAATAAAATCATTTTCTGGTGTACAACAACATAAAATGCCAAATGAACTAAACAACTTCACATAACACATACATATATGTATCAGTCAGTCAGCTACAACGTAGGACCAGGCACATTTATGCATCGGTCCAAGTTGCCATAACTCGTTAACACAACAAGATCAACACTGGATTCATAGAATTAATTTAGTGGTGGTAGTAGTATATAAATTATATGTTGTATATAAGGATATAGTATAGGAAGGAAGAGAGATATGAAGCAATTTTAGTCTCAAGGTTTAAGGGAAGATAATAAATGTATACACCTACGCCATTGTGATCGATTCTGAGCCATGTCACACAGAGTCTACAACCATTGGTTACGATAGTCACGCGGACCCCAACCAGGTAGTCTCAATCTACCATCATGTTTCACATTAGAATTTAGTGACTTCAAGCACTGATGCCATGTTTTCGTTTGGCCGCCCCTAACTCTCTTCCAACAATCCTATAGACTAGTCAACATTGCGCGTCGTGGTAATCGGTGTTCAGGCATACGTAACACATGACCCAACCATCTCAGTCGATGAAGATTAATCACCTCATCAACTGATTTACCATCATTCTCCAATATTCTGTGCCTAACCTCATTATTACTTACCCGGTTATCTCAGCAGATGCGAGTAATATTTCTAAGGCATCTGTGGTCAAATACTAGTAACCTACAAGTATCTTCTACTCTTAATGGCCATGTTTCACAACCATAAAGTAGAACAGAGCGAATTGATGACATACATGCATAGTGATTATATAATTTCTGTAAAAAATAAATAACTGATTACTCAATACTTAAATAAGATATTAATAGTATTGCAGAATTTTAAAAAAATTTTTAAAAAAATAAAATTTAATAGTTTGATTATCCTAAATAATTAAACTAATTAACTAAATTGAGTTAAACAATAACAATCAAGTTGAAGAGATTATAATACTATACATAGACGAACTAATCAGATTTAAGATCATAGATCTTGAATTTTAGCATGAAATTTATTCATCCATTTGGTTTAATAATGTTTTGGCAATTTAGCTGATATTAGTTTGTAATGAGAAAAAAACAACACACAATATAAATCTAATTTCTAACCCTAATCATCAATTGTAAATCATAATTCTAATTCTTTATATTATTTTATGTTATAACTTGTTTATATTTATATTCTCCTTATTATAACTTAGCTATTTCTATTACTTGGTATTCTTGGACATCAATACACTCGACAAATTCCCAAATCAAAATACTGTTGAACAGGAAAGAAATTATATTCTAAATAACAAGGATAAATGAAAGTAAGAAGAGCAATATAAAATACCTTAGTATATTTATAATTTTTACATAAGTAAGATTCTAGAGTCTTCTCTTCAAGTATCGACCTAACTTTGATTGGATAAGAATTAACCAATCAGCGTACAACAACAAAATTGTTCATAAAATATGCTTTTATTCAATTTATGTAGCCCCATAACATTTTATAACTTACTTACGCTTGTTACCCCTTGTGGAAGAGCATAGGCCGCTCACAAGCATTCTCCATCCAACTTTGTCCTGAGCCTTCTTTTCCAGTTCTTTCCATTTGCTATTCAACCTTTTCAACTCCGCCTGTAGCTATTCTAGAGTTACTGCCGGTACCAAGCCCGGGTAAAGGAGGAGGGTTGGGCATGGGGTTAGCGACCCCATCCTGTAGAAAAGCTAACTCGCTAAATAAAAAAAAACGCTAACCAGAAAAAAATAACATTTTTTTAAACCTCATTTAATCCTGATTATTAGGTGAATACTCTCAAAAATCAATTTGGCATCGCTTAAAACGTCATTCATAGAATTGCAGTTTCACATTTAGATAAAAAAATATATACAGTTGAATTGAAAATCTTCTATATTGTTTATTTATTTATTAAATTGAATTATATTTATATAGAAGATATTTTGAAATGTAAACAGAATACAACAATAAACAAATAACGGTAATATAAATAGAATAAATAAACAAACAAATAAACCAGTAAACAATTATTACCCATTATATAAATGAATTGTTGTTATTTTTTTAAAAAATTTATTTACAAAAATAGACAGATTAATAATTTTCTAAATGTATTTTAATGGATCATTTAAATTAATATTCAGCTGGAACAGTTTTCATTGCTTCAAATGATGAACGTAATAATTTAGTATTCTAAGAAAATTGAAAAAAATTATATAATTAATGTAGGTATCATTACCAAGTTATGATTTGATAATTTTGAATAAATTGAACATTGGGTAGATTGTTATAAATAAAGAAAAATATATTTGTAATATTCCAATGAGTAGAAAATATTAGATTTTCTGACGTTTCGTCACTCTGTGTAAGCCACTTCTTCAGAGTAAATAAATAACCAAATTAATATTAATCCAAGTTTAAATAGTACAATGGAACAATCCAAGAATATTAGGTGATCAATCGAAAAAACAGGTCTGAATAAATCACTGTCACGTCATTTCATTTCGTTCAAAGTGATTCATAAGGGATATGTATGTAATTTTGTGTGTATGTATGCATTGTTAATAATGAAAACTGTGTGACCTTTATAATTACAAAGGATAGAGTTTGATTTGTAATGTAATGGTGTGAAATTGTAAATAATATCAAACTGAGTGACTAGGATAGATGGTCCAAGTAGGCTGTATGGTAAGGCCTTCGTTTCTATTGAGAGCTGTGGGATTAAGCATTATATGGAAAGCTTCAGCTACTCTTCTTTCTTTGTAGTTAAAAAAGGTTTTTCTAACTACAAACGTCAGAAAATCAAATTTTTCTACTCATTGGGATATTACAAATATATTATTTATTTATAATATAATTAATGTATTATAATAAGGTAATTTATTTATAATGATGAGTTTATAAATATTCATTAACTAAGATAGTTAGGTCATATAGTTCCGATTATCAATAACATAAAATACTGACTAGTGTTGAAGATGGATGGAAGAAAGTTAGGAGTGGTCAAATAAAAAAACATGAAATCAGTTTATACAATCACTAACTTCTGGTCTGAATCATGTTACTAGATGCAAACTACTTGGTTAAGATTTATGTGACTATCATAATTAATGGTTGAAGATTCTAGATAACATGGATCAGAATTGATTACAATGGTGTAGATGCATAGACTCTTTGTTTTTCCCTAAAGTGTGAGATTAAAATTTCTTTTTTACCATTCTTCCTACAAACTAATATTTTATTCCAGTATTATATTATTATACGCATTCTTTGTTTTATATATTTTTACCACGTTTGAGTTTTTCCCCTTATGAATTGCTTGTACTCGGCTGCTTACGGAATATATATTCTTCTACTTCACCTTGGATTTCTTCCTCTAGTTAGCGGAACCTGGGATGACGGATTAGATTAGCTTATCGTGTCACTGTGTCATTAACCTTCGTTCGTTACCGAGAAAATCGAATTAGCTTAAGCATATCATATATAAATAAGTTGATGTGTGGGCGAGAATGTCAATGATTGGTTGTCTCGATGAGTCAGACATTAGAGGGGATGACAGGTGTTATGTGTTATATATATATTTCCCTATCCTTATTATGTATGGACTTATTGACTGTTCCATGTGTCGGATTTGGTGTGAAATACATTGACGTTATAGTCAGGCTAATCTCGTGTTCTTGATCTGAGTTGTGTTGAAGTCCTGTAGAATAGACACTGGGTGGGAATCTAGTGTAGATATTCGTCTAAGATAAATTAACGTCCCACATACGTGTAAGAAGTAAAAGGACTGTTATAACCAGAAACCCCTAAAGTTATAACCAGCATCCTCTCTCTCTCTCTCTACGTTTATAACAATTGGCGACGGCATACATACGTTTATAACATAAGTGAAATGCAATAAGAAGTGTAACAAGCATAAAGTTAGTTAATTCGCTAGTTAAAGAAACACTAAATGTAAATACTTCTTTCATACTTATACAATTTCAAAAAGTAGATGGACAATTTAAGTGTGTGCGTAGGAGAGAGAGAGAAAGAAAAAAAAATGTAATGGTGTACAGGAAACATGCATTATGAAACACAAAATGATGAAAATGATAGTAACTAACGAAAAAAAGGCAATAGTGAAGTAGTTACGATATTAATAACTATGGACACTAGGAGTATGAGAGAGAATAAAAGTATTGTTGAAATTGTGATTCGATCTAGTCTAGATAACTATTGAAAACGTGGAGGCACTTCAAAGTCATTTCCTCCTAGTGTAGAGCTTCTCAGAAGGAAAGATCCACGACCTAATATCCAGCAGTCGGTCTCGCGCACGAATGAATAACCTATAGAATACCAACATAGTATCTGTTATATCCCCTGGTGAATTATGAATGGTAAATCTGAGGTCTATTATGGACAAATGTAATATGCCTATTTCTTATTTTATAGTTATTAAATAACTGACCTAATCGTATTCGTGTTCCTCTTATCATAACCTTTATTTTGACCTTTGAACATTTGTTATTGATTACTTCCCCCTATCCACAGCCACATTGGCCAATTATTGTACAAATGTTATTTCAAAATGATATTGTGATGACACATGAACCAGAAAGTAACGGCCAATTAGCCTTTCTAGACATACTTTTAAGTCGAAGAGATGATGGCACTATTAGACGGTCCGTGTATAGGAAACCAACTTGGACGGGACAATACCTAAATTTCCATAGTTTCTGTCCATTGCAATACAAGAGAGGTCTAGTTAAGTGCCTCTTTAAGAGGACTCGAAGAATATGTACCTCTGATATGGTGGAAAAAGAGGAGAAGTTACTGACTGACACGTTAATAGCAAATGGTTATCCACTCAAGTTTATTAATAGGTGCAAAAGTCAATTAATGCCAAGACCTCTAATTTATTCAGTGCCAAAGAAAAAGGTTTACATCAATCTACCATATAGAGGCGAATCAAACAGTATAGTTTTAAGGCAGAGATTGAAAGCAGCCATTGAGAATACGTATTATGCTGCTCAGTTGGTAGTGATTGAAAAGTCTAAGGCCATGATTCATAATAGACCCAAACAATGCACTAATGATTACGTCACATCCCATTGTATTTACCAATTTACATGTTTGTGTGGACACACATACATAGGTAGGAGTAATCGAACAATGCAATCAAGGGTCAATGAACATGTACCCAGATGGCTTCAAAATCAGTGTGTGTCAAATGATCCGATCAATGTAGGCGGTAGAAAACCATGTTCATCGATAGCAAAACACATTATTGAGACGGGGCACAAAATTAACATTAATACAGCATTTAGAATGTTGTATAGAAATTGTCAAGGTCGAATTCTTAAGTTTATTGAAGCCTTAGCTATTCGTAAATTTAAACCCCCCTTATGTGTACAAAAACAATTTGTCGTAACCTTGAATTTACCTTGGTAATCCTTAAGTCATTCTATGGCCTAGAATAACGCGACAATTTCTTATTCTTTCTTCCCCTTAGTTATTTTAGTTGTACTTTTATTTGTTTCTTTGACCTTTATTAATTTTCATATAAAAATGCCTTGACAAGTATATGTGTGACCAGATTGTTCGAAATGTATAGCGCAAATACATCACATTTTTCAGATCAACTACGTCTTCTCATTGTTCTATCGAGATAATTTGGTCTGTTTGGTTAGTATATTGTAGCTGTAAATAATTCCCCAAAATCAATAGCTCATTAAGTGTTCGACATTGGATGCTGACCACGTTGTTTAAGTGGACTAATTTAGCTGAAGGCTTTCGGTCATGCATCCGCACCAGATCACGTTTCAACTCGGCGTGGGACACAGCTCCTACGTTTCATTAGCCAGCTTATAGAAAAGGTCCTCGATATATTGGTAACGAATCAAATATATCTTTCCTGCCTCTTCTCGTCTGACTTCTGATTTCTATCTGACTGGGAACGATCGAACATAGAAGGTGCTACTGGTAACTAGTTGTAAAACTAGAACATCCGTTGCATCCTCAATATAAACCCAGTATGTTTGTGGATAATGATTCATATTGCCGAGGCTGTTATTTGTGTTCTGGACTCAACTGGCTGGGCTAGGCAGATCGCAAGACCGGAATAGCACCCAAGACTACTCGTACGATTTCAAGTATCATTTGTGTCCGATCAATAAATCCACTCCCTCTAATTGCACGTTCATATATATTACGAGTTCAATACGTTATAACAACTGGCGACGGGGTAAAAAAATGGCTCTAACTTCCGATCAATTTCAGTTGCTAATCCAGCGACAAGAGCAGCGTTTTAGAAAAAATCAATCGAAATTCATTGCCAAGTAACATGCAAAGCTGCTGAATCACCCATGCTTTGGGGGAGCAACGGAAGTCGACGCATTAATTTCTAAATTGCGTACAGAACTGGAAATCAATTGCAGAACAAATGAATATGCAGAGGAAAGCATCAATGAATCCGCGAAAAACTAATTTAAATGAAGCAGTAGCAGTCCTACATGATTAGCCCAGTAGTCCGGTACTGTATGTTTCAGCGACATGCCCAATACACGGTCCAATTCATATTAACCCCGAAAACGGACGTGCAAACAGTGGATCAACCTGTTCACAGAAAGACAATGTCTTGCTAAATGCTTATGAAAGTGCTGCAGTACCCACGATGGTGTAACTCTAATCGATCCACGATACTGTACAAACTTGACCCTTTGATTGCGGTGAATAAACGTCTTAAATCTTACGTGGTTGAATTCCATGGGTGACAGTTCTTCGCTAGAACTCCAGAAATTACATTTAGAAGTTGATCACTTAAAAGCGCACCATTTAAAATATGTGAGAAAACCCGTACTAATAACAATCATATGCATGCTAGTGACCAGCGGAATTGAACTACGTCTAGTACGATAGTTATCTACCACATAAAATGAATAAGTGTTGCGTAATATCGTGAGCCGACTGAAGGTAGACATATAAACCGCTGGATGACTGCCCGGTAGTCTGAAGGTTAATCACGCGCGCGCGATATTGAGTCTTGAATGCAAGGTCATGGATCCGTACTGCTGAGAAGTTTCACACTAAGAAGAAATGGCCTTCCAGTGTTTTCAAGTTTTCAGTAATGAAATAAAATTATTTCGATATTTGATTCCACTGAACAATTTATCATGCAATATCAATCTAATATTGATAATTTCGTTTCTTAACTTATGCAAAACCTCTCTAATTATATACTAATATACGTAGAATTCACCATAAATTCCACATATTCAGATTGTTTGAAACTTCAGCATATCACAGGCTGAAGGTGGAAACCGTAAAAATACTGAAGGTGAATCAAATTAGTGGAAATATGATTTTTGATAGTAGAAGTAATAAAAATAAACGAATATATTTCACACTGGATTGCTCCAACTTTATCAAATGTATACTTCTCTTAATACGGAGAATCAGACCTACATACACACCCATACAACACAAACCATACTAAAATCTATAATAAAGCAACATGTAGTGATTTATCCGTTAATCCTAGGTGACATGGCTCAGATTAGATCACAATGGCGTAGGTGTATATTGTTATATCCCCTGGTGAATTATGAATGGTAACTCTAAGGACTATTTATCGACCATTGTATTATTCCTATTTCCTATTGTACAATTATTACGTAACTAAACGATTCATATTCGTGTTTCTCTTATCATTAGCTTTATTTTGATCTTTGATTTATTATCATACGATTCTTGAGTTATAATCAGTTTATTGATTACTTTGGTTTGTATAAAAACCCAGTATGTTTTAAATACAACGATTCATACTACTGAGGCTGTTATTGGTGTTTTGGACTTAATTGGCTGGGCTAAGCAGATCGCAGGACCGGTTAGCACTCTAGTCTGCTCGTACAGGTTTCGTGTCACTGTTCCAATCGACAATTCGCTGCTCCCTGTTAGGCGGTCTTATCGCGTCATACATCAACTAGTCATCCACCTGACCACAAGCATAAAATATATGCTCCTTATCTTCCCTTAAACCTTAAGATTAAAATTGCTTCATGTCCTTATATACAATGTTTCTTTCATATATTACCACCACTAAATTAATTATTTCTATGAATCCGGTGTTCATCTTGTTGGGCTAACGAGGTATGGCAACTTGGACCGATGCATAAATGTGCCCGGTTATATGTTGTAGCTGACTGACTGACTTATTCATTAATTAGACTATTTGACATAAACTTAGATGTTCCACTGATTCTATTGAATACATTTGCTCAATTATTGATGTTATCTTTGAAGGAATTCTCAAATCCAGTGACAAATACTGTGTCAATAATGATGAAATCAACTAATAAATGATTGTGTATACTGGAAATCATTATTTACTTAACATTAGGAGGAGTATTAAAACATCAAATTCATTGGCTTGAATATATATTTTATATATATCATCTCAACAGTCTCTCTTCTGATTCAGTGCATTGCAAGTGGAAAAAAGTTGACAAATGATCAGATATGTTTTAAACGGCATTATCACAAGACAAGAATATAAAATTATAACATAATGATGGTTGACATACTACTTACTAATAATTCGAATTAAATATTATGAAAGATATCTCTATATGTATATAGTGTAATGAGATAATTGGATTGATATGAAAATTATGATATATGCATTTCGAACAATCTGATCATACATATATTTATATTTATGATTATTCAGTGTGACGGCTGGAACACTGTCTGGATGCTCAAACAGAAGTAGGTGGTTTTCTTAGGCGGCTACACTCGGAGCCTTTCACGTGAAGGTCTAATCCAAAAAGCAGTGGAGCAAAGTAAGGAGATGCAGTGTCATGGTAGCCGGTGACCAACTATGGGTTCATACACCATTTGTTCCCTCAGGATTCTGGAGCCCATATGGACCATTGGTTTGGAATCAGGGTTTTCCAACTCTCCTAAGTGGATCCTCCATATCCACCAACCCGGTTATAAAGCCGGACATTCGCATTCCGTCTTCTCGATAACGACAAACAACATCCCTGCCACGAGAAGGCAGTGAGTATGACTTTCTTAACAGTGCCTGTATACACTTGGCCATGTGAGAACATTTCGATAGATAGAGATAACTCTTCCCATCATCGGTAGTACAAAATTTAACAATAAATGTAAAGTAATAACATCGCTTGATTAACCCATTGAAATGACTTAAAACAATAGAAATACATAAAAAGAAACAATAAAACTAACTAGAATTTAGTAAACAAAATAATTTTCAAAACTAACCTCTGGTTTCAATCTATGTGTTTCAACAGCTGGTACATTTAATTTTACACGTTCAACTATACAACGATAAGCAGTCGGTGTTAATTTGAATACAGTATGTAATGGAACATGAATATAAGGTAGTTCATCTATACATGAATGCAGAAAAACAATACAATAATATACACATATACACTGATATAAAAGAGTTGAATATAGACAAAGAATGTAAAACCAAAACACAAAAGCTTATTTCAATCAATTTTCTTTATTCATTATTAAAAAGATGATGAAAACAATTGAACAAGTTTCTGTTTAATTGTTATTAACTTGTACCGGCAATTGTTATATCTTTTACCCGCCTATTAAGAAAGGAATGATTTATTGATTAGACCAATGACACCCGTATGAGCAATTTAGAGTATTTGTCGGTCATGCTATCTGCCTAGCTCAGCCAGTTAAGTCTAGAACACTAATAACAGCCTCTGCAATATGAATTATTTATTTCAAATATACCGGGTTTATATACCAATCAGACAGACCACAATGTATCATAAAATAGAAAATAACATTTTGTACAAGACTTAACTAATTGTGGCTATTAATAGGGGAGATAGTAATTGATAGACAGGGCATAACTCAAAAAATGGTAAACCGTATAATAATAGTTCATAGGTCAAAATAAAGCTTATTATAAGAGGGACGCGAGTATGAATAGTCTAGTTGTTTCACAATTATACGATAAGAAATATACACATCATATTGGTCCACAAATAGTTCCCAAAAGTTACCATTCATAATTCACTTCGGAATATAATAGTTTCACTTTTTATTGTAGTAATCAATATAGGTAGGAATGGAGTAGTTACCTGATTGTTTATGATAAATACAAAGCGACAAACCAAAGAACACACTGTGTCGGGAATCGGAGGCAGACATTATAAAAATAAATAGTACTTAGGAAGAGCTGGAAAGGAGAATCATGATCGGCGGCCTATACTCCAAGAAGAGTAACAGGAGTAAGTATGTAAGATAGACGCAGTTGGATTGGGATTCGACTTACAGAATGAAAAGTCCGAGAACTATTTTATCCCATCAGTATTCACTAGCCCCCCCCCCACACACACAATCAAGCATGATACAGAACCATAATCGGTTTCCCAGTTATCTTGTAAGTGGCTTAATGGTTAAGATGATTGGTCAGTCTTAATCAAAGTCTAACCTATCATAACTTCTTCTCTGAAGAAGTCACGAAACGTCAGAAATACAATTTTTCTTACTTATTGGGATCTAACAAAAATATATTTATTGTTAACTTTCTACCGAATGCTCAATTTATTTGAAACTATTATAAATGTTAGTTCCTACACAACATCCTGGCAACATGACGAAATCATCAAAATGAATATAGTTCATAAAAAACAAAATGAAAAAAATCATACATACAGGAATACTGTATATTGGGGATCTATGAGTGTTGGGGATGTCAAATCCCCAGAACTTACTTGGTAAATGGCTTAATCTTGTAATTTTATTTTTAAAATTTGAATTTAGCTGTTTTCGCGCCAAAAGCGCTCTTTTTACCTTCACGTCATTTTCCCACTTGTAAACTATCTTAAACGCTATTGGTCCGTTGTTTCTTTGTGTGTGCTATTTACTAATAATGCTCAAGGACAATTTGTTGCTGTATAAATGCGCTTGACTTTTCCCCTTATTGGATTGCTTGTACTCGGCTGCTTACGGAATACATATATATTCCCCTACTTGCCTTGGGCTTCTTCATCTAGTTAGCGGGGCCTGGGACAACCGATTAGAATAGCTTATCGTGTCATTGTGTCATTGGCTTTCGTTCGTTACCGCGGAATCGATTTAGTTTCAGGCATAACAATGAGAAAGATAAAGAGTGAGTCCATCTGTGCTACTGTGATCAATTCTCAGACATATCACTCAAGACACAGAGTCACCGATCGTATCTACCATGCAAATTTCAGTCAAGCTATCACTACCTATTAAAATTATAATTTAAAGGGACGAATTAAGAGTGATGCCGATTTGACTTTGAGAAAATTGACCTACTTACTAGAGTCAAAGAAAGGGTTCGAGATTCATGATGAGAATTAGAATTAAGAGTAAGAAGCCCCCAAATGCCCTGGTAGTGCCCCCAAATGCCCTGGTACGGCCGAGAGTGGGGAGAGTCTACTTTCCCTCTCGAAATGCTCTCACATGGCTAGCGAATATATAGCCTCTGCCAGGGAAGTCCTACTCACTGCCTTCTCGCATCTCGGGTGTTGTTTACGAAAGTGAGAGGACGAAAAGCGAATGTCCGGCGCTATAACCGGATTGGTGGACACGGAGGGTCCACCTAGGGGAGTTGGAAAACCCTGATTCCAAACCAATGGTGCACATGGGCTCCAGTATCCTGATGGAACGAATGGCGGAAGAACCTGCTGTTGGTCAACGGCAACCATGGGACTGCATCTCCTCACGATGCTCCACTGCCTTGTGGATCAGACCTTTAGGTCAAAGGCTCGGGGTGTGGTCCCCTAAGAAAACCACCTGCTTCGGTTTGGGCACCCGGGCAGTATCACAGCCCACACACAAACAAATGAATGAAATTATGAACTCTATTGACGATATCCCTGGTCATACTAAAAGCAAGACAATTAACATTATTATTATTATTACCTTTATTATTATTATTATTATTATTATTATTATTATTATTATTATTATTATTATTATTATTACTTACCATATCGCTAATTCACCCCCTTTTATCCCCAATTTGTGTAACCTTACTCTTCAACTTATGCAGCAGCTCGCTCTTGGTGGAAAATCTATCCTATCTAAACGATCTCCAGTCACTGTCTGGTTGAAAGTGAATGCTTCCACCGATTATGAATACTGAGGCAGTCTTTCTGAAACCACGTACGCCGTTCAAGCTGGCTTCCTTCAACGTTCGCACACTAATGCAGATCAGACAACAGATAGGGCTGGCTATGTCTTTGGAAGGTCTTAATGTTGACGTTTGTTGTCTATCCGAGACCCGTATTCAAGACTCTAGTGAAGTACTACAAATCCGCTCTCCATCTGTCGCCTCGAAAAGCTTGTTCCACGTGCGCTTATCCGGGGACCCTGTGGCATCTTCGTCTGGTCTTGCTGGCGTTGGTGTCGCACTAAGCGCTAGAGCTGAGGCAGCACTAATCGATTGGATCCCCATTAACAGTCGGTTATGTGCTGTTAGATTAGAAAGTTCCATCAAAGTGAGAAGAAATCGGCGTGAGAAACGGTGTCTTTTCGTCATCTCCGCCTATGCCCCGACAGATTGCAGCCCGGATGCAATCAAGGATGAGTTTTACCATCAGTTAACAGTTCTTCTCCAGAAAGCGCGTTCGACAGATATTGTAGTACTAGCCGGAGACTTGAATGCACAGGTCGGGCGTCTAGGCACAGAAGAGAGTCGTCTAGGTGGCCGATGGGGACTTGTTATCTTTATTTATTTATCTAAACACATAAATATTGGTACAAGGAAACACCAAATACATATGCGCCATACAAATCTCATTCGATTTGTATGAGGGCTGTGATACTGCCCAGGTGCCCAAACTGAAGCAGAGGGGGACTTGTTGGTCGCCGGACAGATAACGGGGACCGTTTGCTGCAACTGTGCACAGACCACAACCTGTTTCTGGCTAGCACTAACTTCCGGCACAGTCATCGCCGGTGTGCCACCTGGCGTCCTCCCTCTGCATCCCAAGCCTGGACTCAGATTGATCACATCGCGATCAGCTACCGCTGGCGTGGTTGTGTACAAGACTGCCGCTCCTTTTGGAGTACCTATCTGGAGTCTGATCATGCCCTGGTCTGCGCCAATCTCACCTTACTTTTCAGTGGCCGAAGGATTGACCACCACCAACGGATCGATGTTAGTAAACTGGCTGCAACATCTGTTGCAAGTAAGTATCGAGCTGAGCTAGCCTCTAGGCTAGCTACCACCCCACCGAAAAGTATAGACGAGCATTGGTTGCATCTTCACGACGCCATGAAAATGGCGAGTAAAGCCGCTTGTGGCTTCGCGAAACGTCCCGCTTACAAGCACTGGGTTTCTTCTGGCTCCTTACAACTGATGGAAGCCCGTCGGTCTACTCCGGGTGACCGTGAGTTTGACCACAAACGAAGGCTGTTACGTAATGAAATCGGGCAAAGCTTGTGTAAGGACCGGGAAGCCTGGTGGTCGGAGCGTGCTAATGAGATGGAAGCAGCAGCTGCATCTGGTAACTGCCGGAAGCTCTTCCAACTCATTCGAGCCACTGGCAGCAAGAAGTCTGGTGTGAGTGAAACAATCTACGAGGATGACGGGATGCCAATCACTAACATCTGTCGACGTCTTGGACGATGGGCGGAATTTTTCGAAGGGCAGTTCAACTGGCCTGCTGCTCCGGCAACATCAACCAGCGTGTCCTGCTCCCCATGGCCGGTGACGACTGATCCACCAAACGAGGCGGAAGTCCGCAAGGAACTCCAACTCTTGAAGCGCTACAAATCACCTGGCCCAGATGACTTACCTCCGGCTCTTTTTAAAGATGGTGGTGACTTTCTGGCTAAGGAACTGACTGCGTTGTTTGGAAAGGTTTGGGAGCAAGAAAGTGTTCCAACATCTTGGAATGAGTCAATAGTCGTCCCTATCTTTAAAAAGGGTTCACGTTGTTCCTGCAATAACTACCGGGGGATAAGTCTACTTTCGATCGCGTCCAAACTATTGGCTTCTATCATTCTTCGTAGGTTGTTTAAAACCCGAGAACGATTGACTCGCGAGGAGCAGGCTGGTTTTCGTTCTGGTCGAGGATGCATTGATCACATCTTCACCCTCCGCCAAATGTTAGAACACCGTCACACTTATCGCAGGCCAACAATCGTAGTGTTTCTTGATATCAGGGCGGCCTTCGATTCGTTGGACAGGACTGTTCTCTGGGATAGTCTATTGAAGAAGGGTGTGCCTGAGAAGTTCATTAACATCTTAAAGGCCCTGTATACGAACACCTCAGGCAGAGTGAGGGCATACAACCACCTTTCTCCCTTGTTCCATTTGAGCAGTGGGGTTAGGCAGGGTTGCCCGATCTCACCATTCCTCTTCAACTTTGTCATCGACGACATCCTAGAAACAGCTCTGATGGATGTAAGTAATGGCGGTGTGGATATGTTGCCTGGAGAACGACTTCTCGACCTCGAGTATGCGGATGATATTGTCTTACTGTGCGATAATGCCCAAGGCATGCAATCAGCACTTAATCAGTTGGCAATCAGTGTCCGCAGGTACGGCATGTGCTTTGCACCCTCCAAGTGCAAAGTACTTCTACAAGACTGGCAGGATTCTCATCCTGTACTCACCCTGGATGGTGAGGAGATCGAAGTAGTTGAGAAGTTCGTGTATCTAGGTAGTTATATAAGTGCTGGTGGTGGCGTGAGTGATGAGATTGATGCACGTATAATGAAAGCCAGAGCGGCTTATGCCAATCTGGGCCATCTTTGGAGCCTTCGTGATGTTAGTCTGGCTGTAAAAGGTCGGATCTACAACGCGTCGGTGAGAGCAGTTTTGCTCTATGCTTGTGAAACCTGGCCTCTCCGAGTTGAGGATGTTAGACGTCTCTCTGTGTTCGATCATCGTTGTCTCCGAAGGATTGCTGACATACAGTGGCAACACCATGTTAGTAATGCAGAGGTTCGGCATCGTGTGTTCGGGCGCAGAGACGACAACCCAATTGGTGTCACCATCTTGAAACACCGACTTCGGTGGCTTGGACATGTTTTACGAATGTCGTTCCAGAGACTTCCACGTCGTGCATTATTTGCCGACTCTGGGACTGGTTGGAAAAAGCAGAGAGGAGGTCAGTGTATGACATGGTGTCGTGGCATGAAAGAAAGCTGCAAAGGGCTAGCTCCTGTTGGTCCTTCACGACTCCCTGGTTGAGGTCCGAGAGATGGTGCAACACAGTGGCTAGAGACGTTATCAGATATGGCTCAGAATAGAAGCCAGTGGCGATCCTGCTGCAACCTTCTTTTACTTTCTACATAAAGAGTGGTTCTAACTTTCTTAACTGAAAGAGTCTTCTGGTTGTACATTCCAGTCCGCCTTATCTTTTCATCCCTTCTCTTCCTACTTTCATTATTTTGTGTGGCGCATATGTATCTGGTGCCCTATTGTATCAATATATATGTGTTTAAATAAATAAAATAAATAAAGAGTTAGAAATTAAAGTTAGGAATTAGAGTAAGAGTTTTACACACAAACTGAAATGAGCTTTAATGCCAAAATCCTATTCAGCCATGTGGCTGGATGAACTTCACGCCAAAACCCGAGATATTCTATTTTTAATTTCATTGGTTCGTTCACAAATTATAATCTCGCCTGTAATTGCCTTCAAACTGATAGATCTCTAATTTGCATGCCTCCTACAATAACTAAGTTAGTTTAGGCAGGTGAACAGTAGTATAAAAAACCGAACTTGATCATTCACTTATATTAAAAATATGATCATTCGTGGTCATGGGCTCGACTCCTGGTTGATGATCAGTAATTACAAACTACGATAGAACAATCGTACAGTGTTGTCTAGTCTGTAATGAATAAATTCTCTCGCCCAGCTGATAGTGTAGATCCATAATGAACAAAACATCTTCATATAAACACACATTGAACACTTTACAAACTCACCCTTGTTTTTATCTTCAAAATAGGCAAGTAAACAACGTGCCACAGCCTGATGACAAATAACCAAAACTGATGTTTGTCGTTCTAATTCCATAATTACTGGCTCTAGACGTGTCACCAAATCTTGATATGACTTTAATAAAAAAATGAAAACAGACGACAATTAGGATGATAACAATAATATAACAGAAATATGATGAATACAAAGTTAAATTTTGTTTTAAAAGTTCTTACAGTCAGTCTGTCACAACGTAGAACTTCGTACGTACATCAGTTCGAGTTGCATAGCACATTAGAACAGTGATGCAGTTGTCGATTCAAATCCCATAGTGGTAGAGATAGTAAGAGTATAAGCAATAATCCGAAAGATTAGGGTTTGAAGATGTTATTCAAGGAGTATAATACAGTGGAATAAATTTGGAAAGAGAAAAAGATAGAGACATGAAGAATTCGGAAGAGCGCAAAGAGTGGATGCACCTTCACCATTGAAAACGATTTTCAGCCATGTCATTCAAGGTCTCTAACTATCGATTGCTATCATCTCGCGGATCCCAACCAGGTAGTCTATACCTACCAACATCACTCAATTCACTTGTCACTGACTTCATGGATTTATGCCACGTTTCGGTCTGGCCGACCCTAGCTTCCTTCCAACCTACTCCTACACCATAAAACATTTTTTATCGGGGCAGTCGGTGGTTGGGCATACGTAACACGTGTCCCAGCCATCTCAACTGACGAAGTTTCACTACTTCATCAATCGATTTGCCATCCTTACCTAGTACCCGTTTCCTATCAACTACATTACTTACTCGGTGGTTCCAGAATATACGAGCATTGCTCGTTGATAATATTCACTAGTGAAGATAACCAAAGCTTCATCCCAAAAGAAATCATTCATTTAGGTGAATACAACACAAACATATCAGCATTTTAACCATGAGATTTTTCAATTTTTACAATAGATTTAATATAACCACCACTCTGCCTGAAGTACTGTTGTGGTTATTGACAATCCCGAGCCTGAACAAATGAGGAGGGTTGGGGATAAAGTTATCAATCCTATATCGGGAAAAAGAACTGTGATTAAAAGATGTTGACCACCACCAACCAAGAAACATTATTATCACGGAAAGTCCACCAAGGAGAGTTGAAAAGCCTTGGTTCCAAACTAATGGTGCCTCTAGGTAAAAGGCTAAGGGTATAGCCCCCTAAGAAAACCAACTGCTTCCGTTTGCGCACCCGGGCAGTATCACAGCTCTCACACAAATCGAATGATATTTGTGCGGCGCATATGTATGTGGTGCTTCCTTGTACCAATATTTATGTGTTTGAATAAATAAATAAATTTAAGAAACGGGTATGTTTGATTGTCTTCTGATTCAAAAGAAAAGGTTCTCTAACAAATTTCTTGTTTTCAATTACACGTAAACTATAAAAAACGGTGGAACTACATAGTGTTAACTAATTTATATTTACAATAAGATAATTATTTAGTTTCACAGAATAGATAGATTGTAGCTAGAAATGAAAAACAGGTGGTGCGCTTCGTTATCCTTAGGACATACCAGCTAGTTGTGTACATTTCTGCATCTCAGAGTAACTGCTTACATCAGGGATGGAGTCTAATATCTTTTGTTGAAATGTCTTATTATCCACTGAGCTATTGAGTTCCTATAATTGGTTATAGGCGGCACAATATTCCCACACAAGCACATACACAAAGCTACATGGATCTCACCGGACCAAACCACAGAGAACCAGATAGATCACATCTGTATCAACAAAAAATTCCGAAGATCAATAGAGATGTGAGAACCCGGTGAGGAGCTGACATAGCTTCAGATCACCACCTGGTTGTGGCCAAGATGAGACTGAAGCTAAAGAAAGACTGGACAACTGGACAAACAGCACTACAAAGGTTCAATATAGCCTTCCTTCGAGATACTGACAAGCTCAATGAATTCAAGATAACACTCAACAACAGGTTCAAAAGTGGGAAGGCGGCAGGACCTGACAATATACCAGCAGAAGCACTGAAATCAGACATTGAAATAACTGCAAACATGCTTCACCTTCTATTCAAGAAGATTTGGGAAGAGGAACAAGTGCCAATGAACTGGAAAGAAGGATATCTCATCAAGATACCAAAGAAAGGAGATCTGAGCAAATGTGAGAACCACAGAGGTATCAGATTGTTATCAGTACCAGGAAAAGTTTTCAACAGAGTGCTGCTGAATCGGATGAAAGACGCAGTAGACGCCGAACTAAGGGATCATCAGGCTGGATTCCGTAAGGATCGGTCGTGCACAGACCAGATTGCGACACTACGGATCATCGTTGAACAATCAGTTGAGTGGAACTCATCACTATACGTCAACTTCATTGACTATGAGAAGGCGTTTGACAGCGTGGACAGGAGAACATTATGGAAACTTCTTCGACACTATGGAGTTCCTGAAAAGATTGTCAACATTATCCAAAACTCATACGATGGACTACAGTGCAAAGTGGTGCATGGAGGACGGCTGACAGATGCATTTCCAGTAAGGACCGGAGTCAGACAAGGCTGTCTACTCTCCCCATTCCTCTTCCTTCTAGTGATTGACTGGATTATGAAGAATTCGACACCTGAAGGGAAATATGGAATACAATGGACAGCTCAGAATCAATTAGATGATTTGGACTTCGCAGATGACCTAGCCCTCCTCTCTCATACACACGAAAAAATGCAGATGAAGACAGCAAATGTAGCAGCAGCCTCCGCATCGATAGGCCTCCACATTCACAAAGGAAAAAGCAAGATTCTCAAATGCAACACGGAGAACACCAACCCAACCACACTTGATGGCGAAACTCTGGAAGAGGTGGAAACATTCAAGTACCTGGGGAGCATCGTTGATAAACAAGGAGGATCGGATGCAGGTGTAAAGGCGAGGATTGGCAAAGCAAGGGCAGCATTTTTACAATTGAAGAACATATGGAACTCAAAACAACTCTCAACCAATTTCAAAGTCAGAATCTTTAATACAAACGTCAACACAGTCCTACTGTATGGAGCTGAAACGTGGAGAACTACTACGGCCATCATCAGGAAGGTACAAGTATTTATAAACAGTTGTCTACGCAAAATACTCAACATTAACTGGCCGGATACTATCAGCAACAGCGTTTTATGGGAGAGGACAAACCAGCTTCCAGCTGAAGATGAAATTAGGAAAAGACGTTGGAAGTGGATTGGACATACATTAAGGAAATCACCAATGTGCATCACGACTCAATCCTTAACTTGGAATCCGGAAGGGAAGCGGAAAAGAAGAAGGCCAAAGAATACATTATGCCGGGAAATAGAAGCCGATATGAAAAGGATGAACGTTGACTGGAAAGAACTGGAAATGAAGGCTCAGGACAGAGTTGGATGGGGAATGCTGGTGAGCGGCCTATGCTCCTCGACGAGGGGTGACAGGCGTAAGTAAGTAAGTATTGAGTTCCTATAGTCACTGACATGTTCAACGAGTATGATGTTTATATCATTATTAATAACGATCTGAATTATCCCAAATGGGAACACCTACACTAGTATACAGGTATATCCAGTTGGTCAGTCTCTAGTGAGATAAAAATGCCCAACCCGTATCCCAAAAATAATCTATTCTAAAAGAGAATTTATGACATAATGTATATATATCAAGACGATCTATGTAGAATACAAACATGGTCCAACAATAAAAACTGATCAAAATTCAGTTTTGAACATAAGCAAGACGGTAATTCAGACCTTCATTAGTTACGTTAGAGTTATTTAGTGTTTTAATGAGGTTCGTATTGACACTTATCTTTATAATAACATTTAAATAAACCGGCAAGAATCAAGTGTTCATGCCAATAATAAAGGAATTATCTATGAAGATAATAGGAATGTTCTATAGTAAAGTTAATATTTTTAATGAAATATAGATATACGGACCGACCGTTGCTGCTACCTTGACGTGGTGGTCGGGCTTGCCTATCGTGATGAACCAATCGAGCTATACTAGCTGGAACAATCGTTCCTCAAGGTACTACCATGCCAGGCAAGTCGGTTGAAGAGCGGTAAGACTAAAAGCAGCAATCACAAGGTCTAAAGGCGAAGTCGTACTGCTGACTGTACAGAGGTGTGACAGCAGTAAGGTGTTTCCTTCAGACAACCAACATAACAGCGATGCTGCCTTCCCACAAGGAGGGGTAGGGTTAGAAAAGGTCGACCATAAAAATACACGCCTCGCCTTATCCTACGGGTTTCCGTCTCCGGCGGTAAGGTCCTTTGAAAACAGAGCTAACACGTCAAAAATCCCCCACAAAAGGGCCGTGCGTGACCGGCCTCAAGCAGTTGTCCTTCGGGCATTGCGGTCACGCTCCCAGGTCGTTATGACGAACATTAATCCAACTTCTTTTTCAGGTCCATCAGGAAATACCCTTCCACGGTGTGGTCAACCAGGAAGTGATATTAGCCCTCATACCCATAACTGCACACGAGACCAAGTTGATCACTTTCAAATCCTTCCTACACCTTCTAACAACTCTCTTATCTCCACGACTAACCCTTATCACGTCATTTTATACGGAAGCAACAGCTAACTTGGACGGTTAACAGTATTAAATACCGCGGGAATGAAGTAATTACTACAGGGAGGAGCGGCGAGATAATGAAAGTTTAAACATTGAACCCCTCATAAGTTATACTTTTATTCATCAATTCAGAATGGTTTATTACGATAAGCTAAAACAATCTATAACTAGATACACCATTCAGTTTGGAAGCTGTAAAAAAAAAGGAAATTACAAGTACAACCATCATCATCATCATCATCATCATCATCATCATCATCATCATCATCATCATCATCATCATCATCATCATCATCATCATCATCATCATCATCATCATCATCATCATCATCATCATCATCATCATCATCATCATCATCATCATCATCATCATCATCATCATCATCATCATCATCATCATCATCATCATCATCATCATCATCATCATCATCATCATCATCATCATCATCATCATCATCATCATCATCATCATCATCATCATCATCATCATCATCATCATCATCATCATCATCATCATCATCATCATCATCATCATCATCATCATCATCATCATCATCATCATCATCATCATCATCATCATCATCATCATCATCATCATCATCATCATCATCATCATCATCATCATCATCATCATCATCATCATCATCATCATCATCATCATCATCATCATCATCATCATCATCATCATCATCATCATCATCATCATCATCATCATCATCATCATCATCATCATCATCATCATCATCATCATCATCATCATCATCATCATCATCATCATCATCATCATCATCATCATCATCATCATCATCATCATCATCATCATCATCATCATCATCATCATCATCATCATCATCATCATCATCATCATCATCATCATCATCATCATCATCATCATCATCATCATCATCATCATCATCATCATCATCATCATCATCATCATCATCATCATCATCATCATCATCATCATCATCATCATCATCATCATCATCATCATCATCATCATCATCATCATCATCATCATCATCATCATCATCATCATCATCATCATCATCATCATCATCATCATCATCATCATCATCATCATCATCATCATCATCATCATCATCATCATCATCATCATCATCATCATCATCATCATCATCATCATCATCATCATCATCATCATCATCATCATCATCATCATCATCATCATCATCATCATCATCATCATCATCATCATCATCATCATCATCATCATCATCATCATCATCATCATCATCATCATCATCATCATCATCATCATCATCATCATCATCATCATCATCATCATCATCATCATCATCATCATCATCATCATCATCATCATCATCATCATCATCATCATCATCATCATCATCATCATCATCATCATCATCATCATCATCATCATCATCATCATCATCATCATCATCATCATCATCATCATCATCATCTTAATCAATGATAACAAGCATAAAACGTACGGAATATACAACCGAAATATCAAGTCATAATGATTTGGTAATCACTTCCATGCATTAACTAATACAAATTCAATGATAGCCAAAGATCAGACAAAATGGGAGGAAAGCTATTCAATAAAATGATTGACTAACTAATTGGAGATTTACAATGGGTTTTTTTTTCCAGAAATCATAATGTGAAAGAAGAATAATACAACATTATTTCTGCCCATATACTATAATTTCCTTTCAATAATAATGTTAATGGCTTTTAATAAAGGAAAGAGATAATATATAATGAATTATATATAAAACAATAAGGACAACTATTTGATTATATCATAATGTATTTAATGCATACCATTATTTGATAGATACATACTACTCAATTATATTGGTCACAGATTAGCTAGCTACTAATATTATGTTCGTCTAATACTTTGGTGTTCATTGAATTCTATCGATCAATTCAAAATATAGTCAGTAGTCTAAGTGAATTTGCAAGAAGTACACTGTGCTCATATGTAATCGACAAGAAATTTATCAAGGAGTGCCAATTCTCTTAAGATTGTAAGTACTGTTGATTAACAAGCATCCACTGTCACAAAACCTCGATTAACGATATTGGTGGAGGTGTCTTGCATTGATGGCCTGTAGACATTTTTTACAATTGGGAATGTTAATTTCCGTTTCTACTGCTGCCAAACTGGAAGTTTTTCACCTTCAAAGGAGCTTTATATAAATAAACGAATGGAATAGCCATGGAATCTCCCGTATCTTCGATAGTTCCTTATTTATTTATGTCCCAGTGCCATCAAATCAGGCATCTGGCTCAGATATGTAGATGACACCAATTTCGTTACTGAAAAGACTGTCCTTAGAAATTTTGCTTAGCAAGTTCTCAGAAAACATTAAATTCACTTTAGAAAAGGAAGATGAACATAATGAACTATCATTCTTAGATAGTTTACTTAAAATGAATTCTAATGGAAACCTAAATCCAAACCGTGTTCCGAAAAACGACACAATCAAATCGGTACATCAATTTCGACTCTAAACATTCATTCAGTGAGAAAATTTCCATGGCTCTGAATCTATTAAGAAGAGACACTAAAATCATTACTTTGGAAGAAGATAAGATAAAGGAAAAGGATAACACAGTGTACATCTTAACATTTAAAATTTCATCTATAAATATTATTAGACACATATTAAGACGGAACTATCCTCCTATAAATAATAATTCTAATGAAACATTTTGGATAGGTACCGTAGTTTTACGTGAACTTAGCGGTACAACAAAAGAATTACAACAGATCTTGAAATAAAACATTTAATCAAAAATTTTCATGAAATAACTAACACATTGAAATGCCTCAGTTCGAAATGGGGAAAAGAAAACCATACAGAATTGTATCTCTGCCAGGGGAGTCCTACTCACTGCCTTATCGTGGCATTACTGTTGTTTACGAAATTGAGAGGACGAAAAGCGAATGTCCAGAGCTTTAACCGGGTTGGTGGACAAAGAAAGTTCACCTAGGGGATTGGGAAACTCTCATTCCAAACCAATGGTGCACATGGGCTCCAGTATCCTGAAGGAATAAATGGCGTACGAATCAATCGTTGGTGAACGGCGACCATGGGAATGCATCTCCTTACGATATTCCATTGCCTTGTGGATCATACTTTTAGGTCAGAGGCTCCGGGTGTGGGCCCCTAAGAAAACCACCTGATTCAGTTTGGGCACTTGGGCAGTATCACAGCTCTCACACAAATCAAATGAGGTTTGTGTGGCACATACATATCTGGTCCCTACTCTGTACCAAGATTTATGTGTTTAAATAAATAAATAAAAGTATCTATGATTTAGGTTGCATCTATTGTGATATATCTTAGATTGAAAAATCTTCTCATGAGATTTCGACTTATGCCAAGGAATATTTAAGCTACACAAAAGACCTGATAATTCTGTAGAACTGCAAAATTTACAAAGTAAATCGGTAATAGCAATGTACATGCTAATATTGAATAACCACCACCAAATCGATATTAAAAGTATTTAATTAATTCAGAAAGCCTTTTCCAACTATAAAGAGAGGGGAATAGCAGAAGCGTTTTATATAATGCTTTACCTTCAATAGAAGGAAAGAAGGCCTGACTATTTATCCACATTTAACTCTATTCATTGTTCACACAATCTATATATATATATATATATACACACACTCAGACTTTAATTCAATTCCTTCATATCACAAATTACACATTCTTTTTCACAATCACCGTTATATAAACAAATAAAAAAATGGTTATATTTCATATGGAATTGTGGTGTGGTCTACTTATATCTATATAAGTAGTATATGGTGTGGGTCAGACATAGAATGTATTTTCGCAGAAGACCGATGAGGAAAGAACTGAAGTGAAGCGCAATCGTCTGGAAAATGCATGAGCAATGGAATAAGAGAAGAAACAGTGAAGATTGAAACAATTGATTGTTAATTTGCAAATTGACTGTTCATTCTTTAGTAATCAGAATTTACTGAGATAGTCTGTAATCTTTGCTTAAATACATTCGATTGTCCCCAGTTGTGTTTTGTTCACTACAGAATCACCTTGATCAAAATAATTTGAGGTAAAAATGTTCAGACATATTATAATTCTGAATAGTAGTGACTTACATTAAGTCATGAAATGTCTATAATCCAAACAGTATAACAAGCTTTAAGGTAACCAGTGAGGCTTGGTATATATGTTACATAACTATCAACTGATTAAATCAATTAAAATCTATAGGCTTATTAATTAATGCATCGAATTAAGATGGAGAATGATCGTGGGTGGCCTATTCTCATCCACGAGGGGTGACAAGTGTAAGTATTTGGACATGATGTAAACACAACAATCTGATCTAAGTATTACTCATTCGAATAATGCTTTGAAGACAGTGATACACTTTATATATATCATATTTTACAATTTATCAATTAACTTTAAAAATTACAATAAGTAGTAATTAACACAACTCCACCAGTAGCTCTTCTAGGGTTATTGCCGGTTCCAAGACCGGGTAAAGGAGAAGAGTTGAGAGTGGGATCAGCAATCTTATCCCGTAAAAAACAAACTTGCTGGTAAGAAACGCCAGTCAGAAGAAATTATTAAAACCACGGTAATTAACACCTTGTAGAAAGCTAGGGGCGGACAGACCAAAACAAGGAACAAATCCATGAAGTCATTGACAATTGAACTAAGCCATGCTGGTAAGTGTAGACTACCTGGTTGGGACTAGCGAGATGATAGCAATCGATGGTTAGAGACCTTGAATGACATGGTTCAAAATCATTTGTAATGGCAAAGGTGCATCCACACTTTGTGTTCTACCAAATTCTAATCTTCTGAATTCTTAATGTCTCTATCTTTTTTCTCTTTTCCAAATTTATTTCAGTGGATTATTCTCCTTCAATAACATCTTCAAACCCTTATCTTTCACATAATGCTTATACTCTTACTACTTCTACCACTATGGGATTTGAATGGAGAAATGCATCACTGTGCTAATGTGGTATGGCAACTAGAACTGATGTACGTACATACGGAGTTCTACGTTGTGACTGACTGACTGACTAAATTAACACCTTGTCGTAAATATGAGTTAGTATTTTTCAGAATTACTACAATTTATTAACTGTTAATTATTATCTGAAAATTGACCGTAAATTTGGCTAAGGTAAGACAACCCGGTGAAGATAATTCTTTCACACATATACCTATGGCCTTTTAATCTGAATAGCTACCGCTTTTTCTGTTTGAAGGACGACTTTGAGTCTGACAAACTTAACCAAAAAAGTTACTGGTCCGATAAAAAAAAAAATTGTGAAAGAAGAAAACAATTGGATACTTACCTCACCCATTGGATAACGATAATAATATTTATTAGCATCACGTCGTGCAAAATCATCAGGATATTTTTCCTGAATCTCTTCATATGTCATACCATCACAAACTCCCTTATTAATAGATGAATAGAATAACAATAACAATAACAGTAATACAACGTCAAATCTGGGATAAAAACCAATAATAATAAGGGGAAAAGAATCACTACCTATAGATAAGATCTGAACACAAATAATCAAGATGACGTAATAGAAAGATTATAATACTAGATTATGTAATACAAGTTTAATTTATCTAGTTTTCAGAAGGGGATTTGTGGAGATTTCAGTATATTTCAAAGTTAAAATCTAGTTTTATATATATTTCAGTTTTATTCATTAGAATAACACTATTGTTTGTAATGAAGAATTATTGTAGATTATTTCATAAGAGAATAAATTCATTTGTTAAGTTTACATATAGTTTAAATCATGAGCCAATTGAAGCTAGATCATTATGGAAAATCTGGAATCACTGGACAACCGTTTCGTCCTATTACGAGACTGCTCAGTAGTGCGCATCCACGATCCTGCACTCGCGAGATTCGAACTCAGGACCTACCAGTTTCACGCGTGAGCACTTAACCGATAGACCACTGAACCGGCATCTAACGATGTTAGTGTCTAACTTCAACCAATCCACGAAGTCGAGCAACCATTCACCAATTGTCTTCAGTGAGTTGATATCTCCCAATAGACCTGGTTGAACTCCACTGGTTACTGCCTCTCACTAGAACTCCAGGAAATACCTCATAGAGCCAGTCACTAGTGTAAAGAAATGATCCAATTGTCTAAAATGTAGTTAGAAATTATGACCTATTTAGTTAGTTATTTCTTTATTTGTATAGGGATTTGTAGAGATTGTAATCTTTTCACGATTGAATTCACAAGTCGATCTAAGCTAGACCACCATTGAAAATCTGGAAGGACTGGATGGTCGTTTCATCTTAGTATGGGACTTTTTAGTAGTGTACATCCACGATCCTACACTAAAAGGACTCGAACCTCACAACTGAATACATGACTTCTGGACCACTAAACCGGCATCTAACGGTGTTAATGTCTAACTTTGATTTTTTTTGTTAATTAAGTAATAATTTATGTTATCAAAACATTCCCATATTGTCATTAAATACATAATTAAGTGGAAATGATGTAAAAACAAACAGAATTTCAATGATAGAATTATGTATTATGTCTACTGAATCGATTTGACTTGTGGTTTCCATTCTGATAGGACCAAATACTCAATTATCTATAATTGGTTAATCATTTATTCTCTAAACAGATAATTCATTCATTTCATCTATCCGTCCTGTCAGCATCCCTATCCCTCCAGAAACAGAAACATTATCGATAATGGATGATCGACTAAACTCCTACTACTTATGCCAAATGATGTAAAGGAAGGAATAAGTAGACTATTATCTATTTATATTCCGTTTTATTGTAATCTCTCAGGTAACCTATTAACTATTACCATACGTTTTATTATTATAAAATTATTGCTAATTGAGTACTTCACTTCTAGACTGATTCACTGATATTTAAGGCTTGTATATGTATGACGCCACCAAATACCCTGGTACGGCCGAGAGTGGGGGCCGCCCTATCTCTCGAAATGCTCTCACATATCCACGCATATATAGCCTCTGACACGGAAGTCCTACTCACTACCTTCTCGTCACGACGAAATTGAGAGAACGAAGAGTGAACGTCCGGCGCTTTAGTCGGGTTAGTGGACACGGCGAGTCCACCTAGGGGAGTTGGAAAACTCTGATTCCAAACCATTGGTGTACATGAGCCCCAGTATCCTGAAGGGACAAATGGCGTATGCATCGATCGTTGGTCACCGGCTACCATGGAACTGCATCTCCTCACGATGCTCCACTGTCTTGAGGATCAGACCTATAGGTCGAAGGCTCGGGGTATAACCTCCTAAGAAAACCATCTGCTTCGGCCTGGGCACCCGGGCAGTATCATAGCCCTCACACGACTAAATGAAATGACATTTTTTGTGTGGCGCACATATATCTGGTGCCTTTTTGTACCAATAAATAAATATGTATAACTATGATTTACTATTTTATTGTGTAATACAGTTCGTTATGGTTTTAGATAAATCCATAGGTGATTGGAATAATAATAGGGATAATAGTTTGAATATTATCTTCTCTTATTCGAACTTAACTCTAGGAATCAATGGATCTATATAGAAGAAAAGCATAAGTTAGTAACCGCTCAAGATTAATCGCGTTCGTCAGAAAGCACCACTGGTCAATGCTTGCGATACTAGACTATAGACGGAACAGCTTACGTGGGTTAGGAAAATTATAACCGGAATTCTGATTGGTGAATCTAACAAGTGATGTCGATTAACGTCTAAAATACAACAATTTAAGCCGAAACTATTTGCAGAGATTCCAGGGTATGCAGCATCCAGTACTTCCTGTAACTCTTTTGTTTACTTAATGTGTGTGTTTCATAATAGAGTAAAATCTTTATTACACATCTGAATTAAAGTCTAAACGTTCACTACATAAATGTTTTTTATTCCATATGTTGAGCTGAGTTGTGAATAAATCCAGTCGTTTGAAGTGAAATCTTTTATAAAACACCCCATTAAGGATCAATTGTCCAATAAATCGATAGGAAAAGGGCTGAAATTAATGGAAACAACACAATTATTGAATGTTGAGAACGTTGCTAATAACTTCAACCTAGAATTCATTGAAGACAACATTTATCACAGGCTGATATTACCTGGGAAACTAATTTAAAACTCGAGAGAGGATAATATAGTTGTTTCGTTCTAATTTGAAACTCTTCAATAAAATTCATTCATCGTTTCTCTAAAGGGTTATCAATCATGAGTTATCCTCCTCTTAAACTCTCATTCTGATCATAATTATACGCTCATTATCAGTGACTGATTTAGAAATATGGATTACATCAGAGGAATTCTAGAGAGAAGTTGTGAATCGAGTGAAGTTAAGCCATACTGAAAGAATGAGATAGATAACCCCGATAGCATGTTAACGATTATGACCCAATGCAATCAGAAAATTAAATTTACAACTGATCTGCATAGAAACTATAACATGGAAAAAAGAAATTTATAAAGTTATATAGTTAAACTGTTAGATAATTTAATGTTTCGCATTATGAACTGGCCTTAGCTAGACAACCCCTGAAAACCCGGAAATACTGAGCAGTTATTAAGTTCTTATCACTAGTTAGCAGTAACAAACCGCAACCTCACCAGGGATCGAACCCATTAATTTGAGGTTTCATAAGTTATTAATATTCTATCAGAATTGTCTTTAAGCTACTGCTCACGCATTTTCGGATAATAGATTTAATAATTCTGAGATTAGATATAGTATTAGTTAGTGCAAATTAACCGACCAGGTGAGAAATCTCTAACGACTGAAATGGTTAGGGCGATGATGTCTAGTGCAGTAGTAGGTTGGAAGAAAGTTAGAGGCTGCCAAACCAATTTAAAGCATCAGTCTATAAAGACGCTGACTGTTAGACTGAGCTATGTAGGTAAGAGGAGACTACCTATTTGGGGTCCGTGTGGTTATCGTAACCAATGATTAGAGACCGTAAATGACTGATTACTACACTGCTACTATGTTTAGTAGTATTCTAGAATTTGTAGGAACACCCCAAAGACTTTTAAAATACTATAAAAACCCTATATTTTCTGTACATAAATAAACCTTTGGAGTAAAGTGCTTCTCGCATACTTTGTGCCTTTTCTCTCGTGTTCAAGTCGCTCTGTAGTTTTAGCTTGAGGGTTATGAGACTAGCTGAGGATCCGAGTATAGCGTTCAATCAATAAGACTTATCAGATATTCGGTTGCACGACTAACGTGATTAATTATCTTATATAAATTAGTACATGAAACTTACTGCATCTAATTCATCCAATGCTTTCCAATAACTTATTTGTGAACAATGAATATGTTCAGCAGTTTGTATAGTACGCTTAAAATGACTTGTCCAAACTTTAAGATTTTCTAATTTTTCTTGTTCCATAAATGCTGCAAGTTTTTTAGCATACTAAAAAAAAGAAAACAAAAGATACAAAACATGCAAACATTTTGAATCAGAGAGTGAACTCTATATAGTCTCGATCGCATCATAGTAATTAGATGTAGACGACGTAAACTATTCCATTATTACATAATACATTTGTAATATCTCAATGAGTAGAAAAATTAGATTTTCTGACGTTTCGTGACTCAGTGTAAGCCACTTCTTTAGTGAATAAATAAATACATTTTTGATGGAGTTTTGTTCTCTGAGCTGAATGGTTTGGTCGTGGAGCTTTCATCATCCTTCTGAACGACATCATCAGCACAAACTTCGGGTAGAAGTGAAGTGTTTGAACTTCTCAACATGTGATTCACAGCTTGCCTGTGCACCTCGATGTTGATTGGTTCTTATTGACATTAAATCAATCATTGTCAGAAGGACGATCTAAGCTCCACGACCAAACCATCCAGCTCAGAGAACAAAACTTCATCAAAATCACCCACCTGAGCTACAAATCTTCTCCACCATCTCAAATAAATAAATTCTTTGAAGGATTGGCTTTTACTGAGTCACGGAACGTCAAAAAATCTCATTTTTCTACTCATTGGGACATGACAATTACATTATTTATTTATAACAATCTACCCAATGCTCAATTTATTCGAAATTATCAAGTCAAACCTTGGCAATGTGATACTTATATTCCAGTAATATTGAGAATTACGGTGAAATACACTTGCAATTTGATTGTAATCTATGATATAGTAACGTGTAAACAAACTATTTCTTGTACTCACAATTACCCATGTCCAATAACTACTCTACAACTGACAAACACAAGAACATGATAGGTCTACTTGAAGAAACATCAAATACATGTAAACGAATAGAAAATAATGATTGATTGAATGTTGTTTAATTGTTAAACAACTAAACTATTCATATTCATGTTCCTTCTATTATGAGCTTTATTTTGACCCATAGACTATTACTGTAAGATTTACCGTTCTTGAGTTATCCCCAGTCTATTAATTACTATCTCCCTTATTAACAGTCACATTTGACCAAGTCTCGTATAAAATGTGATTTTCTATTTTATGGTACAATGTGGTTTGTCTGGTTGGTATATAAACCCGATATGTTCAAAATAAATAATTCATATTGCAGAGGCTGTTATTGGTGTTCTGGACTTAACTGACTGGACTAGGCAGAAAGCAAGACCGATAAGGACTCTAGACTGCTCGTACGGGTTTCGTATGTCATTGGTCCGATCGATTATTCACTGTTCTCTCATTGGCGGCACGATCACGTCATATATTAATCAGGGCACAAACCACAAGCTACAACATTAAACGAAAAGGATCAAAATAGTATGGAACTTCATTGATTTCGTCGATTCACTTCAAATCCTTACAGTCAAGAAGTAATAATAATTAGAAGGTACCTTCAAAATAATGATTAGGCACAAAAGTTCACTAGTAAGCAAAGTAAAGAAAGAATGAATGAAATAGAATATGTGATGATCGATAAACGGTTAATCTATCTACTAAATTATCTTTGAAGATGATCAAATAGATGTAAAGATTAATTTAAGACTATGTGTTGATTGAACAAAATGTATCCAGCTGTTAAACTAATCTACATATGTCAAACAGATTACTTATTGAGATGGATAAGAGTGAATAAATTCCTATCTCCCATCACCTACAGTTGTGTCTGCCAGTCTATATGTACGTGACAAAACACTTACAATACTGGTAAAATAGAAAGGAAACTTCTTGTACACATCAAAGAACGTGTAGCCCCAATAATTATGTTTTCATTTTTTTTAAACACATAAATATTGGTGCAAGGGGGCACCAGATATACATGCGCCATACGAAACAATGAAAATGGGAAGAGAAAGGGGTAAGATGCATAAAAAAAGTAATGGTGAGGGGAACTGAAATGTATAACCAGAAGAGCTCTCTCAGTTAAGGTTTTAACCACTCTTTATGTAGAAAGTAAAAGAAGGTTACAGCAGGTTCGCCACTGGCTTCTATTCTGAGCCATATCTGATAATGTCTCTAGCCACTGCAGTCCACCATCTCTCGCACCCCAGCCAGGGAGTTGTGAAGGACCAACAGAAGCTAACCCTTTGCAGTTTTCTTTCATACCACGACACCATGTCATACACTAACCACCTCTCTGCTTTTTCCAACCAGTCCCAGAGTCGGCAAATAATGCACGACGTGGAATTCTCTGGGACGATATTCGTAAAACATATCCAAGCCACCGAAGTCGGTGTTTCAAGATGGTGACACCAATTGGGTTGTCGTCTCTGCGCCCGAACACACGATGCCGAACCTCTGCATTACTAACATGGTGTTACCACTGGATGTCAGCAATCCTTCGGAGACAACGATGATCGGACAATCCAATTGCTCGTTATCTGTTTGATGATGAACACGATGTTGATATTTCGAAATCTTTCAAGATAATCAATATACAAACAACTTAAAATTTGTTATAGGTTTCCAAAACCAATGTTATTAAGAAACTGAAACGGATATCATGCATGGATACAACATGGTTTGTAAGAAACTTACTAATTCACCCCGTTCAGAAAGCTTCCCATCCCCACCGATTCGACCATGAATATTGAGATCCGTTTCACCGTGCTAGAAGCCAAGTCAAGAAAAATACAACAAAAAAATAACACTTTCAATGAACTGTGTTATGTTTAAATGATAGTTTAATATAACAAAAAAGTGTGGGGGTAACTGCAATAGTAATTCATTAATTAAGAAGCTAGATAGTATGAGAGTAACAGGATTATCTCATAAATACACTCTTGGACAAGTATTTAACCCTCTTCCTTAGTTCGTTAGCAGATAAAATGAGACTGTAAGATTTTAAGAAAGTAAGAATACACTCCTTCGATTATAAATAATCTCAGCTTACTTCTATTCAAAATAGGCGTTCATGATTTTATCCGAAATCATAATTGAACTATCATCATTTTCAAAACACCTACAAGTAATCTAAACTTATTTAAATGGTGATAGTATTCAAAATTGAAATCGACTCATTATATTCGAATCGAATACAGTCTGCATCATATACTGTTGAGTACAGCAAGACGATATCATTAAGTAAGAGATAGTACAGAATGTATTTTAACTATCCTTGAAATATTCAATTGTAATCCAAGAAAAGCATTTTAATTACCATAGGAATTTTGTAGAGATAAACAAATTCCATAGTCCAAACATCAGAGATTGATACTAGTTAGACAAACATTAAAAATTATGAAGCACCAGACAGTTTGTTATACTAGTATGAGGATATTAATCCAAAATATGCGTCCATGACTCTAACAGAGGTCAAACTCAAGATCTTCAGGTCTTATGACGAGAGCTAAACCTTAATACCACTGAGTAGCCAACCAATGGTTTACATGGTTAACTTGAAATCGATTCAGGATATTAAACAGACATTTTTCAATGTCAGTGAGTAAACGCCTCATATCCAAATGAGTTGAACTGCATTGGTCACAGTTTCTCACCACAACATCGAAAGTAACTAATTTCGAAAAGTAATTTACGATCCTGTGGTCGATCCATAGTGAGTTTGTGGATGTGCACTGCTGAAGGGTCCCATAATAGGATAAAATAACTGTCTAGTACATCCTGGTTTCAATGATCATATAATTAAGGTCAGTTAGTGATGCGAACTATAAAACATTTTATACAAGTGAGATTAGAACAAAACTCATATTGAATTAACTTGAATTGGTTATCTGTAGCATTAATAAATAATTTCCAAAACTGAATGGAAATCCAATAATGACTAATGTAAGTTTACGCAACGCTTAGTGTTGATCAAGTTCCATTGGCCAAGTTACCCTGCGGTTTACTATTAAAATAGAATTGAGTTATTTTTTTCCCCAAGGTAATCAGGAAACTACAGGCAAGTTAACGTATTCACAATCTTCAAGAGAATTGACGAGAGACCTACATTGTAACATTTCCAACTGTGATATCGCTTTCCATAGTGAACATGATCCCCAACCTTGAGATTGCAAATAATTCTTTCTGATGAATGCCAACTAACACAAAACCTAAGGGTCATTGATTTATTGCTATCTGTCACCAAGCAACACAACATAAAGGAATATCATCGGACAGAAGGGATAGCTGCTTCTATTTTATCAGTGAACATAATGAATCAGACAGAGTTCGATAAGCTTATTGTCAGTAATAAGTTCTAAAAAAATTACTACCGAATTGGGAATTACTCCTAATTAACATTTTTAAACTATTCGGATAAAAACGATGAGTCGATAGAAGTACTGATGCATTTGATGTATGTATTCGACTATATAATACTAATTCGTAAATACAAGTCAGACACATCTAGATATTATAACTGTATTCCCTTTCTCTGAATCCAACTATTTCAAAAGTAAGTTTTGCAAGGAAGATATATTGTATCAGAACCAAAGAATATTGATTTAGGTGGAGAGAATATGTGTATAAATATATTTACAAAGACGTTGAATACGTGGTAAGCAATTAGCGTACTGAAAGAGCAATCAGTAAATAAGAGAAAATAATTTTTAACCCAGTAATAATAATGGTTTTAGTGGAGGACGAGACTGAACTTTATGGACGACCTTTGAAAGAATCTCAAATGACCTTGAGAAATATTAGCCAATCAGAAGACAGTTTGTATACAGTAAAAATATATGATACAAAACTAAAAATTTAAAGCGGATACTGTTCTTTTACATGGCTCAAAATCTTACGAAGGTCAGATATAGGCTCAGAAGTTTCAAAATCATAGTGCATATGGTACAAGAACTCATCCATAAGGCTCCATAGTAGTCGACCTCTGGAGCCATGATAAGGTATCAAAAATTATTTTAGCCCCGACCACATAGCTTCAATGTTGTTGGTATGGTTTAGGTTAGGGTTGTGATCGAGCAAAAAAAAAGTCATTTGAGTACCACAGTTACAAGTATAGGGAATTCTTAATAATCCCTTCTCTTGTAGACGCTGAATTATCACGTCTTCTCTAAAATCCGCTGTAAACTGATCGTACATAAGCATCGGGTACCGAACTTAGCGCCTTGACCTTGGAAACCCGCGAAAGCTTCTGATTGTCTCACCCATAAAGTTTAGTCCCGCCTTTAACATTCTTAACACAATCAGACCGATCTTTTTACTACCAAAGTGTACGCGAACATGAATGAAGCAACAAAAAGCATACAATTTTTCAATTCAAAGCAACCTAAGTTACCTAAGTATTCACAAAATACAGTTGGTTGATCACCCACCAATGACCAAATGTTCGGTTTATCTAATCCTTTAGTATTGATCAAATTCTATCAGTCAAGTTGCAATGTGTAAACTAGTTTGACTGACTGGACAACGCGTGAACTATGTTGAGATATTAGATGATTGCAGGCAGTCGGTAGGAAACCCAGTCTGATTTAGATTTCTTGTCAGCTGGCAGTTTTCAGTAAGGTATACCAGTAGTATTGGAAGTAATTAATCCTCCTCACTGGGATCAAATCTGCTTCACCTAGCTTGACAGTTTGAAAAGTTACTACTGATCTACTAAGTTGCGAATGACCTACTGTAGGACTGAAAAGTTTACAACCGAATAATAATTGATACTTTAATCTTGATCAAATCCTGTCGATTATTACTAAGGACTAAATAGACATGACATTTGGTCGTTATTAATTGTGAAAAACCCTATTATCCATCAGAATTACAATCAATCATTTATCACTAACAGAGAGTCATTTGTTAGCCAGAATAACTTAACTATACTATTGCGTAAAATGATACGCGTTTAAACAGCATTGAATACAAAAGTATGGAATAGATTTTTCAAGATTTTTAGGCGAGGGGATAACAAACAACCATCAAAACATTCTGCAAATTGATATTAAACATCAAAACCTATGACTTAGTTGAAAGCGTGAGTCAATTGAAGCTAGACCACCAGGGAAAACCTGGAAGTACTGGACGGCCGTTTCGTCCTATTGTGGGACTCCTCAGCTTCAATTGACTTACGCTTTCAACTACGAAAATACTAAATCTCCACAAAAACGACGTATGACTTAATCATACACAATTAAAGTTAGAAAAGTAATGTTAAGATTAGAAATCATGTAAAAAGAACCAAAATATTGAACAATGTGTGTGTACATATATATAAGAAACTTAGAAGGTTAAACCTGTAACAATAAATATAATCTTCAGATGGGGAGAATAGATTAATGCAATAGAAATGTGAATAAAAAGTTAAATTTTCAATATTGCAATAGGAATAACAAAATCTCTAAAGAAAAAATGAAAACTATTCTCATTAATGCTCGTTTTTTTAACTAATTTATCATATGCACACTAGTGATTGGCTTCATGAGGTATTTCCTGGAGTTCTAATGAGAAGCAGCAACCAGTGGAGTTCAAACATGTCTGTTGGGAGATATCAACTCACTGAAGACATTGGTGAAATGGTTGCTCAACTTCATGGATTGGTTGAAGATAGACATTAACACTATTGGACGCCGGCCAGCTAAATGGTCTACCGGTTAAGTGCTCTGGCGCGAGACTGGTAGATCCCTGGGTTCGAATATCGCGAGGAAGGATCCTGGATGCACATTGCTGAGGAGTCCCACAATAGGACGAAACGACCGTCCAGTGATTCCAGGTTTTCCATAATGATCTAGCTTCAATTGGCTAATGATCTCAACTATATAAAACTAATTTATTGTTGATTAAAAATTCACTTCATTTTAATTTTTATTAAAATAATACATTTGAAAGAAAAGCAAAGAAAGAAGTATGTACCATACAAGAGGTTTAATGACGATCTTATTGTGAAGGAATAGGACACAGAAAGAGTGTGTGTGAAAAAAAACAGAGAAGAAAAATCATTTGATCAATAAATAAATTAAACAAGAATAGTATTTAATATAAACGATATAGGTTTCTCGATGTGTTTTCTTTCGATGATACCAAAATTGATTTTACTTAGTAACTAAGTTGAATTATATATTTTGTGAAGAATAGAATAAAACATTAGAACAGAATCATTATCTTTTTGATGTAGGTTTGTTCTCTGAGCTGGATAGTTTGGTCGTGGAGCTTTCATCATCAAACTTCTACCCGAAGTTTGTGCTGATGATGTCGTTCTGAAGGACGATGAAAGCTCTACAATCAAACCATCCAGCTCAGAGAACAAACCTACGTCAAAATCACCCACCTAAGCTACAAATCTTCTCCACCCTCTCAGAATCATTATCACTGATTTCAGGGTAATAAAGAGTAAACTCACCGGAAGGGGAACAAGCCCTATGCGATCTGAAGCTGCAGAATAACGAATAAAACTATTTTGTAATAAGTTTCCCCTTTTGTACTCGAACCGCATATTTTAATTTCAAAAATATATCTGTTGTGCCAGTATACCGTGTTCTTACTGCAGAGGCACTTACCGGTCCTGACTGTTGTGTTGTTCTTTCAGATCGCCCCCGCTTCCAAGAGAACGTCAATATATAACGTACTACAATATGGCCAAATAGCATTTGGGCATTATAGTTTTGTGTCGATTTATGATGAGAACTCTAATGTCCAATTGTAAATCCTGATCCTAATTTCTTACA